CTTACTAAAGATTGTAAACCATAGTATATGATTCATAAATTAATTTTTAATAAAAAAATTATATTTTATAAATTAAATAGTATTGGAGAGACTCATGTAATTATTTTTGTAAAATTTAAAACAACTAAAAAAAATTGAATCAAAATTTTTAAACCATATAAGCGGCTTAGAGACCCTACTGCATGTTAAACCATTTTCTCCTCTAGCCCAAAAAAAAAAAACAAAAAAACAAAAAAGAAAAACAATGTCTTTCAAACATCAATTTCAGTTGAAAAGCATTTTAGATTCAAATAAGTCGTTATTCCACTAAATATATATATATAATTGGGTGTGACAATTGACAAATTAAAATTGAATCCAAGATTATGACACGATTGACATCCACCAACTAAAATCCTACCTTTTCAGTTGCTTCTGTTAATGGGACTATAACTTCATTGTATGGCTTATCTCTTATATTATGCTACATTTGCATAATTTTTTGTAGGAAATGATATCATACTTGACGTTTGTCTTATCTAATAACTCTTTTTCTTTTCTTTTCCTTTTTTTTTTTTCTATGAAGAAAAAGGGTTTTATTGAGTTTGCTTCTTCACGAGCTAAATATAAGAGTTGTTCTTTTTTCATAATTTTTTATTAAGAAAAATTGAAAGAAAAAAAAAAATCCTACAACAATCAATTTTTGCTTACTTGTAGTTATAATTTGGCAACAAATCTTTATGAATTAAGAGTATTTTCATTGCTTTAACCTGCAAATAATAAAGGTAAATCTTAAGAGGTGTGAAAGCATTTCACCCTACATAAAATTGAAGGAAGCTTCGCGGAACTTCTCCATTTTGTGTAATGTTTTTAGACTTAAAATTCATTATTCTTATCTTTAATGAAGAATAAATAGTTTATAATTTTAAAATTGTGGGCATAAATATTTGAATAAACTGATGATGAGAGGGGAATACATGGAAAACACCGAAGCAAGGCAAACTAAAATATCCCAAAACAAAAAAGGTGATCATTGATATTTGAAGGAGAACATGAGTTGCTGCAATTCTGAGAAGAGAATAAGTAGAATAAACGAAGCCTAAAAATGCCAAAGTTTCTAATTAATGATCAACATGTGTGAAATATATACAATGAATATTAATTTGGGCATAGCTTTGACCTACTTGTTGAATAGCCTTTGAATCTTAGATTTTTAATAACTAGTTGAATCATTTGAACCAACTTTACAAGTACAGATTTGTCTGATCTAGGTCATTTAGAATTGAATTTTTTTTACATCATGACAGCCCAACCTCAAGCCCATTACTTTTACAGGACTACATATAAGCCCATGGAGCAAAAACGCTCATAAAAAAAAAATAAAAATAAAAATAAAATAAAAATAAAAATAAAGGAATGAATATGTAAGAAAATTTACGTCCTTATATCTTGCCATGAAATTATTAAACGGGACTTGGATGTCATCTTCATTGCAAGAGACAATGTGTGATTAATTAATTAATTAATTAATAATAATAATAATAATAATAAGAGGGGGAGAGAGAAGGGAGAATCCATGATCATCACAAATATTATAAAGATTCTGGAGTATTTTATAATTCACACTCACTATTTCAATTTTTTTTTTCTTCCACCAAAGCAACATAAGCCATTCATTAAGTAAATCAATAATGAAGATTAAGTGAATGAGTTTCATCATTTTGTGGGAGATATTCCTCCCATTATTTTCAAAATCAATGATGAAACTTATCAGTTCTCTTTATTGAAAGTTGAATTGAGAAATTTTTTTAGAAGATTTATTTGACTTTTATTATTTACATCTATATCTATCTATTATAAATTGTTAATACAAATAGTTGACAACTTTGAAATTCCAACACCAGTAACACTTTGAAACTTATTGAAATTGATCTCAACGATAACAAGATGTTAAAAAATTGGTAGAAACATGTATCTTTATCTTTAAAGTATTTATAATATTTAAATAGCACGTATATAATATATAAATTTTTTAATTTTTATATAATTTTTCATCAAATAATATTATAAATTTTTAACACAATAGTACACAATCTTATAAATTTCCATTCGAATCATGTACTGATTGGTTTTACATTGCAGTACGTAGCTTTTGAATTTTTTTTGATAATCATAGTGATAGATACTCTGGAATTAATGTGTATTTATACTGGGTAAAAGATTTTCCCCAGTTTTTTCATAAAGAATAGCATGAGTTTTTACTAATTTTAAAAAATATCAAAAAAAAGGAAAATGCAAAAGAATTTTTATTGAATTTACAAATCAACTATTACCTATTTATAGGCATGCTATTTACCATCTACATAGCTATCTTAGATACAAATCCTAAAAAAAGTTTAGAATCATCTCTCCAATCTACAAATTTCTCCAACTCTCCCTGCAATATATTCCAATTCTCTTTACAATATTTGTTTGTATTTTGTACATAATAAATCAATATTAATCATTTACCTTTCCAAAAAAAATAAAAAAACCTTTCTACAATATTCCACACAAATATCCTTCTCAGCGTAACAAATAGGCATGTGATGGCATGACATTAAGCTCAATAATTTGAAGAAACAACTCCTTACTTAATTGTGATTAATTTACTACAACCTATAAATGAATTTGGGAATTCATGTAACTAAACATTTGCAAAATGATCTATTTCCCTATTCAAGGAAAAAAAAATTAAAAAAATCTATCAAGAGTGTTTTCTATGTTTGACATATATTCCATGCATATAGTTGGAGGTAATCAAAAGCTCACTATTTTTTTAAAAAAAATATTTTAAAAATTGTTTCAATTCAATGATTTAATAAATAGAGAGCACATGAAAAAATTCTCTTAATAGTATTAATTGTATTATATTATTTAGTTTTCAAATTTAGCTTCCCGTTTATTTAGAATTTAAATTCAAAAAACATGATTCCTGATGTTCAAGTGACGGAGGGTGATGACCCTTGGTAGATTGTGGATTAGATCAAAATCTTATTACCTTTTTCGGCTAAAAGATGAAGGACATAAAGAGTAAGTGGGAAGCCTTTGAAACACACCATAAAGCAAGACAGCGGAATTGCTTTATTTTACTATTTATTGTGATTGATTAAGTCAATCATTTAAATTTGAATTTACTTCAATGGGAGCGGCAAGGAAGATAATGACCGGATGAAATTAAGTAGTGACGAGATCATGACGGAAGAATTGCATCATGGAACATTTCTTTGCATTACTAGCATGTAAAAAGCAACAACGCGGGTACCAATAATTGCACGGCAGAATTGAGTCCTATTACATGCGGACCTATCATTTGGATTATTTTCAGGTTCGTTTCATCTTGTGTCAGTATCTTTATATCATTAATGAAATAATTCGATTATTTATTGATTTATTTTTTGGTAACGAGAAATGATTCAGATTGCTTATATAATAATTACATTGATTTATTATTTTCATCGTAAGGTTGTTGTATTAATAATACAGGACGTTGCACAACGTATCTCTACGTGAATGAATTTTATTATTTATGTACTTGATATATATACATATATGCACGTATGCCTGTGTATTTGTGGAATAAGATTGACTCTAATTTGTTAAGGGAAGAACATATCAAATTATGTGATCGACACTTACTTCATAGTGTTGCAATAATGCCAGAATTTGGCCACTGATGGATAATCGTGTAGTAGTAGAGAGCATAATAGCATCTAATGCTCGTAACTGCTTGCATAGAAAGCAGGCATGTGGCAGAGGCCAACATGGTGGGTTGTGTTGTGTCATGACCCATTTTTATCCATTAGTTTATTTTATATCCTATCAGATCCAAATAATCATTGATCTTGAATTTTCTCTTGTTGAAAATGAAAGGGCATACATACATAAAGACAATGAAATGAAGTTCATAACTTCATTCAGAAAAAAATGTAATCATTTAGCCCCACAGATAAACATGCGCATGTATAACAACAATGTGAATAGATGACTCCTGTATCCGCACTCCACTGCCTCTGCCCACTTAAGCGATTTATCGAGCGATGATGCAACACCATCGCAATATTAATGTAAACATTCATGCAATATATTTATTTTGAGCATATATCAGCATAAGCGCGGCAACAATTATTAAATTTAGAAAGCAACTATTTTGATAATCGAGACTATGTAAGAATTTATTGTTGCATTCTTAATTTAATTATATTATATTCTCAATTTAATAATGTTGCGTGTTATATTAGATTCTCGATTTATAAGTATAATAAAATATAGATCACAAATGTGAAATAGACAAAATCAAATCAGTACAGAAAATGAAATATAGATGGAGTTGGGGAAATGGATCCGATTTATATGACACTCTAGATTAAACTTACGTTGTGTTTTTCACTGTAGTTTCCATGGGCATCATCATGATGAAATCATGATGTCCACATTAGGAACTCATATTAAAAGGTTTCAACTACAAAAAAACATAAACAAATAATAATAATCATCATCATCACCAAGGAGAATCTTTAACCCTAGAGTGGGCGCAGTTCTTCCTCTTAAAAATTTAATAATAATAATACTAAGAATAATAATAATTTTTTTAAACTTGCTAAACTCCCTGTGTAAGTCAAATGAATTAGTAGACTAATCTAAAAAGATTTCTAATATATTTAAAATATTTTTTTTTGGTACACAGCAGACAACACATTCATCTATTTAGGCGTTAGAACATTAGAAATCTTTAAGTTCATACAATCACAGCTCATTTAGGTGGTATATATTTAAAAATGTAAAAGTACACTTCTTTTGAAATCAGTTGTTCACTTAATTACTTTCACATAATTATATATATATATACATATTATACTTTGGGTCTGCGCAGCGACTATTCAACATCGATGGCCCGAATTAAATAACATCGTGAATTTCCTGGGGCAGCTATAGGGCCAGCCCTAACAATTTCCCTTAAATAGTCTTTGTCACCCCTCCCATCTCCCAAATCAGGACAAGCCCACCAAGTCCAAATAAAAGACTTATAGAAGAACTCTGTTGGGGGAGACTAGAGAGAGAGAGATGCCTTTGTAGAGAGAGAGAGATGCCTTTAATTTGTGCTAGTCATGGAACAAAAGTCCCACATGCGTTGGTCCAGACCGGGAGAAGTAAATTCTTCACACCCAACCATGTAGGAAGCTTCTGCTGTTGCTTCTTTCACAGCAAAATTAGCCGCCAGTCCTCATTAAAACCTTCCATTGTTTCTCTCTCTAGGAGTAATCAAACCCATATTTCTTCTTCTTCAACAATGGAGAGCCAGAACAAGTTGGTGCTTACATCTTCAGAACCTGAACAAGAATACTATGGCAAAGAAATTGAGGTTGCTGTCAGGGCTGTACAGATGGCGTGTTTGCTTTGTCAGAAAGTGCAAGAAAGTCTGCTTTCTAAAACCAGCAACCATGTCCAATCCAAGGATGACAATTCTCCTGTCACAATTGCAGGTAATTCAAATTTTCTTTAGTTGGGTATTGTTTTATGGTTGAATTTGATTCTGATTTTAGAGTAACCTTAAGATATCTGAATACGTTGTTGTTTTTGGGTATAAAATGCCTATACGTTGCTAAAGAATTTACCTTTTTAATGTGTATTCGATTCTGTACAAGTTGCTAAAGAATTTACCTTTTTACTGTGGAGCGAGAATGTGGGGTTGAAAATGATTGTGAACTAGCAAAATATGCACTTTGTGGAGGAGTGACTTTAGGGTTAGGACTTAGGAGGTTAATGTTTCTTAGTTATGCAAGAAAAAGTATAAAAAGACAGTTCTGATTGCAGTGACCCTTAAATTTAAGAGTATATTATAATATTGAATCTTGCAAGATTTCGGGAAAAAAACAAAATTGAATCAATTCAGCTGGAAAATTTGTAATTATGAATTAATTCTGCAGACCGAAGTAAAATTTATCCACTTGTACATCAATCTATGATTTTTGTGACATGGGTAGCAGTTGTTGTGGAATTCTGGAATGGTAATTACATAGTACTATTTCTGTATTACACATCCACAATATATATTTATATATATCTATAGATATATATAAATATAAATATATTATACGATTACACCATGAGTGTTCCTTTAGAAAAGGAAAAGATTGTTCCTTTCCAAATTCATCTGGAAAATAGTTTGTTATGAATTGGAATATTAAAAGATAAGCGCAAGGATCTTTTAGCTTTATGAGTATTGAATAATTCATGTATGAAATGAATGGCTAAATCAAATAAAATATTATGTACTTATCTTTGGTGCAAGTATTTATTTGTTTTGTTCAAGAGGGATGTCATTTATTGTCGCGTATTTACTAGAGGCAAAATTTTTTAATCAAGCTGTATGATTGCAATCTTTTGCTATGGATACTATGTATATAGACTATGGATTTTTATGAAAGAACATTTACTTTTGGTTAACAAAGAAGTGCACTCATACTTAGTAGAGTCATAAAGAGCTTTGATGCCATTTAGACTTATGAAGAACCTTTGTTACTTATATAAAGTAAAGTCAGAGACTTTTTTAATTTGCATCTTTTAGGATTCGCACGTTATGATTTGATTCTGGACAAAAAAAGAAAAGAAAATTCTGGCTGCTTTTCTAGTATCTTCAAGACTTGAACATAATTAGTGCTGTCTAAGTTGGTGCATCTACATGGCTTTTTACTGCTTCAGGGCATGCTTAATTTATTTTCGTGGCTGAACTTGATCTTTGCTGTGTTGAAGTAATAATTTTAGTAGTAATAATTTCGTAATAGGCATCTTGGTTATCTTAACCTTCTTTTACCTCCAAAATTATGTTAGAAGTGTACTACTGGGGATCAATATGAGGTTTTGCAAGAAAAATAGGAAGAATTTATACACTCAACAAGGCTCTAATCGCCTCTCCTCTGGCCTAGGTTAGGTCTCGCTCCGCGTTAACGTGCTAGCCTTTTAGTGATCAGCTAACCATATCCCAACCTTCCAGAAGAAAGACCGAACTCAGTAGACAGTAGAGGATAGAATAAGCTTGTACAGTTGTACTGTCGTTCAGCAGATTCTGTTTGTTATGAGTGAATTTCTATTATATGGCCTATTTTCATGCTAGGTTTTGCTAATTCTCTTGATCATACCATGTAAACAGATTGGAGTGTCCAAGCAACTGTCAACTGGGTACTGTCTGAGACTTTTGGGAGTTCAAATGTATCAATTGTTGCTGAAGAAGATGTCCAAGCACTGTCCAAGGATGATGCAGCAGGTCTACTAGAAGCCGTGGTGGAAACAGTAAATGACTGCCTAGCTGAAGCACCTCGTTTCGGGCTTGAAGGTCCTGCAAAGGCTCTTGGAACTACAGAGGTTCTTGAGGCCATCAGTCGATGCAATTCAACCGGGGGTCCCACAGGAAGATTTTGGGTCCTGGATCCTGTTGATGGGACATTAGGATTTGTACGCGGGGATCAATATGCTATTGCTCTGGCATTAATAGATAATGGAGAACCTGTGCTTGGAGTTCTTGGGTGTCCAAATTACCCAATGAAGAAGGAATTGCTGAGTTATCATAATGGCTACCGTAGAATTATATCTAAGTTGACCCCGCCAACATCGGATTCTTGGAACCAGGGTTGTGTTATTTATGCAAGGAGAGGTAATGGCAAGGCCTGGATGCAGCCGTTGCTCCATGGAGAAAAGAAGTTTGTCTGGCCGAACTCTGCAAGGCAAATCCATGTTTCCACGATTGATGACCCTGCATTGGCAACATTTTGCGAACCAGTTGAGAAGGCAAATACAAGCCATTCCTTCACAGCTGGACTAGCTTACAGTGTTGGGCTCAGGTTAATATTATTTTCTCTCTTTTACAAGAACTAAAACTTTAGCCTATACATTTGTTAACTAACACATTCATTCCGCTTGTACAATCAAAACATATAGATGAAATTAAAACAGTAAGGGAAATTACAAAAGAAAAGAAATAGGAAAGTGAAGTGAAAAAATGATTGTGACAAGTATGCATTTGTTCAATAAAAAGGAGATATTTTCACTAAACATACTATGTTTCAACTGCAGGAACCAACCATTACGTGTATACAGCATGGTGAAGTATGCAGCCATAGCCTGCGGGGATGCTGAGATTTTCATGAAATTTGCTCGGGCTGGCTACAAGGAGAAGATATGGGATCATGCTGCCGGTGTTGTTATCATTCAAGAGGCCGGTGGTGTGGTAACTGATGCCGGAGGTCATCCACTCGACTTCTCAAAGGGTATGCACTTAGAAGGACTTGACCGGGGCATAATTGCTTGTGCTGGAGCAAAACTACATAACAGGATTATTAGAGCTGTTGATGCTAGCTGGAACTCTTCTAGTCTATGACATATTGTTGCATAAAATCAATGATCTCATATTGCAGAATTTTGGCAGGGTAAAGGAACCATAGCTCTCACTGCTTGTCAACATTGGTTTAGCCAACATCATAAATATGAGTATGGTTCAAGGATAACAAGGAATAAAACTCCTCTTACTGAAGCCAATGATTCTTGATGTTTGGACAATATAAGGAAATGAAATGATAATAATTATTTTTTCATTAATACAGCCCAAAGTTACTGTGCATTTGTGTCTTTAACATTCTTGTTTCCGATTTTATTTTCCCTGGTTCATGAGCATATCTTCATCAGCGGTTCTTGGTTCTTTAAAATAGGATGCGATTGTGTTGAAATTTCATTTGTAATAGAAAGCTCTTCAACTTTCAGAGCAATTGGTTGTTCACATTCCATTGGTGTCAAAAGCTCCTAGGTTTGGACCATGACAACTTCTAAGGCCCAGATGAGGGGGCTATGGGGATCTGAAGGTCATATCGGGGCAAGCGGATCATTTATGATGAAGAAGATGAGTTTCAAGAGAATGATTCGGAATTCTTACAGAGTGGAACCATGCAGTACAAACGAGATATCACTTAGAACTATCGGAATTTTTGAAGGTTTTTAGTTAGCTGGGCTTTGAATCATGGTTTTCTTGAGCCTATGGTATGGCCAAGTCTAACGGCTACAAAAAAATTGTGGCGGTCCAAGAGAAAATCCTACTGATTTGAGATTTAAGTAACTAAGGCCAAATTTGTGTGATTAACAAGAAAGTGACTATAGTTTTAGCACATTTATGCTTCACTTGTCACTCACTCAGTAAAGTGTTTTAATGAAGCTAATAAGGGTACTAATCTATAAACCCCCTATTCTCGTCAAAGCTAATGAGGGACAGCTCACATGTTTAGATAAAGTACAAACTGACTTCTTAACTTATTGTCGCTTGAAAAGATTGCATTTCCCTTTGTACCGAATAGCTGTATCAAAATCATGACCATAGTTTCATTAATGAAATAAGTGGTTGGACATGTAAATGACCCATGTTTATGATTGTCATAAAGATTTTGATGTCAATGGTCGACCCTTTCTTTAAATGCTTCAGATTCTCATCCATGAGTTTTTCTAGTGCCTACTCTGCCAGCCAAGCCATAATTCAAGTTTATTATCAACCCTGAAGTGATTTTTTTAACCATATGGTAAATTCTTATGATATCATATCATACTCGAATAATGATTGTAACATACTGGGATTGAGGATGATTAGAGTACTTGGCCGAGATTAAAAGATTTTGATTTAGATCACCATAATAGGAGATATGGTTGTAGAAATTCTTTCTTTGCAGTGATTTTAGCATAACCAATCTTTACATGAACGCTTTAATGTTTTATATATACACTACAACCTATTTAACATACCACAATATTGATCATTTTGTAATTTCTTTATTTACAAATTGTAGTCAGGATGATTTTTATTCCTTTAATATAGTGGATGGAATCCAGACTCAGTATATATATATATTATTAAAGGAATAGTTCGATTACACAAATCGACTAAAAAAATAGGTCCAAATAGAATTATTCTATTATTTATCAATAATCAAGAATAAAATAATAGTAACAATTAATTTCAAGGTTCAAGTTTTAGTATTCTAAAAATCAAAGGCAAAAGAAAAAGGTATTAAGTCAATTTTTATTCACATAATTTTTCCCCAAGTAAATAAAGTGCTATTGATAGATAATAAATTGTAACGGAACAAAAGAAAGCAGCCCAACCAAAAAGCAATGGGCCTACAAAAGATCCAACAAAAAGGCAAGCAGCCCAAGCAAAGCAACAAATAGGGGTCAAAACCAGCCCAACAATAATTTCCAAAACAAAGAGGAAACAAAATCCTAAACTAAGCACGCACTTCAAATTAAATAAGTGACAATAATTCTATATTTTTGTATAATTCAAAGTTCTCTACCATGCAGCATTTTCGTTTTTCTGATATAACTATAGTATCAAATGTTCCTTTATGTAATAATTTATGGGTATGGGAGGACTGTCTGCAACTATTTTATGTAGGAATTATTATTTTTTAATAATATTATGACATAAAATAGTAAACAATATAGCACATTATTATTGAAAGTAATGTGGGTCACATTATGTTGTTTAAGCTTTATTGACTTTAATTAATACCAACAATTGTATTGTAATCACTGCATGACGTATTTGTAAAGGAAAAAAAATTAAAAAAAAAAAATAATCACTGAATTAATGGCAGGAGCAGAGCTGGATTTTCAAAATCGTATTCATTTCACATGTGGCCCATCCCTGCCAAAAAATTTCAAAATTCTATGCATGGGGTTACCATCAATAGTTGTTAACAGTGAATTTGCAAAGAGTCGTGATAGGGCTTGGATCTCTCCTGGAGTGTCCTTTGAAAATTCAATTAAATTAACCTTGAACCACTCAAGTCGATCTGGCCTGTTCATTACCTTTTTCCACAATATTGTGGGTGGTCATCACTCTATAACTTTCCTGTATATCCATGTGTGTAAAAATATATGGAAACTCATAATTAAATTCTACAATGTGCAATAATTACGTCCAACCTACTTGCATGCCTTGTGGATGAGTCCTTATGGAGGTCACCTCAACTGCCATCCACCTTCTCTATCTCTTAAAGTCGCTCCCCCTCTCTCTCTCTCTCTCTTAAATGCTTTTGTCACTCTCCTCACCCACACTATTTAATTGTCCGCAACCTCTCTAAGTCTTCCTTCTCACTTATCACAATCTTCACCTGTCTTTTCAAAATCAAACATCATGAACTTCATAAACATTTTTCTCATAGCCTTCTTGCTCGCCACAGCCTCCCTCTCCTTTGCCACCCGACCCGACCCATCTGGATCCGCCAAAGCTCCGGCCAAGGCCAAAGAGAAAGCCCACAACAACACCAACAACAAAGGTAGTGCCGGAGGAAATGGTGGGAACAGCAACAACAACAAAGGTGGTGATGGCGGAGGAAATGATGGGAACAACAACAAAGGTGGTGGCGGTGGCAGCAGCGGAGGAAATAGTGGTGGGATGGGCGGATTCCCCTTCGGTCCCGGAGGAGGGTTTAACATTCCCGGGTTTGGAAACGTAGGCGGCGGGTACGGATATGGATATGGAGGTCCGAGTGGAGGGCACTCCAAGGGTGGGGTGATTAGGCCCACCGTGGTCTGCAAAGAGAAGGGTCCGTGTAAAGGGAAGAAGCTGACGTGTCCGGCCAAGTGCTTCAGCTCTTACAGCCGATCCGGGAAGAACTACGGTTCCGGCGGAGGTGGTGGTGGTTGCACCATGGACTGCAAGAAGAAATGCGTTGCTTACTGTTGAGAAGAAGAGCAGCAAGTAGAAGGTTCAACCTTCTCTCATATATATAATATTATATATATATATATATAGTAGTATCAACTATATATGCATGTGATGCTGTTGTAGTTTTGGTACTTGCTATTTAGTAAGCGATCTAAACTTAATCAGTACTATTATATGTATATTGGGCGTGATTTTGGTGAATGTTCTTCATTTGGGTGTTTCTCTTCAGTTTTTTTCTTTAATATCATATATATCTATATATATAACTATAATTTTGAATAAGATGAGAGAAGATTTTATGAAAATTAAGTGTGGTATAATTAAGGATGTGGACCGTGTACCTGGTGGTCGTTGTGATGTATTAACTCGTGGGAATAGGAGAATCGTAATTAAAGCCATTAGAAAAAAATTTATTATTTATTTATTTATTAATCATGGCAATAAAGGCACACACCCACTTACTTTTATAGGCAGCTACAGCGCACAGACACCTTTTTTTTTTTACGAAAGTTCTTACATGGTAATAGCTTATAGCTTATTTCGCATAGTTTTTCATAAAACTATTTTTGTTTAAAAAATAAAAATAGATGAAACCACATGTTTTATCACATGACCACATCTCATAGCATGTTATAGAGTCATTATTGAGAGTCTGATGGTTCACAACTCCACTATTGTTTTAGTGAAAGAAGAGTTTATCGTCTCTACTCATATCGAGTTAATTAATGTCATATTCAAAGCATTTCTTGTTACATATTTAACTAACATTTTTTGCAATTTCTAATCATTTTGTGTTTATTGGAAATCGAACACCATAAAAAATGATTTGCTTTTTTTTTTTTTTGTCTTTTAAATTTTCAAACTTTTCATACTCAAATGTACGAAAAAAAAAAAAAAAAAAAAAAAAAATTGGTAAACCCATAGCAAAGATGAAAATGAAAGTAACAACGCGTACTTGCCTCGGTGAATTATTGATAGTCTGCTTTGGTCTGCCTAGCCAGATTGACATTCTGCACCAAACCATTCGCTTAAATGGAACCATAAGTCCTTTTCAAAGAATTTCATGCATATAAAGTTATGCAATAAACTTTTTTCAGACAAAAAACCAAATCAAATGCGCACACAAATCAAAGTGCCAAGGATCAGATTTACAAAGGCAAACATCTCTAGTTCACAGCAGGTATGCTTCTATCTCGTTTTTACATGATAGAATTGCCTCAAAAGTCTTCTAATAAACCCTAATAAAAAGAAATTAAACAACGAAATAATACATAAATGCCCCGTATGAAACAGAAGTAACAAATAGCCAGCTGAAGCAACCACATCCACATGCAAGATGGTTATCTAGCTTCATTCATGTAGCTCAGTGTCAAGTGTCATACAGCTGCTCTCAAAGCTCCTCTAGCCGCCTCACGCTTCATCTCTGCAGCTTTTCCACTTCCTCGGAAATACATGTATACTTGCTGCATTATGAGATATAACACACAATGAACAAACCAGGAGAAATGAGTACTGCAAAGAGCATGCAACAAATTTGCCTCGAGTTTCTTAGAAGGTATTTGACGGAATTGAAAGTAAATAACTAGACCTGAAGAACCCAAACGCTGATCACTGTTTCAACGCAGAACAGTCCAAATCCAATGAAGTAGAATATCTGGCAAAATAAATTCATGAATAAGGTTACAAGCTCAGTACTTCATTTGTGCATCTCATTCGGAGGCACATCTTCTGCCATTCAAGGGCACACCAGGGGAAGAAATGTAAAAAGAACATGGACTCAACTTATCTCAACCAAATAGATAGTAATTGGAACAACCCATGGAATAATAATTATGCCAAACATTAAATGGTGTAGCAGGGATCAAACTTACCCCGACCAAAGCGTGGTTGCTTACGACATCTATAGCAGGCAGGATACCTCTGCTCCAAAAAAAGCATGAAAAACATTAGCAAAGCATGAAAAAACTAATCACTCGTACATGACATGCCATTTCAAGGGAAACATATCACCTCAAAGAACATTAAACACTAATAACCTAATTAACCCCTTAGAAAAATTTACCGTACAGGAAATTACCAATTTAATAAATGAGAACTAACAAAGTAACTAAACGTGTGTGCGCGCGCGTTTGTTTTACCATTCCCCTGCCCCCAAATAAAAAAAGAAAAACTTCAGACTAAAAGGGTTGAAAAGTATGAACTTACGTGAGAGATTTCCCTTTGAAAAATATAGGAGGAGCAACAGCAGCAAAGATGCAGAAGCCAATGTGAATCTGTTGGCAAAGGGCAAAAATGAAGCATCCTCCACGACAAGTCAGAGTAGACAACAGATCCACAACAAAAATACGGGAAGGCTTACCATATAAAAAAGGAAAAACCATCCGAACTTCATTGCACTTTCAGTCCTGCAACAAGGATTTTGATGTTAAAATATATATAGTCAAAGACTCAAACATGTCAACTAAACTAACGGCATTAGCAAAGGTGGTCAGAGAAACTGAATAGGTCTCATTAAGAAGATCTATGAAATGACAGTTACCACCAAGGATTGGCTTGAGTGGTATCTCCTCCACCTCCCAAAGAAGAGGTAAAGGGTTCGAGTCCCAGTTGGGAAGTGGATTTGTTTCTTATCTATCCCAAAAAAATAAAATAAAAAGAAAAAAATCCATGAAACATATAGATCCAATCTAGTAATAATGATAATAAGATTTTTCTACTAAAATTTATCCAAAGATTATCCTGGCAACAAAAAAAAAAAATTTCAGCCATCTTAGAAAACTAATCTGCAGCCAAGATACCAATATAATGGTGCAGTTTCACCCTTACTAGTCCATTACTTGACATTTTTGCCACTTATTGGATCTCCTCATCTCCCACATGGACTACAAAATACAGATAGAAAAAAACTGGTAGCCATACAAGGACAAATTAAATTTGCAAAATATTTAAACACTAGTACCTAAACGCACGATAAAGTGGCCGATACCACAACACATAGGCTCCTGGAACCCCTGCTATGAAGTAGATAACAGCCAGGAACCAAATTTTCACGCCTGCAACAACACAAGTAAAAATATCAAGTGAAAATGAATTAGGAAATCAGATCAATAGTTAAAGAGCAAAAATAATGGAAGTACAGACGAGATCAGAAATCTTTCCATACTAACCTTCCCCTTTAATCCATGCCGTAGTAGTGGCAATAATATTCCACAGAAGACATGATGCCAATCCTGCAAACCATCAGCACTTATACATTGTGAGCGTGGACCATTATCAGTGGCTTTTTAAAGTAGCTTAAGGTATACAAAGGCAAAGATGTTCACGGCATGGATAATACTATTGACTTCAATTTTTAGCGACTATGATACAGTGAGCACAATTTTTGTCCCCTTTTCCAAAAACATTCACTATACCAACACAAAAACAGGAATTCAGAATGTCATGCCACTACCCAGTCATCAAAGATGGGCTTATCCTGGTCATCAGCAGCAGAGATTTTTCATAGTGCTTTGTTGTTCGCAGAACACAACATTAGGTCAAAATTACTACTACAGTGGCAGAATACAGAGCTTTGAGAGATGTAACTGTACAAGCTTGGCAAACATCAGCAAAATTCAAATTGAGGCTGATTATAAAGCCATCATTGACTGTTTATAACAAAGACTATAGATGTTTTGGAAGACTTGGGAGTTTTATCAATGATATTAAGAATATTTTGGTTGAAATTTAAGAAGATTTATCATGTGCATCAGGAAGCCAACAGATTCACTGATTTTTTAGCAAATATGACATTCTATAGATGATTATTAATGTTAGGAGAGGTGGATTCCAGAGCCATGTGGGCAGAATTGTCTATACTGGTAATGCAAGTCCATAAGAGATTGAGATAAGTTTTGGGCTCTTATTATACTTGCTTTCACACATTTCAAACAGAGCAATTGTACCCTATAATGAAAAGTGGTCAATGATGGTGGTGGGATTATGCAAACTCAAGTGGTGGTTAGAGAGGAGGTGAAGGGGATAAAAGGGATGCAAGTTTCTGATAGTGTATATTACATAATGATAGATAGATCGGGGAAAGAAAGTGCATAACAGAAATAGGATACCTCATAGGTTCATACGGTATCTTATAAAGGAGTCCAGCATGTAAAAGAAAACCACGGTTTCTCTCTCATTTCCTTTGTCTTCCACATGTTTTCTTGTTGAGGAGAAATAATTGGAAAGAGAGAGAAATTCTCGTCTACGGTTTATTTCTTATTCAATTATATCCAAAAATAGTTTATTCTCTAATTCAGTTTCTTAGACCAGAACACGATAGAAGTTCACAAATTAACCCAATTTAAGCCTAAAAAAATCTGTTTTCTTACCATATAATTTTGGTTTTAAGCATAAAGTTATTCCTATTTACTTATAAAAAAAAAAAAAAGTTATTCCATCAAGTGGCAGCTGAGAATTCACCGTGGGAAACCTTGTAAAAGTTTGGCATGTTTGATATGATGCATCAAAATGCATAAAAAGTGAAAGTTGCACGCAAAAGGTTTCTTTTGGATTGTGTATTCAATATAAGGACCTAGAAGGAAGTGAACAAATTCTACTCAAACTTTAGATCAAAAAATTCAATGCATCAATCACATATTTTCATAAAGTTTTTATGTGTAACTGCTAACTATACGCTAAGCCAAGAAAACAAAAATTACTTGTGTTCTCTCTTTTCTCTCAAAGCCGCCTTTATATTCACATGCTGCTTCAATGTGATCTCTTCTTAAAACAACCTAGATTCTTGTATTTATGTTTCTGAAGTGTTTTAAACTTTAAATATGTTTTTGACAAGTCCTAAATTGAGTTGGAATAAGAAAACTGTTTTTCACGGGCTCTAGACAAGTAGGATTGATCCAAGCATTTAGAGGATCGATCTCGCCATTTTGGATGAGAGCAATCGATCCCACTTCTGGAGGGCTTGGTCCCTCTATAATGTTTTGTAGGGATCAGCTCCTCAAACTACAGGTACAAATCCTACTTTGTTCCAATCGAATCGATTGACATTTATAATTCCAAATAGTCAAAAACTCACTAATTTAAGTCCACTTAAATATCACTTAAGTTTAGGGTAATCCAATTGTCTAATGAATTACACAGCCTAGACGTCCATCAAGGTTACACTTGCTTTATTCTAATGTAATTCAAACCATATGAGAGAAAATGCTTCCTCTGGTAAGATGACGACTTAGGAGCAAAAGGGACATTTTGTTTAACTCTTTTGTTACAGAATTTGGCAAAACACAAATACAACCTCTAAACAAAGTTTTCAGTAATACAAATATTCATTTAAGATGTTTATGATGTCTTCAACAAGAATAATATAAGACTATATATATATAAATAAAAGAACAGATGCTAGTGAACAAATCAATCAACTACATTCAACCGCCTAAAAGATAAAATAAATAAATAGAAGTTGCAGACGCCATGAGGTAAGAGACGATGGGATAGAAAAGAATCTTCACTCATGACCTAAAAACATGGTATTGCAACATAATTTTCCATTAAAACATATCTTAGCATGTCCGGTAACTTAAATGTATACAACATTCTGCATGCAAGTAGAATTCTAACACTTCATAAAAAAATAAAAAACCTGTACAACCAAGCAGAAGTAGACATACCCAACAATGTTGTAAATGCAACATATTGCAACCTTTGTAGATGAATTGGTATTTCATTTGCAATATCGTGATGTATAATTGGGAAAAATGGCGGCCAATTTTTCTCCTCAAGTACAATTCCAGCTGCAAAGCAAAAGGATGATGTCAACTTGTCAATCACAAGGCAGAATTAATGCGACATTTTGAATGTCAAAGAACCTTAGTATATAAGTAGGCATATTTGTGATTAAAACATAAATAAGAGAGTAAGTGCAGAAATTGAAATCCTGAAAAGCCTTCATATTTCTTTAAATGCTACAGAAAGACAATGGACTCTTCACATGCCACGAAGAATGCAATGGAAAACTAGGGCCCGTTTAGTTCACCCTTGTGTTTTTAGAAAATTGAAAATCAGAAAATAGTACAAAAGTTTCTTTGGTAGACAGTTTCCTAAAAACAGTTTTCTTAAAAAAAGTTCTATTTTCAGAGAATGCAAATAGTCTTCTGTTCTAAATTCTGAGAACTGGTTCAAGAAAACTGAACCATATAGGCCCTAGACTAGTGGTCTAAAAAGCCACAACTACTTAACCATAATATGCGAAGGACAAAAATTAAAAAGAAATAAATATAATAAGAGAGCCAAGCACCTCTTGCTGCAGCATCTTCTCTCCGTTTCACTTCCTGCATAGCATCAAGAATACAAATAAAAAACAACAATAAGGATGTATCTCTCTAATAAGTAAAGTTGCCACAAACATAAATGGTTTTCAAAATAAAAGCCACCCACTGAATTTCTTTTTGATATATTTTTGGTCCCCAACACCCATTTCACGTTTCAATTTATTTTGTTGTGATTTTTGGCCACCTGAGGTCAGTGCCAGGCAACTGCATTAATGTCTACTTTTACATAACAAAAGAACACACAAATTGGTTGGCTGCAAAATATTATTTTATGCAAAAGAGAGAGAGAGGGAGGGAGATGTTTCTAATCATGATATATTGCAAATGAGAATTCCACATCTTTACAGAGAAAAAGGACGTCTTCCATGTAAGATATCCTATAATGCCAAACATTTACATATATTATAAACATCACATGACAGTTAAGATTCTCAATGGGGAAAAAACAAAAAAGAAAAAATGAAATTTCTCGGAAATATATAAAATGATTGCTCATTATTAATGGTTTTCCCACTCTCAAGCGTAATAACTTCATGTATATTTAATCTTTACAGATTCACACCAACAACAAAATACCATCCTTGTAGTGCTAGAAATAGTTATAAACAACAGTCAGGTAAGATGCATGAAACTAAAATTTACTTGCAAGCAAAGTGAGGAAAGGGATGAAAAATAACAATTCAACAAGGTACAACCATACCCCAAAATAAATGTGAACCAATTCATAAAGTTCAGATATCTGTCAGTAAGTACCTGTTCCCTCTTTCTCAATTCAGCCTCCTTAGCTTGCAGGTCCTTCTCTTTCCTTCTTAAATCCTAAATTTGAAAACAGATCTCAATTAGAGAAACTGAGATTTATACATATAGATTAGTCATTTTCGCAATCTCAAAATTTTGCGCAAACCTTGGATGAATTTGTATCAAGAGGAATATCATATGGGGCACCACGGTCATAGTTGAAATCTGCAGGTTCAGGAGGAAGAGGTGAAAGCCTCGAGTTTGTGGCAGAAGGAACGCTCCCAGGCTTCAAGTAATCCCCAAAAATAATAATACAAATAAGTGTTTAGAGAAAGGGGGAGATACGAAAATTGAAATATATAAATATATGATAACATACTGAAGGATGAAAAAATGTATGAAATATCACAATGTATGCAGACGCAACATTGATATAGCATTGAAAAGAATTATGTCAATCAGAAATTTAAAAGATCACATCCAAATAAAACCACCAGCTGTTAGCTCAAGTGGTATCTCCTCCCACCCAGAAGAGGGAGATACAGAGTTTAAATCCCTGACAGACAAATGAAAAAAGAAACTATCCTACTGGACAGATTTCATTTGTTTACCAATATGTATCGACTCGTAACTGCATCCACTATCTCGACATTCCTAGTGAACCATGAATATGTTCCTTTGATCCATTGTTAAACACTCTTATTACGAATGTGTTTGAGGGGTGTCTTGAACATATATCCCCTAACCACACCCGTGTTGTCTTGTATTCAGAACAGTACCTATACTTTTTTAAGTAGTAATGGCACATGAACATAAGCATATTAATTTCGAAACAAAAATCCACAACATGGAGAACCGCCAGCAGAAATGGCATATACTACCCACCTATTTAAAGCAACTTATTTGCAATTATACCCTATAATTCTTATATAATTGAAAGAATTTGAAATCCTTCTCTATATAGTAAATCCCTCATTCTAAATTTATACTCTAATATTATAAATAATTGAGCATAAATCTTTAATTTCACATCCTTCAAGCCAAATGGAGCCTAGAACAATTTCAAATCCTTCTCTACATATCATACAAATAAGAGAATAAGATCCAATTGACTGTAAAAACAATATACTACAAAAGAAGATTCAGTTTCAGTAATAACAGTGAATAAGTAAATTCACTTCATAACCTAACCAACAAGAGAGAGCCAGAACTGCATAGTTAACCCAACAAAAAAGGGAAAAACAATATAATTTGCGAAGAAAAGCAAGACTTACGTTTTCATCATCTACACGGATAAAAATATATATATTAATTAAAAAAAAAAAAAAACACACACACACACACACAAGCCGTCAGATATATCAATTCGAACAACTAAAAAGAATCCACTTGAAAAGCTACATCGATTGTATAATCAAACAAATCAGCTAACTATCCACAAAAAAAAAATTTTACAATTTGAAAATTTTCAGAACCGCGACTATTTATTTTAAATTATTCCGTATATACAGACTCTCATACTACCAATATACATATAAATATATATTTGTGTCTGTGTAGAGAGAGACACACAGAGGAAGAGAGAGTGTGGATGATAGCTAAGGCACTTACAGCAAAGGGATTAACTTCTTCTTCAGCGAAGGGATTGTCATATCGCCCGGCCATGAGTAAGGTTCAGTGTAGGCACCAATTTCACCGGAAAAAACAGAATTCTGAGATCTGAATGTAACTTCTGTGTAAAGATTGAACCTTTGAATGAAAAGATCAGATTTTAGAGAGAGATTTTTTTTTTTCACCAAATTTAGAGAGAGATTGAAGGAGGAGAAATTCAAAAATTTAGGCCGACCTCTAAGGCTCTAACATGTGATGATGTGAAGAAGGAAAAGTAGAAGGTCCAGAGAGAGAAAGTGGACTTGTCTACGGTCAACTAATTATCTTTGAAATGGATGGCTTTTTGTCCGAGAGAGAATATGAGAGGGAGATTGCATTACATGTGACCCCACTGGATCAAAACTCAACAATTTTAATTTTGTAGAATTTCTTTTATTCTATTTCCTGAATTAATTTTAATCTTTTGTCGAATTTCTTTTATTCTATCTATTTTCCTGAATTCTTTGTCAATTTAATTATGGGGAAAAATACTCCCAAGTTATTAATTTTTGACGACTTATTTTCCTTGAAAATGGCAACACACCAATTTTGAGGTATTTTTTTTATTTATTATTATTTTTTACCTCTTATTTTTATTCAAAAATCACTTAGCAGAATACTCTTTTTATGTTTTTTCTATTTAATTCATTTAAATTCTCTTCAATTATTATTTTTTAAAAGTTCCAGTATTTTTAATATTCTAACTTTTTTAAATATGTGGGTAAAGTTTTTCTACAAAAATTTTTTTTTTAGTAATTTTTTTTTTTCGGTATTTAGCAAAATCTTAAGTCAAGATCGAGTACATCGAGTGGGACATATAAAATAATTTATTAAAAATTACTAACTAAGTTATATTTGTTATGTTTTATTTATTTATTTTTTTTTGTAAATATTTATTACAATCAGATAACAAAAAATAAAAATAAAATATTTTACATTCAAACAAACAAAACGGTGAAAAAAAATAATTTATTTTATAATATCTAATAAAGTAGCGTGAATAATATGATTAGAATAATATGATTAGAGTTTAGTTTAGTTTTTTTTTTTTTTTTTTTGGCATTTTGCCCATTTAATTGTACTAATAAATCTTTCGTTACATGTTAAGAACTTGTCATACTCAATTAAGTTTTTATATGAAAATTTCTTTCTTTACATAATAAGAAGTACCTTGAATCACATTCTCAATTAAGTTTTTATATTAAAATTTTATTTTTATATTTCATCAACAAAAATGTAAGAAGTAAAAAAAATATTAAATTAAACAGTAACCCTTTTGATATAGTATTATAGGAGGATATCGTAACTTGTAAAGTGTGTGTACCATCTTATTATGAATAAAATTTAAAATTTAAAATACAAATGACGTACGGACTTGCTTGGTAAGTTTTGTCTTATCTCTTGTCGAAGAATTTTTTTTTACAACTTTTGGATGATTGACTTGTTTAGTTTTGATGTCACTAGTGATTGCACAGAGGGATACTAATAACCATTGGTGAAGCAAGCCAAAGTTCAATTTTCTCTAATGAAATGTAATAATAATATAATAAAAACAACAATAAAGTAATCGGAAATGTAATAAAATACTCGTAATAAAAATAACAATATTTCTTTATTTTATTTTATTTTAATTATTTATTTTGCACGACAATATGTCATTTGTGTCGATTATATGGATTCGACTACCAACCAAGATTGACCTTCTAGACCAATTCGCTGTGGGCAGTTGTATTGAAATTTCTTATAGTGGCGTAGGTATAGCATTGAAATTTATTATACCAGACATTCAAAATGAATTTTTTTAAGTTGAGCCATCATCCGTCATAACTCAAAACACGTAGATCTGTGTCCCACCAATTGATTTTTTTATTGTTTTATTATTTTGAAGTCTCAGCATGTTAATCTCGCGTTTGTATGCGGTTTTGTTTTTGTTTCTGGAATCAAAATATTTCTTTTTGTCTTCATCATATTGGACTTTGTACTTCTTCATATAGAATTTGAGAAATGCCCTTTTCATATTTTGATCGACTGGTTTAGAACTTTGACGAAACAATTTTGAAAGTTTTTGTTAAATTTTGCAGGAGACCAAACTAGCTAATTGGTAACATAACCCCAAAAACAACAAAAAAAAAAAAAGGCTTATGTTGCGTTCGTGAGCAATTAATCGGAATTTTATAATTGAATTAGGAGTAAATTTAGTTCACACTATGAATTAATTTACTTCAATTCCAATGTCAATTTCAAAGCGCCAATTCCATCTCCCAAACAAAGAAATCATGTTGAAGGAGGGAGCGAGGGAGGGGTTGGAAATAGAAAGGAAAAAAAGAACAGCTGAAATTAAAAACTTTCTATACCAAATATGACATATCTGTCTCTGTTCAAATAATGAAATAATGATAATATAATGGGCCTAAACAAATTAAATTACAATGCAATGATGACTTCAGGCCCATAATATTATCAAACCACTTGTGCCAATTGACGTCTTTGGATTAATTTGTTCTTGCGCCTTCTGTTATTTTGTTGCTTGCGTTTTCGGTTAATTTGTTGGTTAATTTGTTGCTTGAGTCTTCGGTTAGTTTCCCAGTTCTTGTCATGCTTCACAGCTAGTTCCCAGCGATCAACCCACTCCTCGTCTTCCTTCACAGCTCGTTCCCACCGCTGTTTAAATTTTCGAAGCTCTGACAATGATTGCCTCCGAATCTGCCCAGTCCGATTTGAACGCAAGATCAAGAAGTTCCGTTATTACTTATTAGTGAAGATGATAAATGGTTCTATATGCATATAGTGTCTTGAGCATTTCACCATCTTAAACAATGTCACATGCAAAACCTACAAACCTGGGACCAAGATCAAACTTAAACAAAACCTAACTCCGCAACCAAAAACATAGATATATCTGGGTCAACGTGCAAGAAAGCAGCACGCATTCGAAGCAGTCATTTAAAAAAAATACTTCCATAGCTTAAATTAACTGTTCTGAACATCCTACTTAAGGTTTCAAGATAAATGATCCTCATGCACTATGTCCAAAACCAAGTCTTCGCCAATTCTTCAATCCAAGAGTAAGATGCTTGCCCGAAAAATCATCTACAAGAATCCAAGCTTTTGGCTTCTTTTTTTTTTTTTTTTTCCTCATTGATTCTAAGCTGCTATGTAGGGAAATGGTAGATATTTAGTCGCACTTATGAATAGATTCCTGATCTATGGCATGCCCTAAGTTCAGCTGAAGATAACTACTTAAGACTGTCACCTGAGTTGCAAACCAGGACTATGATTATTTTAGGTATGGGCAAGTTATGCCCAATTTAATAAAAGGATATTCAAGATGGGAAAAAAAGGAGGATATTCAAGAGAAAATGGACTAAAAATGACAATTACAACACATTACAGTTCTAGTTGTCTCTTACCTCCAATCGCACATCAACAGCATGGCTCTGAAAAAAAACAAAAAACAACTTAAGAATAAGTAGTGCAGTAGCAATATTTGAGTTAAGGAAGAAATCATGGTAAAATATACCTTCATTTTCTTAAAAGAATATGAGAAAGAGGGAAGACAGAAATAAAAGCTTGAAGAAGTAAAAGGAATTATACCTTCACTGACTCTTTAGGAACAGAATCCTACACCAAGAAGAGGTTAATTAGTACCAGGTGGAGAATAAATGACGCAACAACAACAAAAGTTAGAAACAGTAATAATTCTGAGGAAACTCTTGCTTCTGCCACTGAAAAGAGATGCATATGTGGGAGGAGATGCAATTAAGAGACTTAATCTGAACAGAATTTGGCTTCAGTAATTCCCTTACCTGCTGTTTATACAAGTATAAGCCTTATTTATTTTCTTTTTTCAACACCATAGTTCCAATTATTCCTAAGATAAGAACATTGGCTAAAGCAAAAATTTGCATGGTTCTAAGCATGAGTATATGTATTTAGTTCATCTAATAGTGAAACAGCTGTCAGCACTAAGCACTGGATCCAGCGAACCAACCTGCTCAACGACCAAGCATCATCAGATAAGCTGGAAGTGCAAGGCAAACTCCATAACATTTGACATTATCGAACCACAACTGGAGATACCTTGAGCTAAATTTTGCAGATACTGATACTCTTTATTTTAGTTAAGACCAAATATTCAATTATTGCACTTCAAATATCCAATCCATACATGCACATTTCATATATATATATATATTGTTTTATGTATATGTATATATAGGGTCTGACTGGAAAATAAAAAATTGGGATATCTGTTGACATTTTGAAGAAGTAAAAAAGGATGCAGCTTGGGAACTTCTTAATAGAGCATGTGATAGATAAATGCATAGACAAAAAGAAAGAACCCCACATGTCAATTATCTACTCAAAAAAAGCAAAAGTCCTAGGGAGGCAACATGGTAAACGTTGAAAAAAGAACCAATACCAATTAGATATACCAATGATATTATGAATATATCAGATATAAAGTAATTAACAACAGAACAGGTGGACATGAGACAAATAGCTTCCAATCACAATAGTGTATGTCATTTGCGAATATAGCTTCTACTGATAAAACTAGAGTAGTTATAAAGCAGAACTATGGGGATGCACTTACAGAAGAAAACTTTAATGAAGGCAACTGAAGATGTGAAAATAGAGAAAACTTATTGCATATCAATATTACTCTTAAAACCATGACACATAAATATTAAGTAATATAATTCGCTTCACAACTTCTAAATATTCAAAACAAAATCTTAGTCATCATTTTCCCTACAATCAGTACAGCCTTAAAAATCTATTTATTACCAGTTAACAAGAGTAATTTGGACAAAAAACATGTAGTAATGCCATTTGATGATAGAACACAGAATTGATGAGGAAATGATGAATACAGGAAAAAGTCGAACAAAAATAAAAGGATTAATTAGGGAAATGACCTTTCTTGCAGGTGTTCCGCCCAAAGTTTGTATGCCCTGATGAACTATAAATTCACTATCAACAACTCCCACCTTCTTCGTTCGGTCCCCCTGCAAAGACAGTTTTATCTGAAACTATAAGAACATTTGACATATATAAACAGTATTCAAACCTGGCACAACGAAAAAGGCATATAAAAAACCCAGAGCCAAATGCTTTGAATTGAAGGGTTCAAACGATGATACTTTTCACACCCAAATGCCTCGAGAACATAATATGATGTGTATTTAGGTGATACATAATGAAACCTAAAAGTTGTATCTTTGGATTTATGTATTTAAGAAAATCACTCTCACTACAAGAGAATCCAAAGCAAGCAATTGGATTACCATTTTAGCTCTGTATCTTCTTGGTGCAAACTGAAAGTAACGGAGGCAGGTTATGATACTCAAAAGAATATTACAACAAAGCAGAAAGCAAAAATTAGCATGGGGTTTATGCTGATGGAAAAAATTATGGTGTTAGAAGCCATGATGATTGTAACACCCCAAAATACACGACATAAATTATTAGTTGCACGTGTTCCAAGGTATACGCAAGGATTCATTCAACCTACGATCCTGTAATTTTGTTTGCACATCCACACACTACAGATTTCATTTCACCTAATAGAATCCTTATATATATACAAATGAAATAAAATAATGTAAAACAGATCCAGTTGAAATCATAAAAGGAATGCCAATATCATCAGTTCTTACGAATGGAATGAGCTAAACAACCCTGTATATATACTGGCCCTTAAACTAGAATTATTAATTTATCTCTTGTATACTAACATTTGTATAAATTCTCACATCCGGGTGTCAAGTTAAATCCACACGTGCGTGCAGAGAGATATATAGATATATATAATATAATAATTGGATTTATTGAACATTAAATTTACTCAGTCCTTCAATTTCATGGCTAAATGTTATGAAAAGTACAATAAATCACAGGCAGTAAATGATCATGAAAATGATGCACAGAAATCAAAAAGTGATGCACAAGCACATATAATTAGAGCAGCACACATAAAACAATTGGTATGCTAATGCGAGTAATTAATTGAATAATGGGGTAGTATGCGTGAATGTACTGTGGATTGACAACGTAAGTAAATTAATTTCCAAATATTCCATATTTTTGTAAAGATGGCATGGCACAGGCAGGATATGGATTAACCTCTCTTGCTGTCAAACCCAACCCGAAACTGTCACTGGGTGCATTGACACTAGTATAATATGGCTCAAGCTGATGTCAATATTTCTTTATAAAATTATATATTTATTTGAGTCCTTTTTTTTTCATTTTTTAATCCATTTAATGACTCCCATATCTCTAGCAAGGGCTAGCGGCTACTACTCCTATCATTACATCTTTGTTTCTACTCAACGGACGACCATTCACTACCGACTAAGGTTATTCAACCCAATTGAAACTATCCTCACAGTATCAGTATCATTATTCAAGTCAGTCATGAATGTACAGTGCATGTAAACTCAATCTATTGTTACCAAGCATTTGAACCCACCCATCAAATCATTTCCGCCAAGAGTATATTAATTATATATTTATATATACTAAAAATAACTTCAATTACTGGTTCTACATTTATGGTTTGCTAGAATGTTCAAAGTCGATGCATGTGTTCAAAAGATTTACTAACTAAATCAACTGATACTATGATCTACTATATACTAACAACAAATCAAATCTTAATCTAAAGTTGGGAATTCCCTTCACAAAATTGAACTCTAGATTAAAAATAAAGTATATCTATTTACACAAAATTATTGCACTGATCGAAATTCTAAAAGAATGTACAGGAACATTTACATAAAATTAAACCTTTGGTTAAGAATAAGTTTACCTACTTACCTCATATTTCTATTAGGAATTCTACATCTTCTTCCTTCTCTCTCTCTCTCTCTCACAACTAGGGGAGCTGATTGTGGACAATAAATTTATGTCCACGCGGGAAAGTATTGGGCAGAGGTGGTGTTGGATCTATCGGTAATGACGACCTATATCTTGCACCATTAGTAGGGGAGCTTAATGCTGACCCTTGAGGGTAATACTAGGGGAAGAAAAGACCAAAGTTAACGTGGATAGACTGAGGCCATGACCTTAGATAGAGTATAATGAAAAAATAGGATTCATGTAGCCGACTCCATGTAAATTTGGTTGTTGTTGTTGTTTTTTTTTTTCTTAGTTGGTACTCACACACCCATATATGCCTCCACTGAGGCTTGAACCCCTTACCTTCCTTTGAAAATAGGGGCTTGATACCGCTGGGCCACTGACTTTGGTTGTTGTTGTTGTATATAATTCATTATTGTTTTACATGAATATAAGAAATGTAAATGAAGATGTCTGTATAACACAAAAACCAGGAAAAAATTGTCTCCCATGCAACCTATTCTAACTACCAAGAATATGAACTAACAGAAGCAGTGAAAGACAAACTGAAGCAAACTGCACTGAAATTGTGTGTTCAACTGGACTAGCCAAGCAAAAAGATTTATATTGCAACAGAGCCTAATAAAGAAACATATTTATAGAATGTCCGAAATCATTCAGCAGTGCTGGACCTACATCCAGAAAAGAACAAGTGAATCTCACCTGTGCACAATACCCAAGTTTCATGTCCATTCCCCATCCATGAACAAGATCGTTCTGAAAAAAGGAAAGCAACTCCGTAAAAATTCATCGAATTGAAAAATAAAATGATAAAGAGAGAGCGTCAAGAGAGCAGAAATTTCTTCAAAGTTATATTACAGAGCCGAAATCAATCCAAAGTAGCACAAATATTACATAGATCAAAACAGCATCACTGATTAACTAAATTACTGAACTAAAGCTGATGCAACCTCATACAATATTACCTAGATTTTTTGCATTCCCTCCTTACATAACATTTTATCCATTAAGGATCCAAAATACTCTGGTTGGGCAAGGCCCTTCAGTAGGTGGTTGGGTGAAACTACATGCAAAGAAAACTACTGAACTATAGACTCCCAAATAACATATTGCGTGTAAAGACACACATCGTCATATTAAATGCAACTTTGTTAGTATATTCTTATAAGAACTAACACATTATGTATGACTAGTGCATTAATCCTGTAATTATTATGTCAAGGGACCAATATTTAGCATCCAGAAGCAACAGCAGGTGCAGAAATAGTTTCAAGGGAACTAACTACTTCTTCTTTTCTTTTTCTTTTTCTTTTTCTTTTTCTTTCTTTCTTTTTTTTTTTTCAACATTCAGGGAAACTAAAATACCGTGCATTACAGCATTAGACACATATAAAAAAACATTCCTCACAGAGAGTAAAAGTCTCTTTAATGAACAATAAGCAGATCAGCACTCATATTCAAGTTTAAAAATACCAAATGTGGAGAATTGAACTTCATGACAACTGGAACTTGTCACAGGCTGATACCAGATCAGGCTTTACCCAATGTAGAAGATTCCAGCAATAAAGCACATACAGTATTCATTTTCTAACATCAATATACTTTTAAATTTCTGAGCAAGGTGTGCTAATTTACCTTCATACAAAACCAATAAATTGGCATAAAATCCTGACATTTATTTATGGGCAAATGTAACCCTAGAAAAGTAAAAAGTTACAGCATTTTCTAATAAAACTGGTATTAGAAAGTTCAGGTAAGATATTTCATCAATAATAAGGTTCATATAACAAACTATAAGATTTTTAACAAAAATGTCACTGTACAAAAGTCACATACTCTTTAATAATATCATAAATATGTTAGCTGAAGTAATATGAGTTATGAAGAGTAGAAAGATCTAAATTCACCTGTATTAGATGCCAAGCACAACGCCAAGCAGATCTTGAAAAGACTGGAGCCATTCCTTCCACAAATCTGTAAATATAATGTTTTTAGTGATATTTGTAAACAATGATAAGTAACTACATTTTCAATTGAATTTCATAAATAATAAACTTGGAAACCATATTCCTCCTCCTTAACACTAGAGAGGTTCTCTATAACTACAAGATGAAGTATTAAAATGAGAAATGATGATGCTTTAGGGACAAGCTTTGTAGCTTGTGACAGATGGAAATGAGAAGAAATGAGAGAATAACATGATAACTGATCAACTTCATATACACAAAAAGATTGAAGAACTGGAAGAAAATTATTTCCACAAGATAGTTATGTTACCCAGTGCACGGTGGCTGCTCACTGGCATCTGAACATTTTACACTGCCTCTGGTATCATAAACTCTTCTGCATAAAGTTAACTATGTTAGTGTTAGTATTAGTATGAGAATAGTCCAAAATAGATAATTTTATCAGAAAAATCACAAAAACCACACCATTCACCTATGGAACTTATCTGTTCTCCTCCGTATTGTAATCCTGTGATGTATACCAGTCGAATTTGGGTCTAAAGCTGGCTGAGATATCTCCAGTCCTTCTGATTTCACAATGTTCAAATATCTGAAAACAGAAAAGCTTCAAATCAATCAATATACAAGTGGGGAGAATTACAAACCCAGCATGAAAAATAAAATTTTGACAACAACTAGAAATATAGAGAAGATGTTCAAAAAACAAAATTTTCACAGTCTATTTGAGTTTGAATGCTTCATTAGACAAAGAAACTGAATTTCTAAACTGTGTAATGGATCATATCCTGAATGTGCATAGATTAAAATCGGATTGCCTTCAGGTGCTAAAACTCTGTAATAATGACATAGAGATCATCAGACCAAAAGAAGTTCGCTTAAAATTCCAAGTATATAGGGAGAACCGTTTCAGCTATTTTTTACCTCATGTGCTAATTTCTCTGACAACGAAACAGACTTTAACCCTTAAATTTACAATGTCCAGTGCATTTACACAACCAAAAAAAAAATTTGTATCAACATATATTCCTGAGGAGAAAATATTACAATAAAACATAAGGAGAATGTCCTGCAAGCAAATAAACGCTACCTTCCTGGATGAAAATTCTTCACTCCCAGATCTTCATCCCAGAGAAATATATAGTCATAAATGGACACAACAGCTGGATGTAGAAAGCGTTTGGCAAACCACCTGAAATAAAATAATAATAATAATAATAATAATAACAGTTGACATGCCATTTAAGGATTAAAATGGTTGTTACATATCAAGTTGGATCAACCAGAGAAAAAAATAAATAAATAAATAAAAACGAAAAGAACTTGTCAACAAAGGCAGTGGAAGGAGCTGCCATTTGATGAGCTCACCAAATAGATCTCATAGTAAGAGCAATTTGTCTACACTAGTTAATTTCTACTTTTTAGCCAGTTCAAACTTCAGGACTCATTGTACATTATATCCCAGCTTAAACTCCCAGGAAAAAAAAAAAAAAAGGAAAAAGAAAAAGTATAAAGAAATATCAATACCAACAGTCACCAATTAATTGTTTAGGGTCTCATCTACACTTGCAAAGCTAGTTCCGAGAACATAAATAAAGTGGAAATTTTATTATCCAAATCTTAAGTCATAACTTTGAAATTGCTCCCTGGCCTGATTAAATCAACTTTAGTACTAGAGATATCATAAGCTGAATTTATCAATTCAGCTTATGATCCAAATCGTGCGTTTGGATCCTCTCCAAAAGGTCACATAAACCTCTTATTCTATTTAACCATTAATTTCAAACTCACAAATATCCAGGACAAAAACCTCAATTACTAGTGGTTAACCTTACCATTTTGTTTGATTCTGAGCAACTATATGTATGGCCTTGTTACTCCACTCAAGATCCCACCATGCATCGACATTGCCATCATAATGGAATAAAATAATTGTAAAATTCTCTGAAAGAAACTGAATACACAGAAATTAGACAGAGAATGTTCAGCTTGATGGTATGTGAAACGTTATTGAAATATTATAGCTCTTAAATGTACAACATTAATAAACCGTGATACCTTTTGAACAGTAGCATTGACATTATGCTTCTGTTTGATACCAACTGGCATTGCCAGCAAGTTGTGAAGGCTAGAAACATTGACCTGAAAATTGAAAGAAACCCCATGTTGCTAAAACATAGGCACACACGTATATATTTGATAGATAAGATTTTGCTAATTTAAATAACTCAATTGAACAGCTTTAGCAGAGTGTACAGAGCATATAAAATAAAAATAAAAATAAAAATAAAAATAAAAATGAAAACCCACTGATAGAGTGTAATGCAAATATCAAAATTCAATATTCCACCAACTGCAAATGCTTTTTGATAAGAGGATAAGTACTTGAACCAGAGGACAACAGGAACGGAATCTAACCTTTGACCTACTATTCTTCGACCATAGAGGCTTTAACTCCAAATCTGATCTAGCTTGAATGATACCACGAGGCAAAGCATTCACTCTCATGGAAGCCGCGTCGGGATTCTAGACCAGAGTATTAGAAGCAACTTAAGACTAACAATTAATAAGGAACATTCGGATTGAATTATCAACCTCATTCAAGAAGTGTAATCAATCAGCTACACATTCCAAATACTTGTACATTAATTATCATACATTGATCACAACAAGTGACATTGCTAGGTTCATATTAAAAATATAAAAAAAAAAGGTTAAAATAAACAATAAAACTGAATATCTTAAATAAAAAATTATGTGACATCCAGATAGTACTGAGATTGTTACCTTTAGTGTGTAAAAGGGAAGCAATTTTGACTCCATCTGATGATGAAAAAAATTGAAGAATAAGCAGATGCACCAAGAAAGGGAAAGATAAAAGTACAAAAAAAAAAAAAAAGCCAAACTTTATAAGTACTCTGAAGTACAAACTAGAGGCACGAGGATGATCTGTTACCAGGAAATTCGTTTGCACAACAAACTTGCAGGTGATAAGAACTCTAACCCAATCAAGGTCCAAAATGAAGATTTATTTAAGAAAAGCATAAAAATCATATATATGGCCTCAACCATAAATAAAATTGAAAATTGAAAATTGTTCTTATCAACTGAAGAATGCCATCATTGAAGAAATTCTGGAATTAATTGGGAAAATAGCATCAGAAAATCCTCAAATTGACCCCTAGAATGCGCTATATCATTAATACAGCAAGCAGTCTACCCAGTTTTGTACATGATCACACAAATGTGGTAATATCTCACTACTGAAAAGCATCGCCATACCTCAGTTTGTTGATACTGATAGTTCGTGGTTCTATATACAATGAACAACATTACCATACAAACAATTCCCATAAATGGCAGCTGTTTCATCTTAACTCCACATAACCCCTGCACAGGCTGCACTCCCAACTTTATATATGATTAGGAACTCCAAAACAGTTTCAACCAAACCTCTCGAATATGGAACAAGGTACAAAATTAAACTATCACAACATACCTCATCATATAAGACATGTTTTTTTCTCAACAGCCACCTCCATGACATAAATGCACTCATTGAGAACATCGAGTTCTTTATGTTCTCATAACAAACTGCAGTGAACATATATGAAGAGAGGATACTAATATCAATAACAATTCAGAGTGAAATGCTGCATAGAAGATAATATGTTCAACCAAGGGAGTTGAAGGAGGTGATTTGACAGGTACATTGCGAAAAGAGAAGAAAATAATAATAAATCTTATAATTATTTAGGGAAAAAATATATATATATATAACCAAACATGGAATACGGAAAAAAAATTTAAGAGTTTGAGGCTTAATTTTGTAATAACCTTATCTACATATATACACACACACACACACAAGTATTATGCGGAAACAGGAAAGGAATTTTTTTTTTTTTTTTTAATAGATTTTCATCTAATCCAAATTAACTGAAAATCTTGATTTCGAAATTTGAAATGAAAAAAAAAGACAACAATTAAGCATTTATAATGCAATTTATAATAATGCTTCACATTAAACAAACAGAATTGGATACAAAATCACAGCTTATTAACCAGAAATTATGAAGTTGTTCACGATGAATCTTGGACCGACTGACTCGGTCATTTCACAAACAAACCGAAAATCAAAACAGCCGTACAGAGATTTCTAATCCCAAAAGGCAATCAAATCAGCGGAAAGCAGAGATTGAAGAACAAATTAAAAATTGTGACTATTAATTAGCAGCGACATACATACATTAACCTTGTAAGATGAGTAGTAAGTGATTGCACCTAAAACAACGTCCACCTAATCGGAATCCAAGTCCGGCGAGTACGGCGATATATGTCTATATATATCTGTATATACAAACGGATTTTCAGGTGTATAGAAGCAAGTTTTTGACTGAACTACTGGAGAGGAATACGACGAAATAACCAAGAGAGAGAAATAGGAAGAGAGAAGAAAGAGTCGACACACGGAGGTGTCGGAGGCGCCACGTTTTGTGGAGAGAGAAAGAGCAAGTTGTTTTGCATGCGTTCCTCGCCAACTGGTATCGCTCACACAGTTCCACACACACATATATATATATTCACACACCACAACAGCAGTAGTTTTTTTTTAAACATCGTCTCCCTATTTCTGAAAAATATTTAGCCGTGTCTTTATAAATCAATATTAAACTCAGCTTAAATGAATTTATTATATAATACGAAACTTTTTATGAAATTTTTTAATAACAATAATTTTCTTTTAATTTCAAAAAATTATATGTTGTGAAAATCCCATTTTGAAAAAAAATTAATAAAATGTATTCTTTTTTTCGGTAAATAAAAATAAAATAAATTCTCTAAAAGTAAAATCGAGTATGAACTAAAAGGTTAATTTAAGCATTTCAACCAGCTTTTTTTTTTTTTTTTTTTTTCTCATTTGAAAAGGCTTTTAATTAAATATGGGAAGGGCCTTGCCAACGTTTGAAAAGGCTCTTAACTATTCTTGAAAACCACATTGTAATATTTGTTGCCTTTTTACCTACGGTGTCCTGCAAATTCATTTACTTTTATCTTCTCAATGCATTCCTTGTGTTATCATGGTTTTCATGTGTGTATGTTCGTGCATATCTATATATATATATATATATATATATATATATATATATTTACATACACATGAAGTCTAGAGAAAGTTTAACATAAAAGATCTAGTTTTTACTTATCAATTAAAAAAAATAACCACATTGTTAAAACCATTAAATAAGCCGACTGTTAATAAAATATCATTTGATGCTTGTTTTGGTACAGATTGAGGATTTTATTGGTGCAGGTGGCAAACAAACCAATCTACGGAGCATACCTTACAATTGACTTTTTTTTAAAAAAATAATGTCTGAACATATGTTATTAATATCAAAATTAGTCCCTTGAAGCCTTCAAACTTTTCAGAAGTACTTTGCAAACACGATGTAGATTAGTTATATTTTGTTGCTTCTAAAGCAAACTTAGAATAGCTATAATGTTTTAGCGCTATTTTGTCTACCTAAATGACGTAGGTAAGTTTTAAATAAATTTAGAAGCTAGACTTATCAAATCCGACATTGAAAAAGGAAAACCTTACCCACCACATCCAACCACTTGTCAATAATGGATTACTCAAACCTAACCTCCCTGCAAATTAGGGTTTCATACCCTTGAATGTGTTACATCGGATGGTGAGTATGCCTAAGACAAGAATAGTCTAGGTTATTCTAAACTAGTATTGTCTTAAGTCACGTACAGCGGGAGCGGGAGCGAGAGCGAGAGTAAATTCGAGAGAGGGAGCATGAAAATGGCAGAATTAAGTCATAAATAGTGATACTTTGAGGCAGAGTATGAGAGCGACACCTGTTGAGAAGACTTTGCGTGACTTTAGTATTCTCTTCATTTTGCTGTACTAGGCTAATGGGCTTCATTTTGCTATGCTAGGCTAATGGGCTTTGTTTATCTGTGGGTTCTATCATTATCTTGTGATTGGGCTGTCCACGGTTCGTGGGCCAGCCATCCGAAAGGTCTGTCCTTTGTAAAAACTGCATTTTCGTGTATAAAATCATCTTACCCTCCCAAAAAAAAAGAAAAGAAAAAAAAAGAGGTGCTAGATCATCTCTTCTAAATTTTGGTGATGTAGTGGTGCTGGCAGGATATTTACATTTATTTTCATGTTATGTTTGGCAGTACTAAATTGACACCTTAAATTTAGAATTAGAAGAATTTTAGTACAAATTTTATACTAAACCTCCTCCAATTCCAAATACAGTGCAGAAAACTTCGAACCAAAAAAAAAATATGGGCCTACTGAACTGGATCAGAGAGTCAGAATTGTCAATCTGCACTATCATCTTAATAACTTTTTCCATGTTTCTCTTTCCCAAGAACAAACCCACACACGTGGCTTACTAGTTTTCAAGTTTCCTTGGAAGAATTCAGACCCCTTCCTGTGCCTTGGTCAGTCCTTTAAGGCTAGTACAACACATAACATTGTAGACTGTAGTACAACATACTCATGACAAAGGGTATCGCCATAAATAACGTTGTAATGTAGTTGTTGGACAAGGCAATGTAAAGGCAGAACGACATAGCATAAGAGAGAATCCGAGTTCTCCTCTGAATAGCAATTGTTACAATTTTGTTATTAGACCAACAACGGTAAGGCAACACAGAATTGGAGGGAACAGACAGTTTGTACTCTCATTTTTCAAGAACTAGAATCCAGGAATGTGGCATACTAATCTTACGATCTTAATGACGCACAGCCTCATTAATCTGTACAAGTATTTCTTTTCCTGATCTCTTTTTGTACCTAAACAAAGCCTAACTGATTTGGAAAAAAAATAATAAAAGACTTCTTACACCAAAAGATCATGCAAACGACTCAAATTACCGAAAGAAGAGCCTGGGAATTTCACAAGAAAAAGAAAAATAGAAAGATTAAAAACTACAACAATTTCACCTCCGCCAACGTCTCTTTCTTTCCTTCATTGGAATTTTAGGTCGTCGATTAGATGTTGTAAGTGCAACCTTCGCTGCCCGACTGAAGCCTTTGTTTGCCATCATCAAAGACACCATTAAAGGAGTGGAATCAGCAACACTTGGTTTCTTACATCCTTGTTGAGTTCCAGCAGTGACATTCTCAGCAATGAGAACATGTGCTGACAATTTGCGTTTATAAGGGCGAATGCTCCGAGGTTTCACAGGAAGGTTACACATTGATGATATAGAGAAGATGACAGAGGCTGCTTTGTTGCCAGAATCCTTGTAATGCTGCTGATATTCTTTTGTGACATGATCTCTCAGTAATAATGCGGACTTGTATTCACGTGTTCTTCTGGAATAAAAGACCAGTGCATTGTTTGCAAGCAAAAGCAGATCTCGGAAGAGTTCTTTGACTGACACGATGGAGCAGTTGGCAATTCTTGATCTTATGGTGTCAAAATCCAAGTGCTGCCGGATTATTTTCTTGTACCTTGCTCTCTTCTGTTATAGAACATTGTTTATGAGATTTTTTCCACAAATAACTACTATGGTTGCCTAACTGCAATATAGAGATGATAAAATGGCGAAGCATCTTATATTGTCAATCATTACCTGGCTATCAAGCCGACGTCGAAAGACCAAGGCGTATTCATTCTTTGCAATAGAATCAAATATCAACATCAAATCAACATTTCCAACCCCACTTGAACCTTTATTGTGATCATTTACACCAGAAGACCTGACCGTCTGACCACAGTCACTGATAGAATTTTCCTTGCATTGAGAGTCAATTAAAACATTGGTTGAACCCAAATTCTCACTGTCTCCAATGCTCCCTTCTTTGGACTCCCTATTACAATCCTTCCTTTTTCTCTTCCCTCTCCTCTTCCGAAAAGTCCCTTCTTGTTCATTGCTAATCTGTACCAGTTTATCAACGCTTGAAAGTTTTTCTTGCTCCATAGGCTCTGAAGCATCGGGCGTTGCATCCATCTCTGCAGCTGATGCTGTTGCAGGAAAAGGATATTCAGAGGACCAGTTCCTGGTATCCTGCGTGAAACTGCCAGCAGATAGTCCATCCTTAGATGTCTCTTTACCAAAAGATTCTGCTCCTGCTGATTTTAGTGAAGGTGCAGGAAATTCAGTCTGGCTAAAGCCACAATCAACCCGACTATAATATCCTTTCTCAGACTTAAGACTTCCAAGCTTTGACTCAAGAGACCTGAAACAGTACGAACTAAGTAAAACAATTCATCAATGAAATAGTGAATCCTGCAAGGCTAAAAAAGATGCATGGTTCAATACAGGAACATTAGCAAATCAATAGGACTTCCATGCCATGGGTCAAATAATTAAAGATTGAGCATGTGGCAATTATGGGAATCTGCACATCAGATACATCCTCTTTTTTAAACGGTAACCTCATGATTCCTATAATTGTTCTGCTGTAAAACTAGAAGCTACAATCTGCTTATTTTAGTGGCTTCATTGAGCTCTCTCCCAAATTCAAGGAAGAGTTAGAATGCATCAAAATCACCATAATTGTTCTTAGAAAACAGAGGCGGATGCAGACTGGTCATAAAATAATAATTGTTCTTAGAAAACAGAGGCGGATACAGATTGGTCATAAAATAATAACTAAACGATCAATGGGGTTCTACATTGCAATAACAACGTGAACGAAAAGATAAAATATAGACTCACCCAATCAAATCTTCAGATTTTTCCAATTCTTGCCTCAATTCAGCCACTCGTTGTTTTCGTAGCTCTTCAAACCAAGCTCTAAGGAGTGAAACATTAAGGTATATGAATGAGAGATTTGTCAGTCAAAGGTTCATTTCTGAACATAGTTGTCCGAAAAACACTAAACCCGAAGCTGATTATGCTTAATCTTCATTAAACAAAACAAACCAAAAATAATAACTTGTAGTAGTAGCAATGAAATTTTCCAAACCCCGAGTTTTCAAAATCTATTCTAAAAAAGGATGATGTGTGAAACAGAAATCAACATACATAAAGAGATTCTTTTTTCATAAGCATGCACAGAAACGCTTCTGAATTGAGACTTGAACCGTGCCCTTTCAAATGTGAGAGGAGACACCAGTCAAGCTAACAGCTGCTGGTATAAATAACAAAAAATAAATAAATAAATCTTCAAAATCCATCCTAATCTTTCAAGAGCACATATATACTCATAGCTAGCTGAAATGCAAAAGATTCGGGAAGAAAGGGGGAAAAGTGAGAAGAAAAATAAGATACTGTTGTGAATAAAATGGGCTAAAATCTCAATATAGTTTTGATAAACAAGGAGGATAGTGCTTTTGGCAAAATTAGATGCTCCACTAATTGTGTTGATGAAAATAAAAAAGAATGAATCCTGGTTACAACTGGCCACAGCATGTGTTTGGTACATGGTTCAGCAAACTTTGAAATTAATCTTGATAAGGCAAAAACCTCAAGCACATTTGGCACTTGATTTTAAAACAAAACAGTAAGTGGACTTTTAGGCAAGCCCACCATTTCGACTTTGGAGCAAAATACCCCTTCCGCATATCATACTTCCAACAAAATAAGTCAGTCTTACAACACCTTATTTAAAGCCTATACTGTTGAGGCAGTGTTGTACTACATACTAGTGTAGACATTGAACTAAAACCCCACATTAGCACTACATATGTATCTTTAGGATACTAAGAGTCATTTAAGAAAAAAGAGAGTAAGAGTAAAGCCCATAAAATAAGTTTTCCATTCACATTAATTAACTTACAAAAAATAAACAGTTCTACTCACGTGCACCCAGCATATCGTTGTTGCAAGTCCTCGTACTTGGATTTACAAGCCTGGGATCATATAAAACTTTGTCACTTCTAATGTAAAATATCATGTAACCACCAAAATTTAATCAAATAACACCTTTGATTAACACACGTCAATGCAAGAAAAACTACAATGTGACTTTTATAAAGAATGCATAAATATACAGGCAGTGCAACTGACCATAATAAGCTACTGGCTAACAGAGTTGAGTGATTGGTGATTCGCTAATGGATAAAACCAAGGTTAAATATAGACCAAACAAATATTTGTTTAATGTCTTTATCCTTACATAGTTAAGCCCTAAAAGGGAGGAGCATTGCATTAAGTTATTTGACAGGCAGCATAAAACCTCCGTCAAACCCCTGTAAAAATTAACTACTGAGAAAATTCAAGTGAACACCAAGATGGTTGTGTTCTCATACATAATTAGATATATAGTGTGTGAAACTGAAATTATGACCCTAGAAGTATAGCAGGATTCATGCAGATAACCTCATAAAAGTTGGAACGAGACTGAATTAATAATCACAATTCAGAATTATGGGTAATGTTTGGGACTCGCCTTTGTGAATTAAGAATTACAATACGCATTAAGAGAGATGCATAAACTAAATATTAAGAGATACTCAAAAACTAAAGTTTGCTTGTTTTATCATAAACTCAGGAATATATTAGAGATCCCAAAATCATTTGAAATATTGCGAATATGGTAATAGCGGTGTTTTTTCAAACAATTGTGTGTTTAAACACCCATCAAAGTCCCTACATTTCAGTAAGATGAAACATGCAAGTCAGGAGACTAAGGCATTGTTTGTTAACCTCAATAAATTGCTGAAACTTGTGATGCACGTTGGTGAGCAGTAGATAATGCATTAGTCTTCACTTTAAAAGGAGCATTTTGGTGCTATTTGATGGCAAATTTAAGAAAATTGGTACTTTCTATTTTCTATATCCAGAAGCCATTCCATTGATCAAATGTCCTGGTTAATTGTGCAAATAAATATTAATTAAAAAATTACAGAAAAGAGTCTGAATTCTAAGTCAAAGAGACCTCACTTTTTAGTGAAATTTACATCTGCAAAATGAGATGTGCTTTAAAGTTTGCTTTTTAAATATCATTTCTTAAATTACTAGCAGGATTGGAGTAAGATTGACAAAATGGAGACCGGCTAGTGGAAAACTATGTGATTTAAAAAAAATAACCAATAAGTTCAAAGGGAAATTTTATAGAAGGGTCATTAGGCCAGCTATCTTGTGTGGGGCAGAGTGCTAGGCTCTAAGAATGAAACAAGAGCAATGCATTCAGGTATCTGAATTAAGAATCTTGAGCTGATGATAGGGGTGACTAGAAGATATAGGCTTATTAATCACAATGTGAGAGACATACTAGGAATAGCCCCACTAGTGTGATAAAACAAAAGAAAGTAGGTTACCTGATTTGGACACATACAAAAAAAATTCACCTTATCACTAAGGTACACCATTAACCAAAGTGGACACTAGATTGCAATGGTGTGCAGGTAATTGGAAATAATAATTTTTATAGAACGAGCAATAAAGTGATCCATGCCGTCCACTTTTGAATAAATGCACTCCAATTCTAAATAAAATGACATATTGTCTTTAACTTCATAATAAAAAGAAGGAAAATGGTAAAGTCCCAATCGATTTTTAAACACCACTGATGTGGCAATCGTTGAACCAAACACTTTAAAATGAGACTATCATTATTGTGCCTCCGGTGTAATAAAGTTGTGGCCAGTGCTATACCCATTTGGCGAGTGAAGGATGTCCGTATGGGACTCGCCGCATCGCGGGCCGCACGTCCTGGCAATTTTAAAACCCTCGCCATAGGTAGTGAGTGAATAGCCATCCAATGGGCTCCACTTCTCATGAATCCATCACCCTCCCGTGTGTGCGTGTCTATATCTATATTATCAAAATCCCTCTCTCCCTCGCCATAGGTAGCCAGTGAATAGCCATCCAATGGGCTCCACTTCTCATGAATCCATCACCCTCCCGTGTGTGCGTGTCTATATCTATATTATCAAAATCCCTCTCTCTGACTAATAAAAAATAATAATAAAAGTGGCCAGCCCATACCGTGGCCAGCAACATTGGAGACTATTCCTTTGGGTTCTCATTGGAGTAGTCAAAATCACCGATTCCAACCTTTTGAAAGAAAAAAAAAATTAGTGGTGCAAAACATTCTAAAGTTACCAAATAGGTAATAATCCAACAGGCACGTACCCACCTCTCCAAAGGAAAGATGTGTGAGTTTGCTTATCCTTCCAAAAACGAAAAAACAAAAAACAAAATTATTGCCTATCAACTATCAAAAGACATGTTAGTAACTACCCCACTCATGTTTGTCATGGTTAATAGATATTTGTCATGAAAAATACATCACACGTGTCTGCGAGTTACACGAGAATGGCATAAATATATCCTAACGGCATTTACTCATTCCCTAGACCCCACAAAATCTATATCAATAACCAAACATAATACAATTATTTCCTAACAAAATCAAATTAACATAAACAAAAGTCAACATAACAAAATGTAAAAAATGTAAAAACATAGAAACATTAGATAAGAAGAATAAAGCAACAATACCATGGGCTTGTGTCTCAATCGATATATCCCAGTAATAGAAACAAACATACATGCTTATATATATCAATATATGTATATATACCTCGGGAGTGAATCTGCACTGGTGGAGGGTTCGGGCTCGGAGCTCCGAAGCCACGGCCGACCAGTCTTGGTTACCGTGCCTGAGAACAGCGCCCCCGAGGATAAGCTCTTCCCACGTGCCCCACCTGCCCCTCGCCACCACCATCCTCGTCTCCGCCCCCATCACAACCCTCCACGTGTACGTCGACGATTCGACCAACACCTACTTTTTCTATTATTATGCGCACCCGGATTAGAACGAACAAACACACCCACCTTTTCTATATCGTATCCTTCACCTTCTTTTCTTGCGCACCCGGCTCACGTTAGCGAACACCATTCCTCTCAAGGAAAAACCAATTGGAGAAGAACCACCCTGTTTGCTTGCGAAGAAAATTACAAGAAGATAAGAAATATACCAATACCACCTTCTGAGAAAGTAAAACCGAGTTTGGGAGTAGTATCGGTGGTATTATGGACGCGAGTAAGACAGAGAAACGTAGTTTTTGAATAAGAAGCGGTGGTTTTGAGGGAGAAAATGGTGGTTTTGGAATTAAAATGTGGTTTGGATGGTGGTTTTGGCGTATTTTCCTTTTCTTTTTCTTTTTTTTGGTATTAATTTTGGGGTATGTTTTGATGTACAAGTATGCGTGAGAAAAGGGGTTGACGGGTTCTATTACTATTCAGGTCGAAATAAAATCAATTAATTAAGAAGAAGAAGACGATTAGGTATGTACAGAGAGAGACAAACGTGGACGATGATGAAAGACAAAACACATATATATGTGTGTGTGTGTGTGTGTTTGATTTTCCTGGAAAATCTCTATTGTCCTCCCTCTTTCTCTCTCCACTTTCTCGTTCTCTATGCTGTTGGACAGCGGTATTGCTTGCCCTTTTGTTCCATCCTAGCAATAATCGCGTATATATCCCTTGTAAATTCGTGAAATGACAAATGTGCCCCCATGACTTTTTGTATTCCCTTGTCTCACATATTCAACTTATATGGGACAACTTGATGCAATGGGACATTTCACGGGTCTCTGAATCATTTTGTTTTCTAAATTTGGACCAGGTTAAAATTTCATTCAAGTCTTGTAGGCTTGAATTGCACAATCAAATTCCTAATCTTATAGTCACCATCTTGTTAACATGAAATAACACTTGACCGCCATCACATCTAATAAATTATGCATGAGGGTCCAAATAAAATTTGAAACTTATTTTTATTTTATTTTTTTAATTATTAACAAAAATATTTGTACATACACTACTCACATCCATTTTGTTCTTTTAAAAATTAGAATCTTTAACATTCATTTAGAAAAGCAAAAAAAGATATCACCGACCACAAAATTTTTGAATCTTATAAACTTTATAATATATTACATTTAAAAAATATTTCTAAACAATAAATGTAACGTGTTAAAAATTGTAGACCACAGTAAATAGTTAGACTTTTAACTTAGACAGACTCTTGCAATTCCTCATACCATTTAAATGGTGGGATCCCCAAGAGTGGGGTATACTTAACTTTTCATTTGATGTATTATGTATTTGAAGTATTGGACAGAAATTTTTAGTCAACCTTAACAAGCACGGCGTTGGGCTATGCAATTAGAATGGACCGAAATGAGAGAAAGTTCTTGCCACATTCTTAACGGTTAAGTTTTAAGAAATTAACCCGTTCATCCTCACAAGTTAAGTCACATCGAGTAAAAATAAAAATGAGCGCGAAAGCATACGATGATTTGAGAGCATCATGATTAAGTAATAAATAATAAGAATTTGAACAAAAATGTGCACGAAGCGTGAAAACAAGAACACGCTCGTAAAAGTGACATTTATTGAAAAGGATTGTGTGACTTATGTCACTATTCTCACGACACCTGTTGAGAATGATTGTGTAACTTAAGTAACAATTTGTGTTATTCTCATTTAAAAGATGTGAAATACACAAAAGTTAGTCAGTGGCCCAACCATGTTATGTTAGTATAAATGAAAGTGTAGGTGTATGAATACTGAATACTAACTATAAATAAACAAAAGTTAAGACAGCTACAAATTATTTAACATAAAATAAACTAGTATTTAAAGATTATAGCAAAAATAAAAATAAAAATAAAATTAGGATTGTTATAATTGCTTTATGAATTATTGCAGTTTTAGTAACATTACTATGTTTTAGCTCAACTCAGCTAAGCATTTATCTGGTAAATCTTTATTTGCGAAGATTATCAAAAGTTACCTATTTATTAGTTGTATCACACTCTCACAAATACAACAGTTCGAACTTTTATCACCACATCAAGCAATGAAATGGAATCAAACCATATTTCTTTGAAACAGGTAATATAAAGGAGAGCTTTAAAACAAGTACTTGGCTGATGAAATTCAACATATTTCATACTCAAATTCAAACAATAAATAATCAAAATACACATATGTTATGTTTGGTAGTACTGAATCCGCTGCTTAGATATTTAATTAAAAAAAATTTAATCCCAAATCTAAGACGCCAATTTGAACCGCCAAACACAACAATGATATATTTGATCACAAGCTACTGCTGTTTAAATCTGCTTAAATTTTGTTCATCCTTAGTTTAACACTAAGCTTTACCAAGATTCTGGGAACAATTTTGGTTAGTTGAGAAAAATCAAGTTAGTTCTGCAACTGCCACATACAAATGTTGTAGAACATTTGCTGTGCAATATAAAAACAAAAGAGAAGAAGTACACGACAAGAGAACACACAACACTAGTCCATAACATGAGTCACATTTGCAAAACCACATTTGGTTATTACATTTATAAGAAATAATCATACATCGCAACAATTACACAATTTGATTAAGATATATAAAATAATGAAAACCCATCATAGTTCAAGTAAAGCTGTTAAAAAACGAACCCTATTCGAACAGGTTTAGGGAGCAGGCGACGCCAATAATATTTTGTTGCAGGTTGATTTCAAATCTAAACTAATGTTCACCAAAAAAAAAAAATTTAATTAATTTATAATAATAAATAAATAATCAGTATATTCATGCACCTATTTTGTACAAAATATTTTCTCAAGGACCTAGGAGAACAAACTTTGAACCATTGCACCCTCAACCATATTTAACATCTCCAATGCTCATTTTCTTGATTAAGTTAATCCCCATCCACCTCTTTCTCAGGGATCTCTCTGAATCGTGTGCAAGAGGTTCTGGACAATTTCAGACATCGGCGGCCTGAATTCTGGCTCAGCCTGCCAAAGGAAAAAGAAAGGATTGACATGAGGTATATGGTTTTCTCCAGGTAAAGCAATGAAATAAAGAAAAGAAAAAAAGTGTCATGCACATCTCTTTTCATTAACTTGCGACTGGACTAATATACAAGAATACATTAAACTCTACTGGGGCTAAATCTTAATTATTCTCTCTCATGAGTCATGACTTGCATTTTGTCTAGTTATGTGTCAAAACATGTCCTTTCACAGTTAATTTACCAAAAAAATAATTTAAAAAAAAAAAAAAATCCCCCCATAGTCAGTAGAATACCAAATATTCCCATAATGGTTTTCGATGAAATGGACACAGTATTCCTAAAAGTAGGGTTATATGTTGAAATGACCACTTTTGCAAGGGCGAAAAAAACTTTGACTAGCGAAACCATGCCATCGATGTTAGTTATTCAGAGGTCCACAAAATGTCTGTCTCATATAGAACTTCCTAAACGGGTACTTACAAAACATGGGAAAAGAAAAAAACTTCGCAAAAGAAGACTCACCTGGACACACAGAGAAATTATATCGGCAAAACGAGATAAAGACTTAGATGGATACATCCCATTTAGAGAAGGGTCAACCATCCTTGATAATGCATTTATGTCGTGAAGCTGAGGAATTGCCCATCTAACCAGAAATTGCTCTCCTCGAGGTCGTGAGCTGGACATTAGATTTTACATTAGTTCTGCAGTTTTATCCACAACAGACGGTTGATTTTGGCATAATTTGGATTCAGTTCGTTGAGAAATGGCAGCTGTGAACAGAACTACGCTGATTGCTAAAACATGTTCCCCTGGAAGAGATAACTAACCTGTCATAGGATTTTCGCCCTGTGAGAAGTTCCAACATAACAACTCCAAAGCTGTAGGTATCACTCTGATAATTGTAGTTTCCACACTCGAGTTCTGGGGCACCATAACCATGACCTTGCAACTAATAATGAACAGGTATCAGCAAAAACTATGAGGAACTAAAATTCAATTCAAACTGGCAGTTCAATATGGACATTTTGTAGCACGCCTATAATTCAAATAGTATCCTATTACCGTTCCACATAAAATTTGTTTCTCTTACCATTAAATTCAGTGTTTTTCTGAGTATAGTGAGTGAAAGTTTATAAACTACTAAATTAATAGATTAATGCATTACTAAACATAATTGGTCTTTAACATTAACATCTTTTAACTGAAAGTCAGCAACAAAACTGACTCATATGAGCAAAAACAAGAACACTTTTCAAAATAAGTTCCAACAATACTGCGTCGAAAAGGAAAACTCAACTACTGAGTCGTCAGTTTTAAGTCAGTGTATGAAAGCATGAAGAACGAGTTCCGAGCATATAGAAAGAGAATCTATAAATTATTTCTTCTTTAAAAAAAAAAAAAAAAGGGACATGCATGATGCAGTTGATATGCAAAACAACTATGGATGCAGAAGAACGCTACCCCACTTTCTATTCCATGCAAGAGACAAAGATGAAGGAATAACCAACATTTGATGAATGCCAACAAAGATCACCAGTAACAAAAATTAGATTAGAAATTTATGCAAGATTTTGATCATTTTTTCATGCAACATAACAAAGATCAACCTCAAAAATAAGGAATTGCAAAGATCATCAATCCTCAAAAATAAAAAAATTAGATGAACAATCCCGAAAGAGAGACCTAAAAATTAGATATATAAGCTGACAGAAAAAAAAAAACTATGGCCTATCATTTAAACTCATCAAAGCGGCTAAATCAAGGAAAAAATAATTATTTTTAAGTTACAAGCTCAAGCAATTATCTTTAAAACAATTAATAGCCAATAGGATTTGAAGATCTCATGACAATGGTCACCTGACTTGCAGAGTTGGATGTTATTAGAGGAGCCAAACCACAATCTGAGACATGTACTGCAAGCTCATCATCAAGGAGAATATTGGCAGACTTGAAGTTCCGGTGCACAATGGGTGGTTGACAAACCTCATGCAGATACCTTTGCCAAAAAGCAAAAAGCAAAAAGCAAAATCCTCAGCTTCCAAAAAGATTATTGATTACAATAAAGAAGCATAAGATCTTTTGTTTGGCATGCTTTGCACAAGTATACAAACAACCAAAATAAGCATTAGGGTCTGAGATTCCATTCCATCCACAATGAGGGTTATACTAGGGGAACAGGAAGACCAAAGTTAACGTAAGTAGAGTTAGTATAAAAAGATATGATAGCATGTGGACTGACTGAGACTATGGCCTTAAATAGAGCCGAATGGAAACATGGGATTCATATAGCCAACCCCAAGTAATTGTTAAAATGCTTGGTGGTGGTATGTCTGAGTTTCCATTCCGCCAGGTCCAAATAGAGGATCAGAAATGCTATCATATGCAAAACAAAGCAGCGTTAATGATATCTAAACCTCCCAATCCAGAAAGAATGTTCTTTTAATTTAGTATCCAATTCCATCAGAGATACTGAATAAATGGGTGGTAAGATTTGGTGAGTCAGGGGAGTTGGCTGCTCTACTTACTCTAGGGCCTTTGCAGCTCCAAGTGCCAAGCGGATACGAGTATTCCATGAAAGTTTTTTGTGGACTTCATCATCCATATGCAGTGCTTCGTGAAGTGTCCCATTGTTGCAATACGAATAGACAAGTAACCGTTGCCCATGCTCAGCACAGTAACCCATGAGCTCAACAACATTAGCATGTCGAAGTTTAGAGATACCAGAGACTAGTTCAAGAAAATCTTCATCACTCAGCTGCCTGGAAGCTGCAGTATCCAGTTTCTTAACGGCCAGTAGCTAAAGATTGAAAAACAAAATAGATAAATAAGTCAAAAGAAACAATGCAACATAGAGGCAATATATGGGACCACTTATTATAAGAAAGTAATGTGTTATGGTATGTACATTGTCAAGTGTTAAAAATGTCATGTTACATAAACATACCCATATTTACCATTAGACAACTATTTAAAGAGACTTGGAGAAAATTTAGACCAAGTGTACAGACTTCTTCCAATACATAATTCTGAATTTGTCTTATTTATTACATCAAACGTCTCAAACCAGGAGGTAGGATCATATAGAGAAACAATTAAATAATTGCAGGATCAAAGAGGTGGGATTATATTTTAAGCTAATCTTTGTGACAGAGGCAAGTTTATGAGGAATCGCAGTAAGAAGAGCATTCAATTAGCAAGAAATAAAAATCATTATTTACAAAAAGAGACACTAATAGACATGAGGAATCACTCTATCGAAGTTGTCCCAAAAAATCAGTCCATTTGAATCCAGAAGAACCTTACCTTCCCACCTGGAAGCTCAGCCCTATAAACAGTGCCAATCATGCCTCCTCCAACAAGATTTTCCTGAGAAAAGCTGTTTGTATACTGTTGAAGAAATGCAATGGTGAAGGACTTTACAGAATTTAAACTCTTAGTTGAATGTCTTTTCAACGTTATAGGGGGAGATGGGGATGGAGGCGGCAGAACATTTGCATTATTTCCCATCATATCTATCACATGATCCTCCTTACGTATTGAACTTGTAGCCACTCCTTTAAGATCTATATCCCATTCATCATCTGGCTTTAATCTTAAACTGCTTTTTCCATATCCAGCTGGTGGCCTTAAAACTGCCTCTTTTGAAACTGTTCAGAAATCTCAAGAGGCCATTTGTCAAAGAAACCAACAACAAACTGGAAAAACTGCAAGTCTTAATAATCAAGACAAAAATGACGTACCTTCCCCTGTATGGTTGTAGGGTTTTAGCGAAGATTCATTACGCCTAGGCTTCTCCTTTGGGGCATTATATGCACCCATTTCATGCCTTTTGTCAATTTTATTGGATGCTTGGCTTCCTTTACAGCATCCTGACATAAAAAGGCATGCTCCTAATGCAATTACCATAAATAGTAGAGACCCTGCAATAGCAATCCATGTGACCCTTTTAGCTGTAAAGAACTTTCCTCCTCTTGTAGAATTTGATATTTTGGGAGCAGATGGTCCTTTTGCTGATGTTCCCGGAGTAAATCCCGAAGTTAATACAGGGGGGAGAGCTTCAGAAGGGGATGGTGAAGGTGCTGAAGCAGGAGGTGATGGGATAATTGTAGTGTTGAAGGGGTTTCCACTTCTTCTGTAGAACATATGTTAATGTTAGTAAAAGGAACAAGAATAATTAACAGACAATACAAGCTTACCTCCATGCCATGACATATATTTCAATTAACAATAGCATTATACCAAGCTGACCGCTGTTTCATATCTAGAGTTTATGATACTAAAACTATTAATGTTATCCTTCTTGTTCTTCTTCGAAGAAACAATGTATGTGCAATGTATTAAGCCTGCCACGAAATTTGAAAATTAAGCACCAGAGCTTCCATTCTAACATGGTTTTATTAATAAAAATTAGTAAGGAAAAAAATCACAAGGTAGCAAGTTAGCAACTGTGTATGGAAAATTCAATCTTGATAAAATTTCTAATAATGCAAAGAAGGTTTTGAGTGATTAACAGGGCAACTCGGACAACATAAGACATAACCATGAACATCAAATTAAGCAGAAAGAGAGAGGAGTTGACATTCTCAACATCCCTCGGTGATATATCATTTATCAAGTTCAAAAGTTCTATGAATCTCAACTGCTCTCAAATTATTTGTTAAGATATAGAAAATGGATGAAGAATTTAATTAAGATAAAGAAAAATTAAAAAAAAACAATTGCAGTTTACTTATAACTGTTGTCTATCCACAAAGTGCCCATACCCTAGCAAATAAACAGCACGGTACAGATGAGCAATTAAAAATGTCAAATTTTGGTGAGCTAAATGGTAAAATACATACCAAAGACAGAGGAAGGTAAATAAATTGAGAGTCAAATCATGACTTCCTCCAGCACGGCCAAGGTCTTAAAATTTGATCATCAATTGAAACTTCTATATATGACTCTTTCCAGGTTTTTGTGTCCTATACCCGATATTTTCAGTAGATGAACCACTATTCGTAAAAAAGCATCATGCCAGTGTAAAACATAGAAATTCAAATATTTTGTCATCAATTTCTTATGCTCTAATTATGAGACCTTGATCTCATTCCGCTCAACTCATTAGAAAGATGACTTTATTTTCCTGCACAATAATATTCATTTCCCAATAAAATTCTAAACATGTTCAAAGAACAAAGGGATCAAGGAAAGCATTTAACATATCAAGTTTCTTGGCCTGGCAAAATAATTTTAAGTATTCATGTAGAAAATCCATGCCATGAAAATTCCACATAGAAACATTCTTCTAAACTATAAAATTATCGATGTCTTCACCTGAAATTCGGAATACCGAGCAACTTCTCGGGTATAGGTCCAGAAAATAGGTTATTCTCTATGTTCCTATGCAACAAGTTGTAAAACATAACAATTAGTACTTTTAAACTCGGAATTTAAATTAAAACTTTCAGACACTATTTTAAATTAAGAATGATAAATTTTGATGGAAGCTTGAGGTCAAAATGCAAGAAAGAAGAGTACAAATCTCTTAGGGGAAGATCTTGTAAAACATCAAGGGTCCCAACAAATTGATTGTTCTGCAAGTGCCTGCATCCAACGAACAGATGTAATTCATGAAGACAAGTAATGTGTAACATTAAGATTCTTTATTATACTCACAATAAATAGAGAGATGACAAATTCTCCATCGATGGTGGCAGTTGACCACTCAAATTGTTACCAGACAGATCCCTGCGATATGATAAACAATCAAAACCAAACTAATCTAAGTAAACATTAAAAAATCCATCCAAATTGACAGGGAATGCCTACAAATTTGTCAAACCCGTAAGCTGTTGGAAGGCGTCTGGTAATTCTCCACTTAAATGGTTATCATTAAGCGACCTAATGGAAATAACAGCCATGATTTAAATTAAGAAACAAATAGAGAATGTGATAATATCTCAGCAACTTAAAATTGAGATGACCACAAGTTTACTAGGACTTACAGGTCTGACAACTGACCCAATGAAGACAACATAGCCGGGATACTTCCTGTGAACTGGTTGTCTGAAAGAAAACTATGATCGACAAAAAGAACATACATGACTTAAATAAGGTAATGAGCATAATACGAATGTACAAAAATAAGGTAATACCTAACTAAATCATGGATTAAAAACAAAGAACAAACATACAAGCTCCTGATAGTAACGGGCAAATTGGATGGAACACTACCAGCAATGTGGTTGTTGCTGAGATCTCTGCTTCCAAATACCACAAAAACTAATTAGACTTCAGTACAGAAACACAGAAAGCTTAATATATGTAGAGAGATATGTGGATATATAACTCAAGATATTCATGATGATCAGCATATGAAAATTAATACTCCCACTTCTATAGACTCGTATACATGACACCTATTATTAGACTAGCTTAGCATTGGGGCTTTCTCATAAACCACATTTAATTTACAACCTCAGTCCATATGAAGGTAAATTCAATTATATGTATATATTTGCAAAATGACACTTACATTTGTATGATAGAAGCAAAGTCTCCCAAGTTGTCACTCAGTACACCCCCTATATTTGCGCCAGGGAGAACTCTGCCAACCCAAATAGCTCAGATAATCAGACTATAGAATTAGAACTCAAAAGTGAATATCACATCTCAAAAGGGGTTACCGTACATTCCGGTTATGTTGGCATTTACACAAAGTATCCCTTGCCAACCTTCTGCGCATGGGTCTCCCCCCAGGGGAACCCACCCAGGAAGAGGTGGGAAGCCCAGAGAAGCATATAAACTATTTGCTGCAGAAACTGTAAAATCAAATTAAGGCAGTTACTATAAACTTCATATACATTAGTCCAGAGTGCAACTAAAGACACCCAAATAAAGAGTGGACAAATTTAAATTCTACCAAAAAAAATTAATAGATACATACATATATCAAAATGAACATTAATCGATACATATATAAAAACATATATCAAAATGGAAACAAAAACTATAAGAATTGGAGTATTTATGCTTTACCATCACGAGGGTCGGTAAGTCCATGGCAAAATGGCGCAACAAAAATTGCCATCAGCCCAATGAAAGTCCTCACATATATCTCCCAATTCACACAACCCATCTCCAAACTCCAACGGTAGCCAACCCAGTACTTTTAACTTTCTTCGCTTTACTTCTATAAACTTCTTTTTTTCTCAAACAATCTACAACAAAGTCCTACAAGATCCAATTTTGAAAGCCAAAAAGAGAGAAAATATTGAATGAAATCAAAACCCACATAGAAACAAAGAAGAACGTAGCAACGCACAAACAAACAGAACTCGGGACACTTCAGCGCAAAATCAACTAAAGCAGCAACAAGAAACGGAGATATATAAGTAAAAGGAGAGTTGCTGAATGGAACTGAGAGAAAAGAAAACCCTAACCTTCGACGGAATTACAGTGATGAAAGAATCGCAAAGCGTCGTTACGCAGACACTTTATGGAAAGTTGGTACTGTGTATTTCCATTCCATCTTTCCTTTTCAAAAGAAATATATAGGGTCATTAAATTCTTAAATCGGAATCATATTATATATTTAATCATGCACATTAAGTAACAAATGTATAAAACAATCTATTTATTCAAATTCACAAATTGTACCGTTGGCCGTCTCTTCAGTCCTTGGATTGGACTTTTCCACTTTTGGTCTGTTGCTGGGCCCATGAGTTGGATGATGACCCAGTGGCCTGTGCCACAATTATTGTAGCTCTCCTTTTCTTCTTTGTCCATTTCAAATAGGGATTCGCGGGCCATACATACATCCAATGGTATAATTTCTCCTCTTTTATACATGGGATGGGTCGAGATGATGAGTCGTCCGAATCTTATATTAAATAATTTGTAAAATATTTGTGAGTACTTTTCAAAAATAAAATTCCCGTCCCATATGCACTAATTAACATACTTGATATGAATATACAAAGTGTATCATTGTTCTAGATTTAGATTAAAGTGTAATTGAATGATATACCCTTTTTAATCATTTTCAGTATCTTCATCTCACTAGTTGATTAGGACTGCCTACTGTCACTAAACAAAAACTATCAAGTGTGTGTGTTGGGGAAATAAAGAAACTTAAGCTTCAAGTGATGATTTAGATGACACAATCGGTCATGCACATTTCAGTATTGACCAATGCGCGTCCTTTTTGACGTAATTATCACCAAACAAACCAATCAATAGCAACATTTGCAGTTAAAAAGCAATGGACTATAGACATGAATGTGCAATTGTGCACCTCCCAACGCCACGTGGCATGATCTCATTTTCTCATTAGTCAGCTTTTTTTTTTTCTTTTTTTTTTTTTGGTCAAAATCACTAGTCAGCTTTAAGAAGTGTGCAATTAACGGAAGAAAGACCTTGAACAAGGTTGGAAATATAAATTAACAGATATGATGGGAGGTTGGTTACTCAATTATTGGTTAAGAGCTGTTAGAGAGGTAAAGAGTAGACACTTTATTTCTTTTGGATTAAGCCAATAGATAGTCTATAAGAAAAGCCAACCATGACAAATGATTGACTTAGTGTATTTAAACCCAAAAAAAATTTTGTCCAAGTGAAAAAAGCAATTTTGGGAATAAAAATTATATGGGAAATAGCCCAGCATTGTACAAGCCTCCCCAAAGGAAAGATGAGTGTTGGAGGTAGAAATGTCCATACTTGCTTAACTTTCCAAAAATAAAATGCTAAATAGTTTTATATAAATTAATACTCCCTCTGTTCCAATTTAAGTGTCGCTTTTGGGGAGTATAATTTTTAAGGATATGCATTGTTTCCTAGAAAGTTACAAACTTACCCTTTTAAATTTTGAATATTCAAATTTTAAATTCCAAAAACATATATGAAAATATGTAAAACATATTGTTTGAAAAAAAAAAAATGAACAATTATTTTGGGACAATTCAAAAAGAAAAGATAGACACTTTTGTGGAACTGGGCCAAACAGTTATCAAGTCCAATTGTCCTAAATCCTACCTCACACCAACCCAAACAACCTAAAGTCCAGTTGATGGGGCTGGGTTAATCTGGGTTTGGATCAGACTTGGTCCAATGATACTGACTCTGAGCCCAAATTTAGCCAAAAGCCCTAACACATCAACCATTCACCGGGCCAAATCCCAATTTCCCAACCCAGCCAATCTCTTTTTTGTTCATTGCTAATGTTCTCTTTACGAAGCAAGAAATACACTTAATATTTATTTATTTTTATCTGTTAAAAAAATAGAATTTCCTAATTTTTCCTTAAATTAAATACTCAATACAATATTTAATAAAATAAATAGGAGACTGACTATTGTTGAATATTCCAGATAAAAGTCAGAATATAGTTCTTATGGTGGGTTAACAAAACGTACTTGAAATCACTAATGATTCAATTCGAAATGAAACATAAGTTAATCCAAATTTTACAAAAACATGTTTGAAATCATTGATGATTCAATTCAAAATAAAACAGAATTTAATCCAAATTTTACAATGCAATGGTTGTTATTCATATACTAACTGGACTTATCATTTCTTTTTTTTGGGGTCAAAATCAACGGAAGCAATATAATTCGTCACTTTTATGAGAAATGATAATAGCAACGTTAATTTTTTTAAAAATAAAATAAAAAGAATTTTATTGTAAATTTAAATTAGATGTACTAATTACGTAGACAACTTTTAAAATTTATGAATATGATAAATGTGCAAAGCAAATAAAACATTTTTAGAATTAGAAAGATTGTGACATCGAATTTGAAGGATATAAAGTGGTTGCATCGAATTGGATGCATGTATTATACTATAAAACATTTATGCTTATAGGAGAAAATAATAGTACTACGTATACGTTTGTGTATGTCTGCATGCATACATCCAAAATTGACATCCATCTTGGACTGTGTGAATGCAGAGTTTTTGTTTTGTGCCTTCTGGTCCCATGGTAGATATGATAGCTGAAGCCTGAAATTTGCGACAAGTCCATAGCCTTGTGTTCGTCATTATTTAAAGGGTTAATTATAATGACACCTACTGAGATTTGTTATAATAACATTCATACGTAAGTTAAACGTTTTTTTGAACAATAACATCCTCTAACAAAATATGGAGCCAAACGGACCCTTAAAAGGTTTGAAAAAACAAAATTGCCTATCAATATTTAACTAATTTTAATTATAAAATATTATATTTTTAAAATGACACTTTTGCCTTTCTACCAATCTCTTCTAAACCCATCGATCCGGCCCCCTCTCTCTTCACCCACCGCCATCATCTCCTTAACCACAGCCACCACCACTTACCCTCAACCACATCCTGCAGCCACCATCTCCTCAACCACATCCCGCCGTCACTTTTCTTCAACCACAACCACCGCCACTGTCTCTCTCCTCGCATCGGTGACTGCACAATATCACATCTCTTATCATCACCACCATGCTTGATCTATGCAAAACAAACAGAGGAGCAACCCACAGATCAATCCAGATCCATGATTAATTCGGATCCATTTGCATCATGAGACCGTGGTCGGAGGTTACGACGGAGGTGGTGGTGGTATCACCAGAATCAACTGAATCAAATTCATTTGATTCCTTTGTGCGATTTGAAATCTCGCTTGAATCTACTTCGGGAAGCAAAAGGCTCAGAGCACTTTGTTCTGGCCACATCAATATATGTGAGTCGATATATTTATATCGTCTGTAACTTCTATATATATATATATAATATCTTCATATTGGCAGAGACCCAGCCCAGATCACGTAACTTCTATATATATATATATATATATATATTGGCAGAGCAAATGGCGTAACCTCTCTCTCTATAAATATATATATATAATATCTCCATACAGATCGTGCAAAATGAGTTCTATAGTATATATATATATATATGTCAGGTTATGTATTGTTCATGTTAAATCGCACAATCTGCAACTTGAAATCAGGATTTTACATGCGTACTTCTCGTTGCTCCAGAAATGGATTTGCTTTAAAAGATAAACCTATATGTGTGTGTGTGTGTGTGTGTGTGTGAATTTCAACTCTCAATATTTTCTTCTTGAATGCAATTACAACTTTTCATAGTTTTCTTCTTAAATGCAATTATTAATGGAATTCCATGAAAGTTAGAATCATGTTCTAATCAGTGAAGCTTATACATAAATGACTTAGATGTTTGGTAAAGGAAAAGACATATGCAACCAAACCAGAACGCCTAATTAGTGTTAGAGAGTAGACAAAATGATTCTAATCTTGGCAATCAAAAAAACTAATAAATAAAACATCTGATTTGTAAGCCATATGTGATAGTATTTTCCTTTATAATTTTTCTCAGCTTTCTCGGCAACCATGCAAGGGTTTTAGAATAGAGAACACACGAAATTCACCTTGAGAAAACCTTCCGCTATCTTGCGAACGAGATCTTTGGGGAATCCATCTATATATATACATATGTCAGGTTATATATTGTTCATATTTATATATAAAGAGATGTGAGAGAGGTTATTTTGGACATTTCAAGTTTATTAGAATAGGTAATTTAGTAATTTTGCTATTCAAAAGTGTCATTTCATAAGTCAAAGGGCACTTGGGTCATTTTATCACATGTCAACCCCTCAATGAGTGTCTTTGTCAAAGGCAGCAAAGCTTAAAGGATGTCATTGTTCAAAAGTGGACTAATTTGTATATGACTGTCAATAAGATAAACTTTAAGGAGTGTCATTGTAATTAACCCTTCATTAAAACTCTGCACCCAACATTGCAAACATTTATTGGTGGTTGTTTTCTTTCTCTTTTTATGTTTTATTATTATTATTAAATTAAATTTTAGTCTGACTATAATTTATTTTTCTGTTTTTTCCTTCTACTTTAATGTGCATTGTACGTGTAGTATTAAAGATTTAATTGTGTGTCTCTGTTTCACACTTTTGACACTCCATTTCATAGGCAGTATTGTTATAATAATTATAGAATCTAAATGCAAATCAAGGGTACAACTATGTTTAAACCACTTCAACAATTTAATAAATAAGCTGACCAACCTCACTGATGATGACACCATACCACCATGGTCCAAGGGAATTCCCGCTCATTGGACTCACAACTCACAGCTGTTACACCATGTGACTCTTACCTTAATCTTAACAATGCCCACTTAATTGCAAATCAACTATTAAAATGTTTATCAGTACATCAAGGGATACATCAGTTATATCGAATGTCATCACATAAACATTAGTGAATAGTCATATCTGAATGAATGAAGATTCAGTTCCGTTCTATGAAAGTTTAATAATATTATGTTGTATTCTATCATCCACACATTTAAAAGTCTAATAATATTATGTTATGCAATACTGAATGACTCAATCATTCACGTAAAAGTTTAATAATATTATGTTATGCAATATTCAATAATTGCGATCATTCACACATATAAGTGATCGTAATTATCAATTATGTTTTTTTTACACTTACGAGTAATCAAGACACTTCACTTTGCAATAATAGGAGAGAATCCATCCGAACACTCCACTCTTTTAAATCCCATCCAATTTCATGGTTTTATATTATTGGGTAAACGAATGCAATTTCATGGTTGGAAGAGTGTAACAGACAAATTAGGGATATGATGACGTGAGGTTGATATTGAAGATAGAATCGTACGAATACCAGATCATTTGAATGATCAATCAGTACTCTCTACCACAAGTCTACGTCCTTTATGGAGTACAGTAATTATTGAATCACAGTCTGCACAAGGTTGTGTTAACGTCCACGAAAAACAAAATTAAATTCTGCAACAAAATGATAGGACACATGTCACAAGACGTTTAAAAAGTACAATTAAACCAAACTCACTGGGGATAAAAGGAAATATATATATATATACAGCCCCTCTTTTTTGCACGAACCAAATGGATCATAAATAATTAGACAAATTGCATAAACCACCCTTCAGGTTTTTAATTTATACATCAAAATAAAATATGGACCAATATTTTGGTCAACAACCCTTGTAATTTCATTGACTCATCACACGTCCTTCAATCCTCCTTCAATCCAAAGTGATGCGTCAAAGCAGTGGGGATTCAAACAAAAATAAACTTTTGTTCATTATGCAAATTGAAATTACATAATTAACCAGACAAAAGTACCCTTTGCCTAATTGAATCACGTGACCCCACTTTTCTTCTTTCATGGACATCACATTTCGTCTCTCTAGTTTCTCTCTCTAACAACAATGGAGTCCGAGTTCTCTCCCGCACCAACACAATCTCTCTCCATCGATTTCTCTCTCCTCTGCAATGCCTCCACCAATCGCCGCCACCACTATTTTACACAGACCTCCCCTGAGGTATTCAATCATTCCACTCAACTCTCAAATTCATCTATATCTACAAACACGTGTGTGTGTATATGTGGTTCAACTTATTCTTTCAGTTTTCGTATTTTTATCTTGTGGCTCTGCTTGCTAGTGGGGATGTGTTGGCTTTAGTTTTGTTCTCTGCAATCGGAAGTTTCAGTCATGGTGGTAGACTGAATATATATCTCTCTCACTCTCTATATAATACAGCAGTGGACTGGGTGTGGTGGACCCGAGACGACGGTGGTGGGTGGTGGTTCCCTTGAGACTTGTCTGCTAATATAGAAATCAACTTCAATTTTGTTGTCTATGGTTTCAAATCTGGTTTTTTTTTTTTTTTTTTTTTTTGCAACAATGCATTAATTTGGGTCCATCATTGTCTTCAAAAATTACTTATATATGTGTGTATATGTATATATTAGATGTATATGCACAGATCTTCATCCTATGGGTGACAAGAGTAAGAAAAAAGAATGAGACAGCCTTTTCCCACCAACCAAAATGAGTTGCAAGTACAAGGGGAAATGGCTTTATGTACTAGGAAGGGCAAAAATGTAACTTAACAATACCAAATTAACTCATTCTCAATTTTTCTCTGACTTAGCCTAAGGTCATACAGGTAAATTTATGTTGATTCACTAAGGTCAATTGCTTAATTAGAACCTTCTTGTGATATCGGCTACTTCTATGTTGATATATGAATTGAAGACCTGAAGGGTGGTTTATGTAATTTGTCCTAAATAATTAGACTAAAAATTGAGGACTCAGATGAAAAATAAATAGTATACTTTTTGAGGGGCAGTACCGCGAAACATGTTCATTTTAATTCATTTTCTCCCTCTCACCTCCCCAAACTCTCTCTCTCTCTCTCTCTCACACACACTGTTTATAAGACTGTTTCAGATACCTCCCAATATTTTATTCTACCTCCATTGACCTCGAAAGCATTCTCAAGTCTTTGCATTTTTCACTGCTCTTTCCTTATTCTCAGTCACTCACTCAATTCCACCATAAAGCAATGTAACATTGAAAACTCAATTTCTGAATCACTAATATACATATATATCTGTAGTACATGTAGAACTGAAATGGGTTGTTGTGCCAGCACCACCAACAAAGCAGCTTCAGTTTCTCGCAACAATCGGCGTTCGCTGGCGGCGAGATCTCACAGCTCCCATTACAGCAGAGCACCACCACTTCCGTTTTTGGAGGAAGAGACCGTGAAGGAAGTGCTCTCCGAGACTCCAACTCCAAAACCTTCCCTCCCAAAGAAGATCGAAGACGAAGAGAAGAAGATCAACGAACCTAAACTTGCTCTGCACAAAGTCCAAGAAGAGGACGATTACAACAATGTCGACAAGAAACCTTTAAGGGTTAATGCAGAAGAGATCTCTGAGATCTGTAGCTTAAGCGAAAGCGTGTCGACGACGACAGTTACGGAGAAGAGAGAAGACGATGACGGCGAGGTTCGGCAGAGGGTGAACAGGTCGCCGGCGAAGTTCAGAAACCGGTCCTTTTCCGGTGTTTTGTCGGGGAAGGGAGATGGGGCAGTGGGAAAGTCACCGGTGAGAAGGTCCGAGCCAGCACCGGGCCGGGTCAGGCCCAGGCCCAGGCCCACCAAAGAAGGGCGCGTTTTGAAGACAGACCGACAGAGGATGGACTCGGGAGACAGTTTCCACCGGAGGCCAAGGTCACCGGCTACTTGTTCAGACACCGGCGGGAAACGGCCCGGTTTGGGTCGTACCCCATCGGGTAGGAGATCATCGGGTAACTCTCCAGCTCGGGTTAGATCCAACATTCCTGAGAGGACCCGGAAAATGGAGGAGACGAAGGCGGAGAGTAAGTCGCCACCGACGACGAACGAGTTACTTGAAAACCCACTTGTGTCCTTGGAATGCTTCATCTTCCTCTAGAGGTATAATATGGTTGGTGTCGTAATTGTAGGTCAATTGTAGGTCAATTTAGTGCTAGGCACGTCCTTTTGTCTTCATCTCATGTAGATAAAAGTCAAAAGGTAAATTTTGGGGAAGACAAGTTGTCTGCTCCTCAAATTCCAAGTTTACCCTTCTAGATAGTACAGTATGTATTTCTAGCATGTTGTGTCCCACTGCATATTTGGATTCGCAATCGGCAATGGCATCAGTGGACCTCTGTTTACTCGATTGCTTCCGCATGGTGACTTTTAATTGTACCTTTAAATCTGTAACTATATTAGACCTATTTATGTATCTATCTGTATACATACATATATGTATGTGTATATATGTGTGTGTTTTGTTTGCCTTGTTCATGAGACAGCAACTTTGAATCTGCATTTGGTTAGATAAGATCTAGAACTCACGGAAGGTGCAGGAAAAAGAATTTGGAACGCAAAAAAGGAGATTCTTCGCCAAAGTGCACTGTTTTATTGTATTTTAAAACTTTCTACAAATATTATTAGGATGCCAATTAAGAAACCATCACGAAACAGGACAAAAATATCACACAAAAGATGAAAACAAGATTGTGATCCCGAACCAAATTCGAGTCACATCATCACATAAATGTGTATTCTAAAATTATTTTTGTAAGTTATTCATCTTAATCAAATAAATGCATGAAAATTTATTTTCTTTTTATGAACTTCATTTTCTATTATTTTTACTTTTCAATATGAACAGAATTTAAGGAAAAAAAAAAATAGTCAGACGAAGGAAGGTTTATACTTATCAAAATTAGTATGAGATCTCAATAATAATATGAAAATAATAGTTTGTTGGTGTGACGTTCAATCAATGAATTTGATGACTCATAAGAATGCGTTATGGAGCATTGTTGAAACAGTGAAAGCCTCCTAGAAGGGAAAGGGAAATATGGATGGATGTCACATTTATGTTGAGCCAGCTGGTTTTGATAATGAAGGGGTATGTATTGTCTTGACAAAGTTCCATCCATTTCTTTTGATAAGTGACAGGAAAGGGGGTCACACGAGTAATGCTTATACCTACTACCATCTCAATCTTTCAACAAAAAAAAAAAAAAAAGCCCCAAAATTGATGATGAAAAGTGATGGAAACGTTTGAAATTTGAGCGCAAGTACTTCTATCACACAAATAGTTTCAAGCCACTGCCTCAAATACAAATGCAGTATAAGCGTGTGTGATTTTTGAGCTCATCGGCTCGGGCAAGTTGCTTAAACACGTGGAGTGTTCATAAAAACAGGCTTGTGTAGGTTTGTATGAATTTATGAATATAAACTTGTTTGATTAAGCGAGTCAAGTTGAACCAAATTCAAAGTTTTTTAAAATAATGATGAGTCCAACCCGAACTCAGCGTTTTGAACTAGCCAAAATTCCGACCTAAACCCACAAACGAACAGATTGAACTAAAAACAAACCTAAAGCTCGACTTGGTTAGACTCATTTGCAGTGCGAATGTCTTTACAAAGAGGGGAATTGTGGGCAATTATGTATCCTGTTGTGCAATTGAATTTTGGGCACGGGGAGAGAGCCGGGAAATCCTGTTTGTAGCCGTTGGGACTAGTGGACAGAATTCTGCAGTGGTCCAGTTTCTATACATACAGCAGTTCGTTTAGTCGTTTGGACTGATTATTCCCCGTTTCCAAACAAACTGTTCGCACAGTTTTTGTTCCCTACGCCGGTCGATGGACTCTTCGCGGGCGTGCCAGAGTATTTGTACAAAATACCCAAAATATGTAATTGAACACCAGCCTATCCCTTTTTCCGATAGCTGACTCTCAGGCGATTGTGTGGGAGAGAGACTAGTAAGAACTCCCAGCAAGGTTCTTTTATGCCTTGTTTGTAGCAAGGACTTTTTAGAGTGTCTAAAGAAATGTAACGGCTGATGAATGTTTGAATGGATGGAATGGCCGAGTGAAGACAGGCGGCAAGAACTTAATCGATCGCCGGCCGAACGTGATGGCGAGAACTTAATCAATCGCCATCAGCCAAACACAATGGCAAGAATTTAATCGATCGCCATTGAAACGTGATAGACAACCATTCTTCTTCATTACAGGAACAACAAACTCTAAGTTTGCCATTCTTCTTCATTACAGGAACAACATTAGACAACCATTCAACATACCTAACTGTTCGAATAAATCCTGCCTTAAGAAGTCTCTCAATTTCTTCTTTAATTTTGAGCTTTACTTCCGAAGACATCCTTCTTGGTGGTTGTTTATATGGCTGAAAATCTTTCTTGATCGGTAATCTATGTTCTACCAATTTTCTAGACAGGCCAGGCATCTCTTCATAACTCCAAGCAAAGCAATCCTTATATTCATTTAATAATTTAATCAAATCGGCCTGGAATTTAGGCTCAAGCAAAGCACTAACAAATAATGGCCGATTATCTTTTTTAGTACTAACATTTATTTCCAATAAAGGATCTTGCACCTCTGCTTTATTATCTTCCATCCTGGAAGGGGCTGACCCCAAATCTTCAAATTGGATTGCATCCAGTTTTTCGAAACCTTCTTCAATTATATCGGCCGTGCTGGCCGATACCTCTTCATATAGTTGTTCTTCTTTGGCCAGTCTCTTGTCAGCCAGATATGCTTTCAGTCTGATGCAAGCGGCCCTGAAAGCTTGCCACTTCTTGTCTTCATTGGTTTTGTGATCCATCAGTAACATCTTCAATGTCCTTGATGGTCGACCTGAAAATATCAATTTTCGGCCGAGCTGCTTCTGACAATAATTCTTTAATATCAACATTAATTAAATTCTTCTTCATTGTTGCCGCTGCTGGTCGTCCCATCCTGTTAATGCCAACAAATTTGATAGGTACAATAGTTTCATCATAAAGTGCAGCCTCAGCCGAATACACCCTAGCTATAAAGGGTTTGTTATCGGCCTCAACAATTTTTACCTCATTTCCGTCCCAAAAAATCAACATTTGATGCAAGGTTGATGGGATGCACATGTTAGGATGAATCCAATCTCGGCCTAAAAGGAGATTATAGGCCGCGGTTGAATCAATGATAAAGAAAGCCGTAAAGGATGTCTTACCGCCAATAGTAATTTTCAAAGGTAGAATACCTTTGGTGTTACTAGATCCTCCATTAAAACCACTAATGGCCACGTCGGTTGGAACTACATCATCCATGGTTTTACCCAATTTCTTCAAAGTAGTTGATGGAATGACATTCACCACCGAACCATTGTCAACCAAAACCCTATTGATTGGCTGACCCCAACCCATACTTTAACATACAACGGCCTCAACTGCTGTGTCATGGACAAAGGTGGTTTTTCAAAAATGATTTTATCGGCCTTAGATGGCTGATCCTGAGAGATCAATCCTATCCCGGCCGATGAACTTGTCGAATCGTTCTTAATTTCTGAAGATTCAGCCTTTTCTTCCTGCTTGGCTGACTCAACATCCCTGTTCACCGTTGGTTCTATCCTTGCTTCAAACACAGAAGGCAAAACAAATACCATGTTACAATTTACCTTATCCGGGAGAGAACCAAAACGAATTCTGTACTTGGCCGCATGCTTTGGATCCTGGTCGGGCTGATCATCTTTTTCTTCATAAAAGCATGCCTTATTCTCAAAGGATGTAACGACCTCCATGTCTTCAGCCACCACTGGTTCAATTTTCCTTTCTAGTTGATCATGGTCGATCTTGTCTTCTTTCCTTTTGAGTTCTGCATTTTTCCTTTGCATCCTCCTTTTTGGGTACGTGTAGGAGGCTGCTTAGGAAACTTTGGGTGACTTACTCGAGTCCATCTGCCATGGTCAACCAAAGGAGGTCTAACCGTTCTTACACGGCTAGATTCTTCTCCTTTTTGAACCCATATTTCTGACTGAATTGTTGGTTTCCTTTTGAAACTAGGATAAAAATGTTGTTCTGGCAGGACTCTATCGGCAACCGATGACCGAATGATTCTCACTGCCCTCGGCCCATTTTCTCTAAATATTGATCGATTGATTTCTTCGTGATTCTGTCTAGGCTGATGGCCTAACCTTTCGTGGACACTGCGCTTTCTGGTTGATTGGAAATAGCCCCTCTTGTCTGAGTCATTCCTTTGGCCTTTGCAATTTGGACAACAACCATGGTTGATGAGGGCAATTTGAGCTTCTCTTAACTGAATTTCCAAGTCCTTAACTTTCTGCTCATCATTACTGGCCGATGAACTACCAAGAACTTTTGGTAATCTTTCTTGTCTACCATTATCAGCGGCTTTTTCAGTTGCCAGGCTGATTACATTGGTACTGACAATATTAGGAAATGGATCACCATCGACCCCCATTACATCTGGCTTCTTTCCAGAGAATTTCAATACACCTTCATCGATAGATTTCTGCAATACATTTCTAAATACATAACAATTGTTAGTAGTATGATTCCATGAATTATGAAATTTGCAGAACTCTCTTCCTTTTAAATTATTGGTCGATGGTATATTGTGTCCTTTTGGCAAAATGATTTGTTTGTCGGCCAACAAATGATCAAAAATTTGTTCTGTTTTGGCCAGATCAAACGTATAAACCTTACCAGTATCAGCCGTACCCTTCCTGGCCGATGAAGTCGATGGCTGAGTACCACTGGTGGATACATTTGGTTTTGTTAAAGCGTCACATACATAAGGCTTCTTTAGAATGACTTCGGCTAAATTAGCTTCAAAATCTTCCTCTTCAACCACATCAGTTGAATAAACTTCATAGTTGGGGTCCCTATAGTACGTACCTTTAGAGGAATTTTTTCGTTCTTTCTCCTCTTTGAGAACCAACTCATACCTGGTAGCTTTCTCAGCCAGGTCATACATATCACGAAATGGAACTCCTTCAAACCTCTTCCGAAGTTCAAAATCAAGGCCGTTCAAAGCCAAACGGATGTACTCCTGTTCTGGAAGAGGTACACGACATCTTAATCTTGCTCTCCTGAATCTTGCAATGAATGTCTCGACCGATTCACTAGGCAATTGACTTAGCCTGGATAAATCGGCCAGAGTAGGTTCTGTCTCTGTACGGTAGAACTGATTGTGGAATAATTCCTCCATCTGTGGCCAATTAAAAACAGAGTTAGGAGGTAGACGAATATACCATGAAAAAGCTGCCCCTGTCAAAGAGTTAGGAAAAAGTCTCAATTTCAACCACGGGCTAACACTGGCCTCTCCACATTGAACCGTGAATCGGCCAATGTGTTCCACGGTCGATTGATTCCCCTCTCCACTAAAGGTTACAAAGTCAGGGACTTTATATCCTCTAGGGAACTCAACTTGGTCTACCACTTCTGGATAAGGAGTTCTATAAATTGGTCGGCCGGCACCTCTAAGTTCCAGGCCATATTCTTCTGTGAGTAAATCAGCTAATTGTCTTCTATCTAACATGACTTGAGGTGGCTGATTTAATATTGGTGGTATCTGATTAAAAACTGGCGGCTGATTAGCCGCTGGTTGATAGCAATTCGGCCAATCATGTGGCTGATTAGCCATATTCTGCCCCCCGAGCCCTACCTGTGGCGGCACATAAGTATACAGTGGGTTCGGTGGCCTCCACCTGATCTGATTGCCCCCCGAGTTCAAAGGCATCCGAGGAGGGTTTGGTAGAATTACCTGTGGCTGCGAACCTACTACTGGTGGCTGATTAGAACCTGCCAACGTAGGCTGAGGATAGTTTTCTGCCCAGGTGAATAGCGTATGAACCGGCTGACTTGATGTTGCACCTGGTTGGAGTGTCACTACTGGCGGCCATGGCTGTGATGTTTCAATGGCCCTCTCTGGCCGAGCAGCTTGTGATAGATTCGGCTGAGAAGCCGATTCCTGATTGTTGGAGCTGCTAGCTTGAGTCGGCTTGTTCAAAATAAAGGCTAAGAGTTGGGACATATTTTCATGCAAGTCGTTGTAGCGTGCTCCCATCCTTCCCATTGCATCTACCAAGGAGCTAACCTGTGCTTGAAGTACGGCTAACTCATCAGTAGGACCTGCTGCAGAGTTCTCAGCCTGTACTGGCTGATCGCCTTCCTCCAAATCTTCATCAGTAGCCACGGCCTTAGAATTTTTTGTGGGCCGTGGCATATTTGCCTCTTTTATAACACTCTAGTCGGGGTCCCACCGGGCGTGCCAAAACGTGTTCGCGCGGTTTTTGTTCCCTACGCCGGTCGATGGACTCTTCGCGGGCGTGCCAGAGTATTTGTACAAAATACTCAAAATATGTAATTGAACACCAGCCTAACCCTTTTTCCGATGGCTGACTCTCAGGTGATTGTGTGGGAGAGAGACTAGTAAGAACTCACAGCAAGGTTCTTTTATACCTTGTTTGTAGCAAGGACTTTTTAGAGTGTCTAAAGAAATGTAACGGCTGATGAATGTTTGAATGGATGGAATGGCCGAGTGAAGACAGGCGGCAAGAACTTAATCGATCGCCGGCCGAACGTGATGGCGAGAACTTAATCAATCGCCATCAGCCAAACACAATGGCAAGAATTTAATCGATCGCCACTGAAACGTGATAGCAAGAATTTAATCAATTGCCATCAGCCAAGTAATGATAAGAATTTAATCAATTGTCACTACGATTCAATGGCAAGAATTTAATCAATTGTCATTGAATTGAAAGCCTAACTAAAATTGCGTAATTAAAATTGGCATAATTGAAATTGAAAGAAAGTAAATGGCTGAATTAAAATAGTTGACAATGATCTAATCAATTGCCATTAAATTGAAATAAAGAAATTGATAAGAAAAAATGACGCAGAGTCAATTGAAAACATTTTTAGTTGAAATGCATGTTTTGTGGTGGTGCTGGACCAGTTAGAAATGGAATACAATACTTCTATTTATAGAAGTTCTATCTCAACTTATTTTCCTAAGTTATTGCTAGAAAATCTCTCCTTCTTTGATTCTTTTTCTTCACAATTTGAACTCAGTCAAATCCTATTGTTATTCTGCTTCCTTTCTTGTTTTGTTTCAGTAGGAAATCTCTGTAAAAACAACCTTCCTCGATTTAATCACATGTAAGTTGCCGAGATATTGCTAAAACGTTGCTAGAAAGTTGCTAAAAAGTTGCTAATTTTTAGCAACTCCCCTCCTTAAGTTTAGCAGCCCGTTTCATTCCCTTAAATGGCCTAATGGCCATTTGTAACTTTTGAACTTATACGGCTATTCCTTTCTTGTTGAAATTCCTACTTTATTGGGATTTAGTTATTTATTGTAACTAAATCTCTTAAGTCTTCTCTTTTGAATTGATGACATATTTGAATTGATTCAAATCTCTACAAATATATTTAGCAACAACCTTATCAACAAAGTGGCTGAAATATATTTGCCTAGATTTTCTCCTTTTGTCTCTCTATTGGCCGACTTCCCTTAAGACATAATAAACACTTGTCAATTTCTCATTGGTCCACGTCATCGCTGAGATGGCTGCCAGTTTTTGGTGCCAACACAAACAAAACGAAATTCTTACTGAACTAAATCCACAAAGGTAAATAAGAATAAAGAACATTTTGAGGGTCCAAATGTAAGTTTCACATGAACAAAAAACAAAACAAAAAAATCATGAAAACTTGATGATTGGGCATTTTCAGCACTGTCATTTCTTCCGTATCTGCTAGCTTTAAAATTGAATTGATACTCTAGGTAGATGACTGATATATGGAGAAAACGGGAGGATCAATCCTATAGTTTGTGTTGGTTTCTTAGTGGCGATTCAATATTCTGATCACCATCCCAACAATATATAAAAGTTGCAATGACCACCCAGATTCAATATTCTGATCACCATCCCAACAATATATAAAAGTTGCAATGACCACCCAAAAAAGAGAGGGGAATCAATTACCAACATCAACTCTTCTCCTCCAAAAAAGAGAGGGGAATCAATTACCAACATCAACTCTTCTCCTCTATTTTATTTACAAGAAAATCGATCCATTTGATGGGTAACCCATCGGAAATCATATCAGAAAACAGTGAAAAATATGATAATAGCAGTGTAAATAAGCCGAAGCCTTGCCTGCTATTCCAATGATAACTCTTTGGAAATGCTGATCCAGCTTGCCCATCGTCAATCACCAAGTGCTATACACAAATATTCAAGTGCATACCGGGAAAAAAAGGGTTACCTTTCAAATTGAAAAAATCAAGGCACTTGTATATCTAAACTCTAAAGATAGTGCATGTCTTTTCCTCAAGTGGGGGTCCATGATGTTGGAGTAAATTTGATGCAGGCACTTCTGATGTTCTGTTTTTTCAGGTTGAGCTTGAGCTTAAGTTCGTGTGTGAGTTGGTGTTTGAGGTGAAAGCAGGCAATGAGATATGTTGATGGGGAGGACACAGGATGTGTTCAGGGGGGCAAGGCATGGGAGCAGGGTGGGCAATGAAGGTAGGAATATCTTCTCCGGGCATCAACACTGAAACTTCTCGGGCATTTGCAGATACCTGAAAGAGAGAAGCTGGCTTACAAAGATGCAAATAGCCTAAAAATGATAACCTCATATGTTACATTATAATAGAAAGAAGTTCTTACTTTTTGTTACATATCACAACATACCAAAGAAGGTATTTGCTTCTATTATAGAAACACAAACGCCAAGAAGCAGTAGAAACTAAAATGCCTAGCCACTTTTAGAGTCATCCAATGCCCAACCACCCCAGCCTCAAATTCACTAAAGCATTTAGACACAAGTTAGACAACCGAACTGCGACGCTACCAAAGGTCCCAGATCAAGCTAAACCTAATTGATTATACAACACTGAAAACAGGTCCAATCAAAATATGAACTAAAGGTCATGGGGATCCAGTAAATGGATGGCTCATGACTCATGATGCATCTGCTCTTGGAACAAATCCAAACCTAGTAAGCACAAAAAAACGGGACTGCTGACTCTATAAAGTGAAAAAAGAAAACGACTAACAATGGGATGATCATAAATGAATAGAAACTTCGAATATCATAATAATTTATCAAGTAGCAACTATGATTTTCCAAAAAAAAAAAAAAAAAAAAAACCAAAAATAGATCATTGGAATCACATATGAGCTTTGGATAGAGTTCTCTGCAGGAGGGATAAATATCATCAGATATGTATGCTCTCGAAACAGTAAATAGAATTTTACAGCTAACAGTGCCTTAGACATCATTAATTATTAGTACATATCGAGATAATGAACTTTTGTATTGCTAACCAAATGAATGACATCACTTTGAAGTCATATTGTTGACATCCAAACACACTGCCACACAAGATAAATTATAATGAGAGATTGACGAGTGACGACCACCAATACTGGAAATGTTTTCTTTGCAATTGAACAGAACAAAACGTATGACAGCAGACTAAGCCAATTGTCAACACTTTAATTTAATCAGCAATGTTAGGGGATCTCCTTTTTCTTTTTCCATTTTAAAATTTTTGAGTAATGACAATATTTCAATAACTGACAATATACTTTATTTGACTTTTTTTAGAATATAAAAGGTGGATTCTTAGATAGACAATAACTTTTTATGAGGATAGATACAACATTAAATATTGATGAGCCTTGCAGGAATTATGACCATTACCAACGGGCCAATGGCCTAGCGGTATCAGCCTCTTACTTCCCAAAAGAAAGTCAGGAGTTCAAGTCTCAGAAGAGACGAGTGTATGTGAGTACCAACTAGGAAAAATAATAATAATAATAAAATAAAATAAAATTATGACCATTCCATCAAACAAGGGGATTTTCTAATAATTGATCAAAGATCCAAACAGAGGACAACTTCTTATGAGAAATCTGTAGAGCATATTTTTTTCTGTAACTCTTCATATCAAAGATCTCTTGTAAGAGATTAAACTAAAACATCTAGTCCTAAGTTCTGGCGGGGATTTGGACTTGCAATTTTGGTATAGCTTCTATCATGCTGGCCTACTAATACCAATTTTGTAGTCTAAAATGTTCATGTATTTGAGGATCTGAAATTGCATAGATCAATGGCACAAATAGCTTTAATAGATATCATGCTTGTTTATGTTTTAGTAGGACAAACCTAAGAGGGATATGATTATCACGTGAAGCAAGTTAGACCTATGAAAGAAAAATCTCATCTAATACACTATAATCAGCATAATAGAATAATTTTGGACAACTTGACTAGATCTTGAACACCGTGCTGTGCTATAGAACTTAGATGGTGCAATAGCATCTTATTACCAAATATTGTTTCATGCAGATTAATCAAATAGTAAAAGGGTAAGTGACAGTACAACCGTAGTTTAGCACATCTTAAGGCTGAACACAACAAATGGGTAATGGTCCACAATCCGCATTATCTGCTTAAGGTGGTCTGATTTGAAAAAATACAGATTTTTCAGAATCATTACTAGACCATGCCACACATGAGGTCTAGTTCAACCAAAAAGGAAATTGGAACAGCTGTTGGATTGCAAATTGTTTTCAACAGTCAAAAAGCAACGATGCACCACCTCACCAATTGACTGAAATAAGGGTGCATATATATAGTGAATAATTTATCAAATCATGTAAAAGTCCACATAGAATTCTTCAAAAAAAGGTATTGCAGACACAGATGGTTCATCGAACGAAACACAATGACCCAAATCACGACTAATCCAATAGGTATGCTTATGTGATGAAACTAGTTGGATTAACATTTAAAGCTGGAAAGAAGACAATAAACTAAGACTTGCCCACAAAGAAAGGTTGACGGCCTGTCCCCCCAACCACGATGCTGCCCATACCCGGCAATCTGGCATTATAAATAATTATAGTGATGGGTTTATGAATCCCCAAGTACAGTGGTGGGTCTAAACACCGAAAATGTTAAGAGTTGTGTATAAAGCAATAGCTCATACACTTTAATTGGGACCAATCAACCAGCAAGCAACCTATTGGATAGACCATTGTTTGAATATTGTGATAAAGAGACAGTGAGATTTTCAATGTACCAAATTTTAGGGGAACATGCACATGCATATATAATAAAGAATTTCAGGAGTAGTTATTGGGATGCTTTATTATCATCTACATGATTTTATTACTACAAAGTACAAAATTTAATATACGGTCTCAAACTTTGTTCATTTGCTAAGCAGAAATCCATTTTGCAAGTTTGTGGATATCAATGTCGAGGCTCCATTAATCTTGTACTAAAATAATGAAAACCAATTAAAAAGGGAGATTATAGATCAAACGTTGAACTTGATTTGACAAAACAAGGTTCCATTTGTTTTGAAGTAAAACATTTTCAATTGTCTGAAAATTCTGGCAAAAATCGTAATAATCAGAGCTAACAAGAGATAAACATGTCCACAGTAAGCATAGAAAAAATCATGATACATGTTTGGTGTGTGGCTTGTCCTTAAAGAGAACAACCTATTATCAAATAAAAACAGTGTGGGAATCTTTTGGGGGGGACAAAATAAAATTTGGTGTAAGAATCAGATAATCAGGGGGACAAAAAAAGAGAGAAACAAATAAAAGGTTAGAACTTTGAAGTGAGATAGGAAAAAGAGGGAAAAGAGAAAAGAAAAGAAAAGGGCAAGAGACTCAGGGAAGACATCTAGAATCAGAAACTTTAAACAAGCATCAACAAATTCCACATATACATATCATAAATGCATGGTAGAAAACAATACCCTTTTCAGTCAAAATGAGCACCATCTCTCAACACAAGAAGAACATCGAACAATTTTTAAGCTTACAAATTTGCAATATTACACTGGAACAATAGCACAAACAGTGTATGGACACAGACATATCACAAAAAGCACACAGACACAGACACATGTATAGAATGTATAGGATAAAGGGAAGTGTGATTACTCACTCTGGGTGATGGATGACCAAGCTTCCCATTGAAGCCCATCTGGGACTCAATATCTCCATGGTAGCGATCACGGGACGGGGTTGAAACCGACGAGGATGGTCTGAGAAACCTCTCAAAAATGGCCATAACAAGGAACATGGAGATGAGGATGGCAGTGGCAACAAAACCAAAAGAAACTGCATTCACTGAGTTATCAAAGTGCCTCCAATTGTCATCTCTCTGTGTGTACAGGGGAGAACTAGTTGGTGGCAAACCCCAACCATCTTTTTCCCCCATTTTCACCTCTAAATTTGACAGAGATTCACTAACATTATCAGTTGTAGAATACCCACAAAGCACAGAACATGTAAGACAATAATGGCAGTTTAGAGAGAGTGTGTGTGTGTTGCTATGGAGGGTATTCAAGGCTTTTGCGCCATTATCAAAACAACCCAATTCCTAAAATCTGCTATGCAGCCCTCTGAAAAGAGAACCCGACTCAGAGAGAGAGAGAGAGACAGAGAGAGAGAGCATGTGGCCCCCGCTTTACAGGCAGGTGACCGGAGGTTGAAAAAGAGAGCCTTGGGATTTGGATAGTTAATATACAGCTCTCCTTTCTTTATTATACAAATTGGAAATAGCACTGTGTTTTGACAGTTGAAATGGACTTCTCACTTCTCCAGCACATATGAAAGCACCAAATTGGGCTTGAGTGGGCTTCACGAGGCCTAACAATATATACTAAGCGAATTTTGAGCCACAAACCCAACAATCTCTACCTTAGCTCAAAATTTTATCTTCAAGTGCTTCTTCATAGCCCCACCTTAATTAGAGATTTCTCCATCTCAAATAAAGTAATAAAGCACTATGATAAATTTGAAAAACACTAACACAAAATTGACCTTCTAATCATTGACAAGGGAGATTAGTGAACTCTATCTTCAAGTGCTTCTTCATAACTCCATCTTTAATTGGAGATTTCTTCATCTCAAATAAAGTAATAAAGCATTATGATGAATTTGAGAAACACTAACACAAAATTGACCTTCAGGATTTAAGTGAAATTTAACCCCTATGGATCAATATATATATATATATATATATAAAGGTGGAACTATGAAGAAACACTTGAAGATAGAATTCACTAATCTCCCTTGTCAATGATTAGAAGGTCAATTTTGTGTTAGTGTTTCTTAAATTCATCATAGTGCTTTATTACTTTATTTGAGATGGAGAAATCTCCAATTAAGGTGAAGCTATGAAGAAGCACTTGAAGATAGAATTTTGAGCTAAGGTGGAGATTGTTGGGTTTGTGGCTCAAAATTCGCGTGCAGAAAATTAGTTTTCTTTTTGGTTTTGAAAGGTTGAAATTTCTAGAGGAAAGTATATCCCATTATGTTTCTATTTTAGAGTTTTGATCATTATGGTAATTTGCTGGACAAAAGTTGAGGAAGATTTGTCCAACAATGAATTGGGTTTGAAGATTCTATAAACAGAAATGAGTGTGAGATGTTTAGAGAGAGAGAGAAGAGAAAAAATATGTAAGGGATTTAAGGGTGAGTATTGTGAGGGAAGGAGAGAGTATATGTAATTCGAAAGAGATAATGAATGAGTGAGTTGAATTTTGACGTGTAAAATCTCTCTCTCATGGACGGACATGAAAGAGATAATAAATGAGTGAGTTGAATTTTGACATGTAAAATCTCTCTCTCACGTACGGACATGACGACCAATGGCATATAACCTGTAAGTTAAAGGGTAAACTAACAACTAATGGTATAAAACCTCCCAATTAGCCAGCGGGGGAGGCCGGTCATGGATAAAAAGTATGTGTAAGTGGATATATGTTTCTTGCAATGAAGAAGAAAAAAAAAAGATAAAAAAAGAAGAAGAAGGTAGTGTAAATTAGGCTAAATCTATCAAGCTTACAAAAAATGAAAAAATAGACCTCATGTATATGTGTATGCACTGTGTGTGTGAATTTCTCGTGTACCCATTTGTGACTCAAAAACTAAACATGGAGCCAGCTGAGCGATGCAATGTTTAAATTGTAATTGTGATTTGTGACCAAACTTTGAGAACCCTCTTTTCTCTTATTCTACCAAAATAATTATTCTGTATTTCATGTTGATTGGTTAACCAAAGAAAATAATAATAATAATAATAATAATTTTTTTATAAATTTTCCTATTTAAATGGACAATTTATTCATTGGTTAGGGACCCAACAGCGTTGATGTTAGGAGGCACAAATTGAGATGGTGTAGTGTAGTCCTTGGGGCTCAAAAAGGAAGAAAATGACATAAAAATAAATACTAAAAAGGAAGAAAAAGAACATATCCAACCAAACTTTGTGGGTGACAAATGACAATTACAACTTAACTTTACAATGTCTCTCGAGTTCCATGGTCTCGCCAACATGATGTTTGAGAAATGAGAGCTAATATCCAAAACTATTACTCTACATACAAACTCCAGCCCCATTAAATCATTAGTTTCTTACCCACCCAAACTTGTAATCTAAGTTATATGTCCTCTGCATTTTTAAGCTGAGAAATGAAAGTTCAAGTCTATGCAGAGTAATGGGAGTGTTACTATCTTGATTTTATAATCCAACGATGTGCGCATTTGTAATATCAGCGTTAAGTTGGATGAGTAGATAAAGTATTGTCCTAATAATAATTTTAGATTCAATAAAATTGCTTGTAGCCTTTTGCAATTAGAAAATCCAGGCCTAAACAAATGAAGTAGAAAAAGGGGGAGAGAGTTTGACTTTTCTCCAACTGAGGGCCAGCCCAATTTGTGATCTTGAAAATGAGAAATATTTACATATTTATTCTTAAGAGAATAATATGTTATTGAAAATAATTTTAATTTATGTAGCATGGACATGGATATGGAATACAGATACGTTGACACGTTAAATTTTTAAAAAGTAAGACACGGGTACGACTTAGACATGATTATATATAAATATAAATTTTTATTTATATACATATATTGATGAACAAGTATCATTTAATACTTTGATTGTGATAATGTGTGTAATGTCAATTTTTCTTTAAAAAAAAATTGAACACTTTAGAATGTGTTCATATTTTTTTAAAAATTATTGGGTAGGTTTGTGTTAGAAATATTAATGTTTGAAAGTGTCTGTCTAAGTGTCCAAAAAATGTCGGGGAAGTGTTTGAAAAGTGTTCAAAATAATAAAAATTTATTTTTATTTATGGACACATATATGAAGTATCCGACGACACGAACACGGCATGAATACGGCACATTTGTAGAAGTGTACGTGCTTCATAGATTTTAATATTTAGGAAAATCATGCCTTAAAATTGAAATTAAAATAATAATAATTTAAAATACAATTATTATTATTTTTTTATTTCATATTTAAAGTGTCCAATTCAATTCTCCAAACCCAATGTATGAATTAGTAATATGTTTACATTTAAAACACTCTTCGAACAGAAGAACAAATATTATCCTAAATCCAGGTAAAAATTAATTTTAGTTAAGTCTTTCAGGATTTGTGATTGATCATTTTGAACCCTTGAAATTTGTGATTTAACCAAAGGTAACCCTTGAACAAATTTAATGTTGCATGTATAATTCTATTAGAAAAAATAAGTAAAGAAGAGTTTGAGGTCATTATACAGTTAAAAATTTAACGATAGGAAGGAAAGAGTTAATTAAAGATGATATAAGGAAAGAAAGGAGAATAGGAAGGATGACTTATTTTTCTTCCTTTACAAATTTTCATCTGCCCAAAAATGAATGGAAGAAAGGAAAGAAAACAAATGAACTATTATAGAAGTTTTAAATTAAATACTATCCTAATTTATAAAAGTTTTAAATTACAATACTAATCTGTATAAATTACAATATTATACATATTATTGGATAAAATGGTAAAAATAATTAAAATTTTCTCTTTCCTTTGTATAACAAATATAGTAAATTATTATATTATTCTCTTGTCTTCTCTTCAACCGAATAAAAAGAAGGAAATACATAATATTTTCCCTACTGATGTCTCATCTATCCCTTTTTCTTTTCCTTTTATCTAATTTTTTTCTTTCTTAATGAACAATGACGTGCACATGATATTTTGAAAATATAAAATTCAAATAATACCCATATATCTTTAGATAATGACATTATATATATATTGAACCAAAAGGAGGAACACTTTAACTATTTTATATTTAATTATTATTTTTATTTATTTCTTATTCAATTATAATTTATAGAAAATACTTTATCTTTTTCAGCAATCAAATTCTTGTTTGTTCTAAAATTAAATGTTAAGAAGGAGTATTTTATTTATTTAATATATATATATATATATATATTGGCTCTAGAGCCCGTAACCAAATGTTGGATCCAAATACAAATCTAATAATGAGGATAATATTGACGAGGACAGTTTCGAAATTGCAAGGAGATGTTTGGACATATAACGATCCGCTACGGTCCAAATTCCAGCAATAAGAAAGGCAGGCTAAAGAATAAAGATTGCTTGGAAACGGCAAAGAAGAGTACCATCCTGTTTCATATCCACAAATTTCAGCACATTTCTGGTCCCCGCTTGACGTGAAAGGACTGATATGAAATTATAGTATAATATTTATTCATGAATTTAATTAGAAATTTATGTTAGATTGTACATTGAATTTAATTAGAAATTTATGTTAGATTGTATATTGAATTTAATTATTCTTTCTTCAATTTTTTATTTCTTTTCTTGATAAGAAACTCGCTCATGAATATAAAAGATTTGAATTCTGACAGGTGAAAGAATTATCAATAAGCCTGTTTCCAGTTTTGTAATTTGTTGAGATAAAATATAAAAATAAATTTTTTTTTTGTTGAATTATAAACCATTAATTAGCAGAATAGTAAGATAAAAACAGCTTATAAGTATATGTCGGGGTCGGGACCGACCGGAGGTAACACCACTTGGTACTCGAGAGGTGGCTCCACCCCCATCAATGAAGTCCATCCTTCATTAACAATCACATGCTTCCATGTTGGAATGTGCGCCCATGTCTCCCCAACACCAGAAACTCAATGGTCCCCACAAGTCATTTTCTACACGTGTCCATAAATAGCGACACAACAAGAAGATGTTGCCACGTGGCGTCAACAAGCCCGGTCGGAACTATTGAAGAAGGGTGGCATTACCGTAAATAAAAGGGGCACTTTTTTTTTTTTATCTCTCCTCCGTCGTGAGTGAGTCGGAGTCAGTGTCCCACGAGTCGCGCGTGCGCTACTCGCACGTGCGATTGCTTGCTCCGTTGTAGAAATTGCATGAAGCTTTTCTAAAGCGGTGGTCAAACTTTGACGTTTGACGGAGAGTTTGTGTCAGTTCTGGTGGTGGCACGTGCGAAACACGCGACTGCTCACGTGAATGATCTTTCCTTTCTCTTCTTTTGATGCGTTGAAAAGTTCAAAGCTGGCCTTTGAATTGAAATGAAATGTCGTTTGGACTCCTGCATAGTTCCTATCTACAGAGTCGGGAGGCCCAAATTAATTCACCATGGCCCACTTTATACATGGTGGTTCTATTGCTACTCTCCAAGATGTGGGCCTTAACTTGACCCAAAAATAGAGAGTGAAACTTGGGTGGGTCAAGGGCGTCAGTTCACGTGAAACTCATGATACTACAACCTTAGCTCGTCAAAGTCATGATGGTGTTGTTGTAATATTGTATCACCAATGAATAAAGCATCCAATCTTAAGTTCTTAACCCGACCTTTTTATCAATTACATGTATTCTTAAAATTATAAAAAGTTATAATCTTTAAATTTTTTTATGTTCAAGTTATTAAAAATCTTTGTCAGTCTCTTCGATCAATGTAAATCTAATCCCAATACTATGATCTCAAATGTAACTTATTAAAACTTTCAACCCCGCCCATGTTCCATCCCTAGTCACTGCTAGGGTAATATGTGTGAATTCTTTCATTCCACACACACTACTCTAGCAACAACTGTTATTACTTCGTGTATGTATCTGATTTTTGAGTCAAACTAAAGATGGAAATATATTCAGGAATATCACTAAAATAATATGAGGAATACAAAAGAGTGGATTGGGGGAAGGAAAATTAGCCCAATCTGAGACGTGAAAATGATGGTGGAAAAGAACCAAGTCTGGAGTATGTCACAGCCCAATTTCTTCACCTCTATCTTCTTTTCCTAGCCAACTTTTTATAGCCTTAGGTCATTTAGATTGTATTTGTTGGGCCTCTGGGTCATGTGAGTCAAGGCCCATGTCCCTTTTATGGATTATGATGTCCTAATCCCTACTTTTCCGGATCTACTGTCAAGTGTACGTAACTTCCTTTAATGACCTAAATAGAGGGTGGTTGTAAGGGTCTGTGTGCTTACTCCAACCTGTTTTTCGCTTTTTCTCCTCAAATTAGATCTGCCTTAACAAGACTCAAAATTGATTCTCCATTCTCCATTCCAAAATCCCTTCAACATTCCTAATGATCTCAAAGAGTCCTACTACCAACTCTTCATCTTTAGCTCCCTTGCTTAGCGCGTCATGTCGAAGGTTTAGGCCCGTCGATTGACAAGCCATAACTTGGATCGAGATTCTGAACCCATCGATTGACATTTTATGACTTGATCGGATTAAGATTCTAGATCTATCAATCGACAGTCTGTGACTTGATTGAATCGAGGTTTTGATTCCATCGATCGACAGTTTGTAACTTGATCGGATCGAGATTCTAAATTCATCGATTAACAGTTTGTGACTTGATCAGATTAAGATTCTGGGCCTCGATCAATAGTTTATGGCTTGGCTCTTGCTATGGGCTTGCATTTTTGCTGAGTTGGCCAGTCTATGTTATTGACCAAGTGTTCAAATCATTATGTCTTGTACTTGATGGTGATGACTACTTTGTTGACTTGGCTACCATGCTGACTTGGCGTAACCAACATCCACACTTAGTTTGTCAGTGGTACAAAAAAACTCAAAAACGAAGAGAGAATCTTGTGTTTAATTAATTGGCCGCCAAGATTTTAATCATCACTACCGTGTCTCGAGAAGATCCAAATAAATATATAGCTAGGTGAGAGTGTGGAAAAAACTAAGTTGGTTGGCCATTATTCAATTATAATATACTATTTCATGGAGTATATTGGGAAGAGTTTTTTATATCTAAGAAAATATTTTATTTAACTGAGTTATTATATATACCCATCTCATAACATACGACGTAAACGGCCAGAATCATTGTAGTATATTGGTTAGGAAGCATGCGACAAGCCCGGACAAGGAGATGGAAATTTAGGGTTCAACAATTAAAAAGAGTTCACGTGAAATCTTTCCCAATAAATGGATAAAATGCGACAAGCCCATTTGTTCGTTTATATGTGTACACCAATTAAGGATATAAAAAATAATTCCAATTCATCAAACTTTTTCAATTTCAGTTCTTAGAATAATGCTATTTGTAATAAAAAAAAAGTAAAATGTACACCAATTAAGGATATATAAAATGATTCTAATTTATCAAACTTTTTGTACTTACATTTGAGTTTATTCACTCTATTAAATGGATAAAAAAAAATTCAATTACACAAATAAGTTAAAGTAATCGAGTCTAAATAGTATTATTCTAAGAACTGAAATTGAAACACACAATTATTCGTTTACACAATTGTTCGTTTATATGTGTTTTAATTAAACCATTGATTACTGTACCTTCCCGAATTCTAACTCATATTTGTGCATTGGAGGGGAACTTTAGGCCCCAAATGAAAAGCAGTGTCATCTACTCACACAAATGAACTAATTAACTCAAACAACATATTATCAAAATCACCATCATTAGCACAAAACACACACACACACACACAGAGAATCATGTTAGGAAGCAGCATTACTTATTAATTGACTAACAAAAACATGTCATGGAAAAGTTACGGGGCTATTGGTAATCTATCCAAACATGACATGATTATAGTTTGGAAAAGTATCTAACTCGTTTACTATTTTTTGACAAAACAACTTCTTTTTATCTGCCTCACATATAATATATTTAAAGAGATAAAGACATATAATCTTTAATAAAAAAAACAAGTTTTTTTATTTAATTTTTTTTTAATTTTTTCCTTTGGTAAGGTAAGCGGAGAGTCTTAAGAAAGTTGAACAACACAACAATGACTACAGAGCTCTCTTTCTCCGTCCAACACCATCGGCTCAAGGCCCTTCCACGCGTCGCCGCTTGCTGACGTGTCAAATACGTGTACAATCCATATGGTCCTTGATGAATCCCCAGCCTTCCGATAAGCCGCCAAGAAGTACAAGTAGGTCCCAATTGATGCCACTGTAAGGTAAAAACGTTTGATGGATGAACAATTTTCTTCGTCACCGTACGATGTGGATGCTAGGGATGAAAGAATTTCTCTCTGTGACCCATCGACTATGTACCAAATATTCTCCTTTCCATCATATGCTTCAATGTGACCCTTCCAAGAATTTAAGCAGTCACCAGAACTAAATAATTTCCCGTCCACCGGAATAATCTGATTTGGTGGGACATCCAATTGCCACATCCCCGACTTGTGGTCCCACTTTCCAACCTCGGTATCATACACGTCAGCAGAGCTACGCAAGACGACTCGGTCCAAGTCACCCCGTTCCGCAAATCCACCAACGATGTGGATTTTCCCCTGCCAAGTCACACCCACGCATTTATACCTCAAGGTACTCATATTTGGTAAACAAGTCCACATGTCAAGCGACGGATCGTACACTTCAGCAGATGAGATACCCCTAGTGCTATCCCGGGTGGACTGTCCCCCAGCCACGTAGATCTTGTTGTCATACACCGTACAAGCAAAAGTGTATCGTGGTACATGAAGCGGTGCACACTCGGTCCATTGTTCGGAGATGACATTGTAACACAAAACCGTTGACCGGACTTGGATGTTCATGTCCACAATGTCGGCCGATTCGTCGGTGACGTGGGCGATTTCTTTCTTGCAAAGGCGGCCGCCGATGATGTAAATGTTGTCTCCGATTGATATCATGGCAAAATCCTTCAAAACAAGATTCTCCTCTAGGCCAGGAATGGAGGTGACACGACTCCAAGTATTGTTACATGGATTGAAAGAGTCTATCCAAGTAGATATGTTTACATTAGGTGCTGGCTCTCTGAAGCAAACTGAGACATAGATTTGAGGGCGTGAAGTGGAGTTTTCCGGCGATGAAGGCGGCGTGGAGTGTGACGAAGGGGATGGGAGGGAACCCATTGAATTGGTGGTGGGGGTTGGTGGTAAATTTTAGTGTGCAAGTCTAAGGTACATTATGATTGTCAAATGAGTAGTGTAATATAGATGGAAGTTAGATATATAGTATTAGTGTAGCGGAGAAAACAAGAAAAGGGTGATTTGTGAACCATCGACTAGTACGAATGTTGGGGCAGCATCCTAAGCAATCTTGATGGTGAAACCTAGGGTTTTCTTGTTCATGATTGATTGAATTTTTATGGCGGGTCGGTTGTCTCATGTGCTGTTGTTCATGGTGGATTTTGGTGAATTCAATGTAAATTTTAGGGGATTTCAATAATGAGAACTCCAAACAGTGTTAATTAGAGCAATAATTTGATGTCTTTTACCATATTAAGTGGCACATAATTGTTTGTATTCGATCATTCCACATCAACGATTTGCGTTCTGAATTTGATTAGCATAAAATAGTTACACGCATCTAACTACGCAATAAGAGACAATGTAAGAAAAAATAATGATTCTCAATAGAAGGAACTATAATTTAATGGTATAATTTTTTTATTCTAAAAAATGAAGTCTTTAAAAGAAGAAATTCTAGTTGTTAACAAAAAAGTATTTACTTTAACATTCCAAATATATATATACATGTACAAATATAAAGGACATATTCTAAACTCCAATATTTCAAACATTTAAGGTGCATACCTTTCATCAAACAAAGTATATTATTTTGAAAAAAAAAAAAAAACATTAATTGATCAGCATTGATATAAAGTAATATAAACTATAAAATTGAGTGGTCACCTAATATACAAGAAAAAATATAATAAAAAAGATCGTAACCTGAAGTAAGTAATAGTCAAAACACATAATAACTTTTTTCTTCAATTTGTTTTTAGTCAACCAAGCAATATGATTAAGAGACTCATTTCTTACAATTTATCTTCCTTTGATTTCAATTTCAATTTCAATCTTCGCACAAAACAAAGGATTATATTATTAAGCTATATGCCAACCAGTCTTAAGAATTAATATAAGCTTTGTTAAAATCTCATATACAGATGTTTTAAGGTCGTCATACGACTCATATATACCTGAAATCTGTACTCTAGTATTAAATTGAAAGTTTTCTTAATTAATATACAAAATGCTATAACATTGCCATTATTTAAGAATTTAAAGAAAAAGGAATTAGATTTATTTATCAAAAAAAAAAAAAATTTTTGAATGACTTGTTGTACATAGACATTAGAATTTTTATTTATTCCATATAAGAATTCTCGACCTTCTATATTGGACGTCTAGAAAATATCATTAGAGTGCAACTAAAAAAAACAATTGATACATGCTATCATTGAATAGATTTATCCTTGTACTCAAACATCTCCCACTTAAGTACATTAAACTATACAATTGCATAAATGGTCCAAGGTCGTGTTTGTTGTGTGTGTTTGTGCGTGAGAGAGAGCATGCAGAAGGAGGAGGGTGCCACTCTGAAAAAGCACCTGAAAAGAAGAAGGAGCAAATCCAAATGAGATATGCTACATGATACTCTATCTATCTATCTATCTATATATATATATATATATATATATATATAATATGTAGATCTTGAACCTCACACTTTGGTCTTATTGAGCCAAGCGCTGGACAGTTTGGTTTGCTTATCAAGAACTGTGTTTTTAGATTATTTAAAGTGCAAATTAAGTGTTAAAACTAGGCATGTTCCAAGATGGTATATATATATATATATATATATATATATATATCTGCTTTTGAACTTGTAAACTTTGTTTAATGCAATTAATAGCATACAGTATACTTTTTCTTGGTTAAAAAAGCAAAACATAAACTAAAAAAACAAACCAGTCAACCTTTCTAGTGCTGTTCTCTCAAAGTACAATACTTTTTGTTGTATACATGTGCATATCACTTGACTTTTACCACATTAAAAATCCATATTATTGCCCTCAACTAACAATCATATGCATGTGGTGTGCGTGTTGGGTTTTATTGATAGCTTTTGAGCCCGTGAAATCAAACCTGTAGTCACGATCGATCATAAATAAGGAAGAGAGTATCTTTAATTCCCATAATATGTTTGTAGTCCAAAACCAAATAAAAATTTACCATAAGAAAGAGCACGGAACTAATAGTCTAGAAAAGAAAATCACAATCAACTTTTTTTTAAAATTTGACCACACTCATCCTCCTCTTTTGACAAAAGAGATTACTAATTAGTTGTAATAACACAAATTGTAATCCCTGCATGACTGAATAATAAATAAATAATTAAATATTGGGTAGTGCCTTCTCTACTCCTAGCAAGTGTAGTGTGAGAGGAGTTACGGATTGACAAAAATTGACAGTTATTAATTTATTATAACATCACTATTGTGAGGAATAAATGTAAAAAAATAAAAATAAAAAGATGTAAAGAGGGTTCATCATATAATAAAAGGATTACCCAAAGATGGTAATACCAAAAATATATATATATATATATACAAAATTACATCCCACTACAAATTTCCAACAAAATTTGGTTGAGAAAACAACTTAAATGCAAAGCCTACGGGAATGATTTGTAAGAATCGGTAATTGAAGTCAAAGAGTTAGTTAAGCAACTTAAGTGCACACTCGCGCACACACACACTTCGTCCTATGAGACTTAAAATCTTGAAATTTTGATCTTTTATTTTGAAAGATCAAAATTTGGTTTAAAAAACAACTTAAATGCAAGGCCTACGCGAATGATTTGTAAGAATCGATAATTGAAGTCAAAGAGTTAGTTAAGCAACTTAAGTGCACACTCACACGCACACATACACTTCGTCCTATGAGACTTAAAATCTTGAAATTTTGATCTTTTATTTTGAAAGACGGTAAAATACTAATAGATTAGAGCCTTGATAATTAAATATTGTAACTTTTAATATTGTAATTAATAATTAATCCATCCGTCCTAAAATACTTGTCCATCTTTTTATTTTGAAATGTCCCAAAAAAACATGTCCCATTTCAAAATAGAATATACTATTTTTTATAATATTTCAAACTATCATTTTAACTAAACAACTATACTTATTACGGAATACTATTTTATCTTTTACCAATAATATATTTAAAACTTTACTCTTATCAATATAATAAAAATTATTAAAATTCTACTACCATCAAATGTTGGATTTTTCATGCAAGACATGTATTTTGGAAGAGAGAGAGAGAGAAATTGAATTCCAAAAACGGAAAGGATTGACAAGAAATGACAGGACCGCTTCGAATTATCGAATTGTGATGACTGTTAATATGTATGTGTGAGGGAGATTCTTTCTTTGTGTTGCAGACTTGCAGAGAAAACACGAGCAAAAGCACTCTGAGGAAAGCAATAATAGAACAAACTTTCACCTCTAAAAGTAAAAATAAGGTGAAGCTAGTTTTGGGAGATGGGAATATTTGGGCTTTTGCCCACTCTGGTATGAACAATTTGGGCCTACAGTTCCACATTGTTTTCAGATGTGGGCTCCTCCCTTCTCAGTCCACCTTTTCTCGGCAATTCCCTACAGCTCACCAGTCCAGAATTCCAGATCATAATGGTCCACAGCCTACTAAAAATGGGCCCCACTGAAAAGAAAATGCCAAGTGGCAAAAGCTGACCCATATTATTCCCCATTACCCACAAAACATAGGTCCAAAAGAGTGGTATGCAGTGAAGCCAAGTTCTAAGACAAAGGTTGCATTGTAGGATAGGATGACATGTCATATGAAATTAGGGCCAACTGCCCCACACCACATTTAAGGGTACAGTGGATAGTGGTGTATAGTACATAATGGACCAATGTGAGGGTATAATGGGACAAAAATGAGAATATGTGAAGGCAAAAGGGCTTTGGAGATGAAGACAAAAAGAAGAAGTTTAAAGAGCCCACAAGGCATTCAACTTCTTCTTGCAATCTGCTGGAGACAAAGCAGTTTTGAGCAAAAAAGCGTGTGTGGATTTGATTGATCATTTAAGACTTGTCTCCCTATTATTTCAATAGGGACTTATTAGGGAGTTAGTATGGAGGTATCAACAATGGACCACATGTCCATTTATTTCTCAATGGGCCCGAACCCTTATGCGAATTTGAATTTTCAACTTATTTTCTAGACTAGTTTCAAGTGAATTCGAATTCTCATCTTTAGATTAGGAATGTTATTATAAAGTTATTCTATTGAAGTTAGGTGCAACAAGAATCACTACCTCGACTATTAAGGGAGACTGAAAAATTCAGAACCTTTTATGTTAATCTCTTGTTGATAGGCATTATATTTTTAAAATAATACAGCTCATAAGGCACAAACAAATCATTTTTCATACCAAGTTTGTCATGATTTTCTATGAATAATAATAAGAGGTGAACCAACCTGAAGCACTTTTGATGATTTACGGAAATCTCTTATAATCTTGGCATGGGAAAGTATTTAATATGTAATCAATTATGCAGTTAGACTATAGCATGGGTTGAAATGGTTTGTTATTTTTTTTTTTTTTTTTATTTAAATCCAAAAAAACAAAAAATAAGAAGAAGAAGAGAGAAATAAAAGGGAAGCTATTAATATGTGATAGTATCTTTAGATTGTGAACAGTTCCTCTAAGCATGTATATACGTTTATGAATCTATGATGCTTATTAGTTCATTGATAGTTTGAGTTTGATTAAAGCACGAGTGCATATTTGTTTCGACTTTTAAAATATGTGCATGTGAGTTGTGACTTGTGAGAGTAGAGTCGGTCAACGAATCTTCTGTTATAATCAGGGACGGATTTGCATGCAAATCAGAGACAATTACTCTCTGAATTTTTTTAATAAATATATTTAATTTCACTACTAATATACCCATAAAATATTACATTTGCCCTCGCCTTACCTCTGGCTTACCAAGTTACAATGTGTGAGTGTTGTAGTGATTTTTATCACAATCACATTTATTTTCAACACATTTATATTTATTTTTTATTTTTTTAGTAATATGTAAGATGTTAAAAAACGTATGTGTGCGCGCGTGCGTATAAGAAAACGGGGGGCGAGGAATTCACAGTTAAGTGCCGATTAATTGGGCTGTGATAGTGATATGACCATAGAGAAGCTTTCTGCTGTGTGTGTGGATGATGGAATTCTAGATTCCCAATGCACAGAAAGCTTAGCACCCATAAAAGACAGCAATTGAAAGGGGCGGAGCTTCTTTAAAATACCATAATATAAAGATTTTGCATTTATTAGTGTGTGTGTACTCTGCTTTCGGTCTCCTTCCTATAAAAAACGTTGAAGCCCCCTCCCTTTTTCTGCTTCATTCTTAAGCTTTTTAGTCCCTTCTCATTTCAACTCAACTCTCCTTTGTATCTTCTCTCTACTCTTTTGGTCATCATACATTCCTGAACCAAACTTCTTCATGCTCCTCTAAGTCTCTTCCTTTCTAATTTCCACTTCAACTGTTCTTCAAAGCAGATTGAAGAAAACACTGCTTAGTTTATGTGCATTACTTGCTCTGCAATGGCGAGTGCTCGAATGCTTGAAAATTGGATGGGTAGCAAATTTGCATGCTTTTGAGTTTTACCTTGTGTTTGTATACACATTATCGATATGGGTTTGGTTGGAAGCTTGGTATGGGTGAATAGTTACAGTAAGAAGCAATGCAGAAGCCTATTCTGGAGGATGAGAGCAGCGGTGAAGAAGGCAGTCAAGAATGGCGGCAAACAGCAATGCAACTTCCAGTATGATCCTTCGAGTTACGCCCTCAACTTTGATGATGGTGGCTGCAATTTGGGAGATGGAGCAAATGCAATACACCAGGCTAAATTTCACAACTTTTCTGCAACCACTACTTCCGTTTTCGTTATCTGGGTAAAGTCCCAGTGATTTCATAAAGGGATGGCAATTTTTCTTCTCCCTGTTTGTTTCTCCTCTTCCTGGATATTGCATGAGTTATAATTACATTTTTTTTTTTTTTTGGAATTTCGAAGGAATTTTTACCATGTTCTTGCAACACTAGAGCACCATTTCCTTCATTAACATTGCATTTGTATTGATAGATCTGAGAGGAGGAAATATGGGATCTGGAATTTGATTGTGGAACACAGGAAAGGAGACAAAGCATGGTTAGAAAGACAACGTCTAATTATAATTTATCACTTATTTTGAATAATAAAATAAGGATTTCAAATCCATCCAAGAATCTAGTGGAAATCCATATTCGAGCTGTAAGCATTATAAGATTTAATTCAAATCCGCCATTCCAAACACAACCTGAAGTTAAATGGCATTCCAGTGAAAACCAAACCAGAGGCATTAACATTGCAGGATAATCATTTGACAAGAATGCTTTACAATTTAGCGGATCCTTGTCGTCCTAATACAAAATGAAATAACATCACGACTATACGGTTAACATTGGTCGACCCAATTCATATAGGATTAGGACAAGGATGGTCCTGATGATGACAACTATACTGTTTACAGTAAGGATGAAAATCATAATAAAACAGACAAAGCAGTACATATACAGAGTATATATATCCAGATTAAAATGATACCAATTGGATCAACTTCAGCAAAATTCTATGTTTGTTTCACATCAAATGCCATGGGGAATCCATACATGATTGAACTGAAACAAGGAGTATTGCCAATCATCTGTACAGCGACTTAAAGCCAGTGAACAGCTTTTGAGATGAAATGTAACACCCTAACACAATCCAAATCTTGACGACATTCATGAACAACTATCTTCCACTGCCTACTCGAGTAAAGATACAAGATTCTACATCCCACTTCGTTCATTCTGGTTTATCTGCAACACAAGATCTGCATACCTGGATCATCACGGCAAGAAACTTGCACACCTTTCAAACAACAGGATCTTCAAGGGCAGCAGTAGATAGATTCTTAATGCGAGGATAAGAAGCTTTCTCTTCAAGTTGGTTCTGGGCCCATATCAGCATCTTTAAAAGGCTTGGAAGCTTTGGATCTGTAGTTCATTGATCATTTGCACATCACGACTCTTGAAAATTCGCAATACAACAAAATTTAACCAGAAATATATAGAAAGCTAGGCCAGTCAAAACTAACAATGCCTCTCGGAAAACAGAGCATTGTCTTATCAGGCACCACAAAGTACATCAATGCGGACACGTACGTTACAAAAGTCTACAGTGGTGATGCCAATGATTTGTTGTGTTCTGTGTGTTTTGGCTACTGTCTTAAAAGCAAAAAACAAGCTCCTCTGGGCTCACGCACTATTACATACTCTTCAAACCATATGGTAATCTTGTTGTCCATTTAATAGATGGAATATTGTTAAAAAGGCATAAAACATAATTTGAACATTAAGCCATATTGCAAATAACCAAAAAAGTGGATGATATAGAAAGAATTCTGCCTCTAAGGTTACAGTGTAAAGTAATTTTACACAGTTCATCCTTACTCAGCAAACTTGTACCACCTACATTCATCTCCTCTTAGTATACTATAGCATTGCCCCTGGCACAAATTGCAATATTGCACTTGGCGTAAAATCTGAAAGTATCCCTCCTACAACACTGAAATATAAGAACATTTTTCGGCAAAGTGAAAGAATGAGCCTATTTGTTCTTATAAAGGTTTCGCCCCCCCTCTCCATAAGGATTTTTTTGGCCCAAGATCCTAACACACTCCTTTTGGCAAAACAAGATTAAGGTATTGATCCAAATAGGTTGGAATGAGGTTTTGTTGATAGTAAAAAGTGTGTGAATATAGAACATAAGTATTGTTAATGTAAAAGCAACTAACCCTTTTCATGACTCTGGCTTGTAAGGATGGCTGCATTCACCTCACTCGCTGTCTTTAGGCGCTGTGATATGTCTAGAAGTTCTCCAACAGGACAGTTCGTAAAGTCCTCAAAAGCCAGCAGTGCAACCGTCCTCTCCAACTCTTCTAAAAAGATTAGCTGCAGAAAGTTATACTATGCTTAAAGGCCACATATTAGCATTAAATCTCATAATTGTCACAAGTTAATAAGAAACTATTGTTGCAGGAGATTTTCCATTAGGATCACACTAATCCAGGAGATTATCCATTAAGATCATACTATCTTAAATTTGGCATCCTCTATAGTTTCAACCAACATGTCTATAAACAGTGGCCTAATGAAGTTCAGTTGTCTGGAATAAAGAAGAAAACTGGAACAGACTTCACGAACAAAATTTTTTGCAGATATAGGCATAAAACAATTACAGGAAACCGAGAATTACATTTTCCTCTCCCCTTGGTGCAAGCTCTTCCTGAGCAAACTCCAAAGCCTCTTCCACTTTTCCATTCCGAATCAATTCTATTAACCTTTGCTGTTGGAGATGGAAAAATAGTTGGGGATTTGTATCCAGGATCTGCATAAAAAATTGCAACAAGAAGGTGAAACTTTTGATTGAAAATCAAAAAGATTATGATCCGGGTCTGTTGTTCAAGGTTTTAATATCAAGCTTGGTGACTCATAATCATACTTAAATAGATCTATGAGACATGTTCTTGAGTTGCTAGGACAAAAAGATCGGGTTGATTAATGAATAAATAAATAAACATCATGTCAAATTTATGTCGTCAATTATTTGTAGGACCTATAGAATAAATGTATTTAATTGTTAATAGAACACTCTTGCGTGTTTAAAATAACCTGTCCTTAAGAATGGCGCAAATAATATGGAAAGATGCAGAACGAAAGAGCCTCAATAAATACAAGTATCTCTGTGTGTGTGTGTGTGTGTGTGTCTCCAAGAAATGTAATTATTTATTGATAGAAACCCATGTATATTTGAAATAAATAAATCCTTGAGAATGATGTGAAAAAACTGGAAAAGTAGCAATATGAAAGGGACTCTACTCGCCATGACCACCTCTTGAATTCTCAAAATTCTACTACTCCATCACCGCAATAGGATGAAAAGAGATTTTTGCTTTGAGGTCCTCATATTCTAATTAGAAGTAGCCTCTCTCTCTATCTCTCTCTCCCCCCTCCCTCTTCCTCCTCTCTACCAAGACTCATCGCAATAAGAAATACTAAGGAATCGACTTATATAAGGTATGGTTCCATTTTGTTTTACAGCAAAAATTTGAAGGTTTGTGTTAAAAATATTTCTCAACTGAATGTTCACCTAAAATTATATACTAGGATATGAGGAATAGACTAAAAATAAGTCCAAAAATTGAGTACAGGTCCGTAGACAGATGGCATACACCAGCACAAATATACTGCATCTAATATGATATTGTAAGAGGTCATTTAATTCTCCTGTGAAGGTATTCTCGAATAACATTAGACGATTCTGAAGGATATAAGACCTCCACTATATTTCATCCTCACCTATCCAACACACAAATACTTTTGTTCGATACATCCAGATTTGTGTTTGGGGTCATATCATATCAACACATGTATCTGGGGTAAGTAGCAAAGTCCCAACACAAGCTTTAATTTACTAAAACAACGGTCTAATCCTCTTTTTATAGATAAAATAAAGTCGAATACTCTATATTGAGGTCTTAATAACATCGATTAGGTTGCATAGCATTGTTTGTTTTACGATTTCCCAAATAATAGTACAGATTTACTGGGCAACTCTAATTGGAACTTACTGCACCAACATTTTAAGATCCACCATGCTATAACTGAATTCAACTACACTCTGCTAGAGTTTCTCTTGGAAAACAATCTCTTGCAGCTCTTTTATCGTTGTGACTCCTGTAGCTAATGTCCATGAGATTAGACAATTCGTGTATATTTTTCACAGAAACATGAAATCAAAGTAAGTGATAAAGTAGCTGAAGGATATGGAAATAAAGGTATCATTACCGAAACTTTGCCTTGCCTAGATATGACATGCCGTATTTCTTCTGATTTTTTTTTTTTTTTTTGATAAGTAATATTTCTTCTGATAATAGAAACTTTGCTTTAAATTTGAAATTTTCTTGTCAAATCTTTACAGCAAAATTTCTTACACTAGCATAAACTTGTATATACCAAATTTTCTTGTTCCCAATATCACCTATTGAATAAAGCTAGTTGATGTGCAAGGATTTGTCTTTAACAAGGACTACTTTAATAATCATTATCCCTTATCATCATTTAAAACATTTTTAAAAAATAATAAATAAAATAAAATACAAAAAAAAAAATAGTATATGCCAACGCTATTGGTTAGAATCCAATTTGTTCTAAGTGAAAAATAAATAAATGAGCTGTTTTAAATGGACATAGATCATCTTTACCATTCTTTTGTAGTTTACATACATTTTATAATATTTCATAACACGTTTGCAACAATAACAATAACTTCTTTTAAAAAAGAAAAAAAATCAAACAATAACAAAAAGAGGAAGAAGAAGGGGGGTGGGGAGAAAGAGGACACTATTCTTCAAGATAACTTAACTTATTTAAAGGATCAACAAAAAACATAGCTCTAACACAAACATCAATAGACCCTTAAAAACATGATCTAACAAAGCTAATACAGCAGAATTTGTAATTCCATTGCCATTTGCCAACATTTATCGTGACGATCATAATATATATATATACACACGCACACAAAATGGTGTTCCCCTGCTCACCATCATCCGCGACTCAAACTACGCCCATTGGATGATATCCAACGGGCTTAAATAAAAACCAGCCACTTGTTTATAATGCAGTTTTAGAAGTCAAAACCACCTTCTCATGAAAGGAAAGTGGATATCCGTAAATCACGCCATGAGAGAGAAAATAGCCAATTAATATTTACTACTATAAAAAGGGCATTTAACCCTATTTGGATTTTGGACCCTAAAAAAAAAAAAACACTATTTGGATTCCCTCTCTCCTCAACACAAACAACTCATATTTTATCCATCACCCCAAAGATAGATAAATGTTTCATAGTGATAATTGACTCATTGTAATGCATGTTCGTGGATTTGTAGCCTTAAGACAAAGCAGGATTGAAGGATAGAAGAACATCGAGATTCAGTGCTTGTGCTAGGCACTAGTGAGCATGGGCCATAGATATAGTCCAACTCTGAGATAGGATCTGAGGGGGTAAAATAATCATTAACTAGGATCAAAAGCATAGAGGTGTGCATAACAGTTACCAGATCATTGGAGTTAAGCTCTTTCGGTTGTTGGTTTCATATAAAAGCTAATTTCACTCTGCCGTTAAATCGAAGTCAAACATTTCATTTTGTGTGACTTGTTATTTTGATCTAATATCTTCATTCAAATTCATTTCCAACTTCTCATTTTAGTATAATTATTGACACATAATCAATTTTCCATACAAAAATCTAAACTCTATAGCAACCCAAACAATCGAAAGTTTATCCTTGTAAATCCTACCTAAGATGCAACCAAACCTTTCAAGAGAAATCTCCGTCTCTTTGTCAAAGAAACTGTGCAAGAAGATTTCCAGAAATCAATAAGTGGTTCACTATAATTATACTCATAATTAATGTGATGGGAGAAGAACACTCGCCATGAGAAGAGAGTTGTCGAGGTGAATAAATTCTAAATGAGGTAGGCATTTTCATCATCATCTTATCAGATGATGGCCATTGGCAACCTTTTCTCTCTCTCCTTTCCTTTATAAATCTTTCTATGTAAAATATGACAACTCGTCAATAAAAAGGTGGTTTTTGGTTTTTCAAAACCGCTGATTCCGTTAATGGCTGGTTTTCATTTAAGCCAGTTGGATGATATCCAGCGGGCATAGTTTGAGTCGCAAATGATTCTGCCTGCACGACGGTAAGCAGGTGAACACCACCGAATAATGAATATATGTGCATATATACTTATAAGGATATGGGATAGTCAAATCAAAAGTTAGGGCCAATAGAGAATAGCTCAGGTGTTGCATGTTGACAATTCCTCTCCATTTATATGCAATTTTATGAAATATCATCACATCCACGACGTCATTGAGGAAAACAAGATGTGGACCAACATCACAGCCCAAGTAATTAGAACAAATCATTCTTTCAATTACATTTTACAAAATTATCCAAATTTATCAAATTCAATAACTGACTGAGTAAAGGGAAAGAACCTTAATATTGTTAAAAGATCCCAAATTCTTAAGTAATATTATGATGTCAACAATACAATTTTAACAATTACCAACATAAATTTTGGGAATTTCAACTAACTATGAAACCTGGGCTTCTAAGCATTTCTATCATGAAGTTGCAGTCCATTTTAAACCAAGAGTTATCAAATTTGAATCACATTTTTAAGTCAACCATGCACAATTTGTAAATTTCGAGAAAAGTACAGCCATATAATCTTTCTCTTGAGGATGGTAAAAGAGAAATTGATAGATTATCGAACCTCGGGGTTCAAATCATTAACTTTTTCAATTGCATCCACAACATTCCCAGACTGTACTGCCTTTTTAACTGCCATGCGGTCCGTTATTGTTGCAAGATCTATGTCTGCTATTTATCTATAAGGAGAAGCACGTGCTCAGAAACGAATTATGCCACCAATATAAAAACACGATAGATACATAAATTAAAATAAAGGATACGTTCAGTTCCGGACTCCATTCTGAACTTTTCTGCAGCATCAACATAACCCTCGGTGACAAGAAAGTTCATCACCAATTTATTCATATCTTCTTTCCGAATCTTTACATCGTTGAGCTTTTTCTCCCACTCCTCTTTTGTAATCACTTTCTTCGAAGTAGCCTGTGAATATATAGAATTCAGACATAACCACATTCTTACCAAAAATTATTTAGGTGTATTTTTCACATTCAATGATAATTGAGTTTTTTGCCTGCATCTTTAATGTGTCAATTTTTATGCAAATTGATTGTCATGAGTGAGACAATAAATGTAAATACCAGAACTGATAGAATAAAAAATAACTAGCATCATCCAAACATGTTTTAAAATCCAATACTATTGATTGTAGACTTGTAATTGCCTCACCATTTTCGTCAAGGGAAGTCTTTCTTTTCTTTCTTCTTTTTCTTCTCTTTTTTTTTTTTTTTTGTTTCGTGTTTTTCTTTTCAACAGTTTCTGTTCTTTAATAAATGCTAATGGAAAAGATGAAAGTACTATTGCCCAGTTGAATTGTATCAAGATTACTTAATGTGCGTTAACTGGTGTCTTTCTTCCCCCTACACACGAACCTGTGTGTGCGTATTTATATATATATATATATAATCGAATATTGATACATATATGTGTGTATATATGTAGATAAAAAATTTCTTACATGTCGATCAACAAAAATAAGTGCCAACCCAAATCAAAATTTGTGCGCTTCGTATAACCCTAAAAACTAATAATCCTCTTCTTATGTATCAGATCCTTCGCTAGGCATTTAAATACACAAGGTAATATCATAACGAATCTAGTATAAATCATAATTGGTCAAGAACATGTACTCGAAATGAGGATGAGTAGGGAAATTTTGTTTACCATTGCTTCAATTTCTTGGAGCTGACGAATGACAATCCAGAACAATGACATCAGTACGCCCCCTTCAAACCCATCTAAATCGCTAACCTACTTCTTCAATTTTCCTGTTGTAATATCGAATAAGCACCAGACTAATGAGAAATCACTGTGATGAAGTTCAGAAATGCACACACACATCTGTGTGTAATGTGTGTATATCACCGTGAATGCTAATCGAGATCGGACCGGCTCAACCCTGTTTTGCGTTTTTTCCTTTCCTAAATTACCCTACTATATGACCTAAAGTACTAATATACCCTTATTTAATGTTGTTATTATTATTATTTCCCTCAACTCCTGCCATGATTTTGAAGATAATCAAACTTTCTATCTTCCGCTCTGAAAGAAGAGGTGATGTATAACAATGCTTCGTGGATTCGTAATTCTTTTTAAGAGTTCGATATAGTTATATATATTCATAAATCGATTTATATTTATATTCGTCTGAATTTGTTATACTACAATCGCAAATGATACTACAATTGTGAATCACCAATATACATTAATAATCTTATAAACATATGAATTATATATTTAAACATTGTAAGGTAATAATAAAGAGCAGTGATTTAGAGACCGAATTCGGTGGTTATCGAATTTATTTTATATGAGAGAAATGGTGAGTTTCATCACATGACAGTGGAATCCACTAATACATTCATATAATTTGAATTTGGTAACTGTCGAATTCGATAAATCATTATTCAGGAGTAAAATCTTTCATTAATTACTTTGAACTCTCAAATAGATTGTGACTTTTGAATTAGTGCAATTACAAATAAACCATACATATTAATTAAGCTCGAATACTTTTGCGTCTTGTGAAAGTCTAGCCGAATAAACAATAATCACCTTGATTTTTTCGAATATCTGTGGTGTATTCATCCGGCAACGGAGGAAAGTTTTGATAGATTTTGATGTCCATTGGTGAGATTGAGGAGTAAGAAACAGCTTTATCCATTTTTCGACCAAAATTTTTTCTTTTGTGGTATTTGAAGAAAAAGATTTATTATAATGTGAAATTTGAATTTTTTGACTTTTCATAGACTGCATTTAGCAGTGTTAACTCTCTGTCTCTTTGATTCCCTGTTTGGTTGACTTGAAGTTAACATGAAATGTTTTGAAAATACTATATATGACATTATTCTATTGGATGGGTTACCGGTTAATGGCCTTGACGTGGCACCGGGGGTATTTTCATCTCCAACAATCTTTTAAGATACATTGTCATATCACTAATGTGTGAGATTACACAACTTTTTTACACTGCCAGATTAACATATTTCCTTTCTCATTATTCTTTCTCGTATCATTAAAGAATCAATCATATATTAAGTATGTTTGTAAAAGTTATGTGGGGTCCTGATATGACACATGGTTGATTGTCATTAGGAGATATATTTTTACACAAAAATATAAAATAGCAACTAAAATTAAATAATCTAAATTTTTTTATATAAATTCATCATGACATATTAGATTTACGCAAAAATATATATATATATATATATATATACAACAGTTAGAGATGCTCTTAGGAGCAAATATAAAAAACAAAATATTTGGACGGTCGAGTCTAGTGGTTTGGTGGTCACAGTTAGCACGTCACAAAGCCAATCCAATAAGAGCAATGCCACATGGAGTAGTTTGAAGTCTCATTAAACCAGTCAAAAAAAAGGCACACACAAACATAAAAAAAGGGGGCGCACACAACAACCAAAAAATAAAAAATTTGAATAGAGATAGGAGACACCTATATAGAAAGAGTCTCATAGGTAAGTAATTAAAATCAGGTTGAAGGGGGCCACATAGTGTTATAACATTAAATTTTAAAAATAAATAAAATAATTGCAATAAATTTTTTTTTTTTTCCGGGGCATTTTTAATGTACATTTTTAAGAACAAATCAGTAAATCATATGAGAAAAATAAATAGAAAGAAGATTAGTTAAAAGTTCATTAATAAAGTTGTCATTATCCAGTATTATTTATTTTTTATTTTTTTTTTGTCTCTCTTTAAATCATAACAAATAATACATATATTTATAATAAACACTTTTACTATTAAGTTTAAATTTTTAAAGGCAAGACCAAAATGTTCAAAAGAGTGATAAATAATTTATTTCACAAACCGTCTTTAATTTACATAAATAATAACTTTATAAAATTTTGGAGAGTGAACTTCAATTTTCTTATACAAAAGTATCATTAACAATCATGAATAATTGCTTTTAATATAATTCTAAAAATTTTTGGGGGCAAATATATATATTTGTTTGTCATTGGCAAAAAAAACTGGAACACGAGGGACTTGAATCCTCTAAGTTGAATTCGTTACAGATTGACATCTGCACCGTGTAAACTAATTTAAATAAAGTTAAAAAACTGCACCGTTTTGAAATAAATTATTTTTAAAGTTTAAAAATTGCACCATTTTGAATTTTTTAATAAAAATTTATCAAAATTTAAAAACTACACCATTTTGAATTAAGAAAAATTCACTATAATCTAATAATGTTTAATGTCATTATCTCTCTCTCATCTTTTTAAAAAATAATCCTTTGAATCATAAAGCCTTAATAGGGCCAAATTTAAAATTTTATACAAAATTACCATTAATAATTATTAACAACTATACTTTATTACTATAGTATTTTTTAAAGAATATTTGGCCATTGCCCCCATGTCTCTGCTCGTGCACTGTGGTGTCCAACCTTAGGGTATTGGTTAACTTGCACCATATAATATACGACCTATTATAATAGTAAAGTGATGTTATAATGATAAAAATGTCATTTAATATAAATTTAAGAAAAAATTAAATTTTAAAATAATTTTTATTTTAGGTTTTCTTTTCTTGGTTAATTTTTTTAAAATAAAATTTTAAATATTATTTCAAGGTATTTTCATTTTTTTTATAGACAATTAAAAAAAAAAAATTACTGATTTTTAAACAATATTATGTCGAAAGAGTATTGATATTAATTTTATTTTTCTTTAAAGGGGCAATATTTTCTTAAATTATATTAAAAAGATTTTATTTATTATAACATCACTTTGTAATAAATTGGATAGTTAGAATGTTTATTACGCCAAAAAAAATTTTTAATTTATTTTTCTTTCAGTGACGGTTTCTTGTCAAGAGGAAATTTAATGACATTTGTCCGAATTTTAATAGGACGAAATTTCACAAATAGGTACACGAGAGAATTTGAAAATTTAAAATTTCTACTCACATGTCTGCTCTCAGTTTTGTTTCGTAAGACAAGGAGCAGGCCCTCTCTAACTTCAATGGGAAGTAATTACTATACGCGTGTGAATCGCGTGACACTAGTAGTAATCTTTATCCTAGTGTGAAACGGACAACTCGGCGTAGAATAACCAAGTCCCTCACTTTTCTTCACATTGGAGTTATAAGAAAACAACACACAAATAGAAATAGTCGTCGATTCACGCACTCTTTTTTTAACCTACGCCACCACATTCTTCACGACTTTGTCTCTCCCTTACGCCCAAACCCTTTCTCTCTCTGAATTCTTCAATTCCCAGATAAAGGAACAAAAGTCGCATCATAGAAACTGCTAGGAACCTTCTCGCTAATTAACACCCTCGGCAACGACGACTAAAACGACTCTCTCTCTCTCTCTCTCTCTCTCTATACAGCTATAATAGTTCTCTCTATATACATATGATTAATCGATCCCTCTTCATGATTTCGTTGATAATGAGATTTGATTTGCCCCAGTGTTTGGTTTCTGGAATTCAAGTTTCGGAACTCTGACTTGGGATTTCGAGGTATTGAAGAAAATTAGGGTTTTTATTTTTTTTCGATTGCGATGCTGATGGCAGACGATAGTTCGAATATTTGGTCCGTTGACGATTTATCGGCAGTTGACGATTTATCAGACGATATTGATCTATCCATGGACATTCAGTCGTTTCTTGACATTCTTGAAGAGAGTCCCGATCGCTCGCAGGTTGGTTTGACGCAACGGTGTTATCGAAGATTCAAATTTTTTTGATACTTCCTTAACACATATTATGCAATCTAGTGTAGTTTGCTTTGTATTATTTGCTAAGCCTTATTGAATTGCTTTTGGCGAGATCGCACGAGAACATAGTATATTGGATGACATTCGCCACCTTTGACTAGTATTGAATTCCTGATTGTTTTTATTTTTTTGGGTAAGAATGGTTAGTCTTTGTTACTTCAATTGTTGGCATCACTAGTATAGTTCAGGGCGTACTGTTTCAATCTTCCTTTTTCAGGGAGATTAACTCTGCTACAAATAATGGGTTTTTAGTTGTGTTGATAGATGTATGGAATAAGCATCAGAAATAACTCTTCACAGCTGATAATTATTTAGGCACAATACCCTTTTCTAAATAGATGAAATTGATTAATACCCTTTTCTTAATACATGAAATTTATTGTACTTATCATTCATTTAGCTCTTCAGTCTTCAGTCAGCATGTTAGGTATATACTATATACTATCTATTGAGTTTTTACCAAGGTACAATTGCCTTCATGGTCAAAGAGAGGCCAGTGCTGTTGAAGATGGAACTTACAGTTTATTTAGGTTTGCCAGTTCCCTTTAATTTTTGCATAGATTATTATTATTATTTTTTTTGACACGCTAATCACTCATTCTCCTGTTTGGTTGTGGAGAAAGGGAAACTTAATGGGTATTGGAGAAAGGGAAACTTAATGGGTAAAAATAGTAATTAATGACATGACAATCTTTTAATGATTTAGCTGGCAGCATTTTGTCTATCTCTCTCTCTCTATATGTGTATCTGTGCATTAAGTTTTGAATAGCTTTCCTGTGGCATGTTCTTTGTATAAGCGGCAAGTCCTTTTATCTAATAACAAGATTCCACTCCTTGGACACTAAATCTAGTATTTCTAATTTTGCAGAGTAGTCCAGAAGGTTTGTCATTAGAGAATGTACAGCAAGGTGAGTCAACTTCTGATGTTGGTGGTATCAATTACTCGCTGCTCTGAATTGATAATCTTATGATTATGAAGATCATTCATCCCAATACATGTTATATGTATTTTTACTTATCAAAAAAATAAAAAATAAAATACATATTATATGTATTTTTAAATGAGATTTGTTATGCTATTTTATTTACATAGAAAGCGGAGATACAGGAGACCGGGTTTCAAGTTTGGATGTCTTAACATTTACGTCTTGACTTTGTAAATTGTTGATTAGGATTGCCGGATTTGGAATCGGCACCTTCTTTTGTGGCTGAGATTCCGGGATCTGTTACATTCTCCCCTTCGTACAACTCGGAAGCTTCAGATTCTAGAGCTGGGGGTTCGGATGGTTCATTTGAGCCCATTGGGAATTCTGTCTTGGAATTTGACTATGGGAAGCTGATACCTTCAGAAGAGATTGGCTCTCCAATGCATAGCTACTCTCCGAGTCTTGAGAACTGGATGGGTTTTGGTCACAGTACTCCTTCTTCGGAGAGGGATGGAGCTTCTCAGAATGCTTCGTCTTATAGCAGATGTGGTGGTAAAGAAATTAAAATCGAAATACACAATTGTAGTACTTCATATAATTTTGCTTCTAGAGATGCTAATCACGTTTCAGATGTCAGAGAGACTTCCAATCTTAATCACCACAATGGGGAAACTGAATCCAAGTTCAGGCATTTGCAAGGGGATACTCATTCTAAATGTATGTTAATTGTTTGCTTATATGATTGTACATTGGCATCTCTATTTTGCTTGTGTATTGTTTGGTATTGGTCTTTGTTCATTGCCTTTTCACTGAGTAAGATTATTTGGAATTTCAGATGTGTCTCAAGACCCATTGATAGAGAACTCATATATTAATTATGGGCAGTTTTGTCATACAAGTGAAAATAGCTTGAAAGCCTCTGGAGCACCAGATATTGTGGAGCCTTCCACCATGGATGTGGACACTTCCTTGCATAATGCATATTATACTCCTTCCAATAATTGTGAAATTCCTGACAGCATATACGAAATTGGTGACCATTATTCAGATTTTCAGTATTGTAGAGGTGAAGCATTTTTTGCTGGTCCCTCAAGGCAATATCGGCCTGATAGTTTCAGTTTTCAACTTCTATCAAATGATGATGATGAAATGATGATCCATTTAAAGGATGAAGTAGGGGAGCTTTCAACGCAAAATGCATGCTCGAATGGTATGATGATTTTAGGGACTCAGGTGGAAAGAGAAGGTGAAACAGTTGCAGAAGCACCTGGGATAGACATGTCGAGTGTAAAGCAAGTAGTTAATGTGAAGGATGAAAGAAGTGATGAGGTGGTTGCACCTCAAAACTGGGTGCGCCAATCTGGATTATCTGGTGATGGTTTTTCTGCTGACAAAGGCTTAAGGCAGTCATTGCCTGGTTTTCTGCATTCCTTTTCAACTAACAAGCATGCATCTCATGTGAAGGATGAAAAAGAAGGCATATCCCTTGCTGCATCTGAGAGAACTCACCAATCTCTTGATACCATTAATGGAACTGAAGGAAGAAACTCCACTCCGGTTTCAATTGGAAAGCAGTTGGGTTGCACAACGGAACAAAGAGAGAGTAAACCTACTCAACTCAAGAGTATGGAATCTCATTTATCAAAAGGCAGCTACCGAGCAATTCAGAGTAGCGTCTCATATTCTTCTAATGACAATGACTCTGATATTTGTATTCTTGAAGATATTAGTGAACCTGCACCTTCAAACATATCATATGGTAATGGGAAGTCCCTTGTTACATCGCAGCGTTCTAACTATAGTAACCCTCTTCATCACGTGGGAGTTGGAGGTGTGAGGCTTAAGACAAACGATGAACGATTAATTTTTCGAGTTGCACTGCAGGTAACATCTTGTTCATGATCATTATCTCTTAGCATTAATGAACGAAGAAGTTAATTTTTCCTTCCAACAAAGTTCTTCCTGGAAATGCCTTGTTATGGAAGGGCTTTTGTGTTCGAAAGCTCTCCAAAACCCAAAGTCTATCTTGAGGTCGTACTCACCACGAGCTTGTGCCCTCAGCTGCAGCATTTTTAATCCAATGGATGAGGGCTCGAGCTTACGTGCGAGCACTCTTATCATGGTCTTTACATTTGAAAATTCTCACTGCCCCAAGCTTGTACTCACTACTCAAAAATACCAAAAGATTTGGTCACAGATACAATGAGCTTGCCATCCGGCGGCATATGTTTTAACAATTAATATCCAGTTCTTAAAGCATTTCTTTTACTTTTTTTCAATTTTTTTTTTACTACTTGACGTTAAAGATGCACAAGTATGACTTTTTCCTTACTTTTTTCCCCTTGTACTCTAATGGGAAAACAATGTTAGTGTAATACATCCCTCTTTTGTTTTTGCCCTTGTTTTTAGTAAATTTATATTTGCTAATATGATTGGCTTCTATGGAATTGGGCTGAATCAGTAAGTTTTATAATCTATAAGGCATATATATATATATATATTATCTTTTTTTTTTTCTTTCTTTCTGGAATGCTTGATATATAGGACACTTTTCACAATTAATGACTGGTTTGTGAGAAGCCACTTTTCTCTGATGCAAAAAGCCCACAATAACGAAATTGGGAGATATACCAAACCAGAACTTTATTATTCCTCTCTACTATGAGATGTATTGACAAGTTGTTCCTTGTTCATTGTTTTTATGCTCACATTTCTTTCATATGCACATCGTAAACTCAATGTCTGACTCATCTGTCCAATACAATATTGTAATTCTCTAGAAAGAAACATGTTTGGCACTGCACCAATGTACCCATGTTCGGATTTTGAGTTGTTGGTTTCTCCAATGCCTCCTGTCTGTGCTGTAACATGACCTTCGCTTACAGTAGTTGAAATTCATATCTTTTTCATGCTTCCAGGACTTCTGTCTCATAACTCTGATGAATTTGTTTTTGAGGGAAAATGGCCTCTTCTTTTTTTATTTATTTTTTATTATTTGGTTTCATGTTCAATGGATGTTGTTTCTAATGACCAAAACTTTGTCGAGATTGATGTCGTTGTTTGAATTGCAGGATCTTTCTCAGCCAAAATCTGAAGCTAGTCCACCAGATGGTCTTTTGGCAGTTCCTCTTCTGAGACACCAGGTTTGGAGCTTTTCTTCCCGTTATTTCGTTTTGGTAGCTTTAGTTAAGCACAGAAATAATATTACAAATAAACCGTGACATTGGCATTAATGTCTGAAATGTTACCAATACAAGAGTTAGTTGGTTAAGAGGAATTTTGTTAGGTTTCGATGACAAATTGATCTAGCATATTTCCGTAATATTGAATGGTTACAAATAGAGTAATTTTGAATGTTTTAGGAAATGACGGTAGATTGGATAATTATAATCTTTCAAATTTACTGTTTTTTAAGGGGAGGGGGGGGAGGGGGAGTGGGGGACATTTCATATTTGGCCATTTGATGATGTTTTCTGCTGCAGTTCACCCTTTTAGCACTCTTTTGCATGTTATTACTGTTTATCCTTTTTTCGAGGCATTAAAACTAGAATTATTTGTCCCTTGTTTAATTTAAGGATTTGCCTATTGTTTCTGTGTCTGTCAGTTTTTCATCCTATCTCTGTGTGTGTGTGTGTGTATATATATATGATTTTTTTTTTTTGTTTGATGGGGGGTTGGAATATGTACTATGTATTGCCAGTTGACATTAGTTGATGTTCTGGACAGCGAATTGCTTTATCATGGATGGTACAGAAGGAGACAGCCAGTTTCCACTGCTCTGGAGGAATTCTTGCAGATGACCAGGTTTTTTTTTCTTCTTTTCTATTGATGATACTTTTTTTAAGCTCTATTTAATGGTACATTTGCCCAAGGAGTTTATCTTGATTTCTTCTGGGGCAGGGACTGGGGAAAACAATATCAACAATTGCACTTATACTTAAGGAAAGGTCTCCATCATCTAGACTTTGTCCTTCCGATATGAAACAAAATGGAATTGAGACGTTAAACTTGGACGAGGATGATGATAGTGCGTCTGAGCTTGATAAATCGAAGCAGGATACCAAATCTTGTCAAGTTATGTCAAATGGAAGTTTAATGAATTGTAAGAACACTCCTGCACAAGCCAAGGGAAGGCTAGCTGCCGGAACTCTTGTTGTCTGTCCTACAAGTGTCCTTCGGCAATGGGCTGAGGAGTTGCATAGTAAAGTAAACAGCAAAGCTAATCTCTCTGTTTTAATATACCACGGAAGTAATCGAACAAAGGATCCTTCTGAGTTGACGAAGTATGATGTTGTCCTTACAACATATTCAATTGTAAGCATGGAGGTCCCAAAGCAGCCCCTTGTTGATAAGGATGACGATGAAACAAGAAATCTTGAAATCCATGCTGTTCCGTCTATGGGATTTTCATCCAGTAAGAAAAGGAAATATCCTCCTAGTTCTGATAAGAGATATAAGAAGGGTAAAGACGGTGGATTGCTTGAATCTGTTGCTCGCCCTCTTGCAAGGGTTGGATGGTTTAGAGTTGTTTTGGATGAGGCCCAGAGCATTAAAAATTACAGAACTCAAGTAGCCAGGGCTTGTTGGGGTCTTCGTGCTAAACGTAGGTGGTGCTTGTCAGGGACGCCCATCCAGAATGCAGTTGATGATCTTTATAGCTACTTCAGATTTCTGAGATATGATCCATATGCTGTATATAAATCATTTTGTTCCACAATAAAGGTCCCAATTAATAGGAATCCAGCAAATGGGTACAGAAAGCTACAAGCTGTCTTGAAGACAATAATGCTTCGTCGCACTAAAGGTGAGAACACAGAAAGTTAAGCGTATTAGTTATTTCGACCTTAAACAACTGTGAAAAGTGTAGTCTAATCGGGTTTTTCTTTTCTTTCTTATTTCTATTTATTTTTTTTAATTATGTTTTGCAAGACTTTTGAATTGTCTCTCACATTAAAGCTCTTCAGAAGCTTCCTTGTTTTATCGTGTGAATTGTTGTATCCCCATATCTGCTCCCTTTTGAGGTTACAGATTTTCTGGGTTTGCTTGTTTTTGTGATTGCAAGCATTATTTTATCCATTACATTTGTTGGGGGATCTAGATTTTAAAGGAAGTATCTGTTCACAGGTTCACGAACTTCTGGCAATTTGTTTTTTCTGCCAAGTTACTTGTTGACATTTCTGATAAATCACAAACTGATGGAGAAACATGGTTGAAATGAACACTTTTATATCAGTTGGGACATTTTGTTTTTTTGACATGATCTGTTATAGAATGGAACGTTTATATCAGACATGGTTGGTTAGCATATGCGCCTTGAAAGTCTCCCATTTGGTGTAGCTGCAAGTTAGATCAAATACTTTCAGGCATTGCAATTCTGTTCTAAACTATACTAGAATGGTGCAGTTTCTTTAAGTATTGACCTTGGTTTACGGTTCCTATGTTCGTCCTCAGCAAACATTTTGGTATTGGAGTAAAATCGTTACATACTTTTTGGATGCATTATTCTTTTGCAGCTATTGTTATTTTAGTTACTCGTAAGTCATAACTACTTTTGAGCATTTAGGTTTGGTTTGATATAACTGAAATTGAAGTATTGAAATTTTTAGGAGCTGAATTTTAAGTGCTGAAGTAATAAGCGGTAGTTACAAACTGGGAATTTCTTCTGTGCAGTGACATTCATTTAATAATTTTACTCCCTTTAAGTGATGTTGAAATTGCGTTATCTATCTAACACACTGAACTGGATAAACACTTAATCTGTTCAGAATAAATGTTTAATTGTATTGTCAAATAGCATCTTAGTATTCGAAATTCTTTATTTGCATTGAAGAATCAGTCAAAATTATTTTTAGAATTGGTGTTGTGATACTTCGTCATGCCATCAGACTCATGGATTTGGAGGTTCATTGCATATGATCTGTTCATTCATTTGACGAGTTCTATTTTGATGGTTATTTTGACTGTAGAAATGCAGCTAGGACTGCATCAATGTGCAAACTACTGTAAGGACTTATGATAATTTGATGGTGAATGTTGCATTAGGCACACTTCTTGATGGGGAACCAATCGTTACTTTACCGCCAAAATCAGTAGAACTGAAAAAAGTGGATTTTACTAAGGAAGAGCGGGATTTCTACTGCAGACTAGAGGATGATTCGCGTGCTCAATTTGCAGTACGTGTTAATTTGAATTTTCTTTTTTGCCTAGTCTGATATTTTACTGTATGTTTTGGTTATGCAATTTCTCTCCCCCTTTCATATATATATTTTTTGGTACATTTATCTTTATTTTATGCAAGTATACATATACACGTTCCTTTTGACCTCTAGAGTGGGTTTTATTATGTCAGGAATATGCAGCTGCTGGAACTGTCAAACAAAATTATGTTAATATCTTATTGATGCTTCTGCGCCTTCGGCAAGCTTGTGATCACCCTCTTCTTGTTAAGGGATATGATTCTAGTTCTGCGTGGAAATCGTCCCTGAAGATGGCAAGAAAACTTCCTCGGGAGAAACTAGTTTGTCTTCTGAATTGTTTGGAAGCTTCTTTGGCAATTTGCGGGATATGCAATGTACGTGATCATACTAATACCATGTGGATTTCAATTTTCAATTTTTTTTCTCTCTTTGCTTGTGTGTATGATTTGTTGATTTTTTCAATAAGATATCTAATGAGTTAAACCCAGCGGGGCCAAAGAAAAACTAATGAGTTTAATGCACTAATGGGTTGGTTGGTTACCTTCCAGCATCATGTAGACATTGTGGTGGATGACTTTTTTTAAGTATCATATAAATTGATTTTTAGTTTTCCAGTATAGTTTTTTTTTGGTTCATTTTTCTATGCTATCGGATTTCTTTCCTTTGGAATCTTCTTACAGTTTGTGGATGAAGTCTAATACACTAGTCGATTATTTTTTCTCCTTTTAAAATCTTTAGCAGGCATAAATTGCATATATTGAAGTTCATGTGCTCAGTGTGTGACAAGATAACTTTATCAAATTCAAGAGAAGCTTCTTGATTTTTGTTGGCTGTGATGGGTTTTGTGATCATCAGCCATATTGCCTAATAATGGACGTCTTGTTTGGGTTCCACACCACTAGATATGACCTCCACTGACCTTATACGAGCTATGATTCTGTGATAAATTGATTGATATGGGATGCGCAACATGAAACAGTGAACTATTGGACACTTAACACTTTACGCGTTCAAGAATTTTTATTGAAATAAAGGAAAGTTACCCCTGGTTTTTGGTGTTTGCTGTTTTAACTTCGAAAGGAATCTACAAAAACATCTGCGAAAACCAAGATGTAAGTGTAAATAAATTCACAAAATCATAATAAACATATTTTGAATTAAGTGTTTCTAGAACACTTCATTTTCCTAGCAAATATTGTTGATCCTTACACCTGTGGTAAATGCTAAATTTCCCTAATTTATTTGACTTTAATTAGGTGGTTGTGGTGCTGCCTGTCTGCGCTCTTCCTTTAGTTCGTTTGCTTTTAACATAGCTCATCTTGTGTTCCCTTTGTATGTGTTGTTTCTTTAATCAATGGCAAAAAGTAACTACCAGACAGGCCTGCCAGCGGAGCAGATTTTAGGCAAGATCCAATATTTAACTCAGATGTGTTAAAGGGGTATTAATCTGACGATCCAATATGAAACTGGATCTAATTGATCTGTCAACTAATGAACCAATGGTGGATTTAGGATGATCTGATTCATTAATGATTTCCAGCTTCCTATATTTTTTATATTATATTAGCTAAAAACCCCGTTTCCTTTCCAGCTTTAGATTTTTTTATAGATCTAAAGGTGCATAAATCTCATATAAGATTTAAGAAGCAGAAGTTCTAAGGTTTTCTAATTTTATATCACAAGCTTCTCCTTACCACCATATATCCCGTCTTCTCCCCTTTTTCCTTATCCCACACTCTCATTTGGTGGTTTCAACTCCAACTAGAGGTGCAGGATTTTTTTACTCTTCTTTCTCATTGTTCTCTTTCAATAGCTTCTGTGATGCCACTGGAAGCTGCTGAAGCCTTTGCCTCAGGGTCTGCTGATGGATTTTGTGCCATCTTCTTCTTCTTCTCCCATTCCCTCCACCCCTCTTTCTCCACCCTTGTTCTTTATCTGCCACCAATACTGATATGATCTTCTATACTGAAATTGATTTGTCTTGATGATGGCTCTTTGTGTATCCAAGTGTTGAAACAAATCAAGGATTTAATAGATTATATATATGTAGTTTTTCATATTGAAACGGATTATCAGATGAGAGGTCCAATTATTACTAAATATTTTGTTTTTATTTGAAAACATTATCCGCTGGATAACTGACTTGGAGTGGATCTGCTTTTTTGCTTAAGAGTGTCCCATTTAAATCCGATCTGTTTGCAGGCCTACTCTAAATGAGCCTACCATACTAATACCGGCTACAACTTAGATTTGGACATATAGCCACATATAATATTTCCATCAGGAAAAATGGCTGCAGACAATGTCAATAAGTGGGATATTATGATGATTTCAATGGGACCTGTTAGACATGCGAAGTTTTAGAGATGTGATGATATTACCAGAATTGGATGAAGCCAAATGAGCGAGGTGCTGTGGCTAAGATATGCAGAAGCATGAGTGTGCGGAATTTGACGGTTTGACGGATTATCAATATTAGATGGAAAATGGATGGTGTTCGAGTTAATTTATGTAAAGATCATAGGCGAGGTAGAAGTCAAAGATGCCTTTCACCTAGAAAAGGGGTGATCTGTTCTTGTTCTTCATGTCTCCGTGTTTCTGGATGCAATAATTTTAGTTTCGGGTTTGATTAGTTTGCTAATCATTATGGTGGAAGAGTACATTAGCCATCATATATTACAATATGGATCTTGTTTTGGACGTATTCCATTGCAGAACTAATTATATGTTCTCTGAAGGTTCTTGGGCTTAAAATTCACCAGTTTCTCTTTTTCTGCATATAATCCTTGTCTTAATTAATCATTATCATTTACATTCTAAATGTCACTAAATTCATGAGGTCTTTGTTCCTTGTTGATGTTTTTATAGGATCCGCCTGAAGATGGTGTTGTTACGAGCTGTGGGCACGTTTTTTGCAATCAATGCATTTGTGAACATCTTACAGGTGATGACAGCCAGTGTCCAGCCCCAAATTGTAGAGCTCAAATCAGTGCATCTTCAGTGTTCTCTAGGACCACATTAAGAAGTTCTCTGTCTGACCAGTCTGATCCGGATACTATCCCTGATCATTCTAGTTCTGAATCCACTAAGAGACATGAGCCTTGTTCTGCAAGTTGCGCATTTGATTCCTCCAAAATCAAAGCTGCTCTTGAGGTCCTTCAATCATTGTCTAAACCACGGGATTGTAAAAATTCCTTGAAATCTATGGATGAGAGTGCTAGTTGCTCAGAGAACTCATCCAATCTTCATGTAGAGTCATCATTTAGGAAGACACCTGATAACGAAACTCCTATTTTGGATAATGATTTGAAGGATTCAATTAAAGTAGCGGGTGAGAAAGCAATTGTCTTCTCCCAGTGGACAAGGATGTTGGATTTGCTTGAAGCTTGTCTTAAAAGTTCTTCCATCCAGTACAGGAGACTTGATGGAACCATGTCTGTCATGGCCAGAGATAAAGCTGTGAAAGATTTCAACACTCTCCCAGAGGTTTGCGGGGATTTTTTATAATATAATTTAGTATCAGCTTCTTTTTATGAATTTGATTCTGAAATTTGATGTCTTTTACGTTGTTTAGGTGTCAGTTATGATTATGTCTTTGAAAGCTGCGAGTCTTGGACTAAACATGGTTGCAGCGTGTCATGTTCTTCTTCTGGACCTTTGGTGGAACCCTACTACTGAAGATCAAGCAATTGACAGGGCACATCGGATTGGGCAGACGCGTCCTGTTACAGTTTTGCGTTTGACTGTGAAAGATACGGTTGAAGACCGCATCTTAGCTCTTCAGGTATAATTTTGTGTTCTAATGTTTGAATTGTTTTTTTGTTTAAATGTATAAAATATTGATGTTGACAAGATGGTAATTATTGGAGCATGTGGCTACTGATCTCCTCTTCTTTTCTCTATATATTTTTTTCATTATTATTTTTAAATGAGGAAATTGTGTTCTTGGTTGATTTCTTGTTCATGTGCTGAACTGAACTTCATTGTTGGATAGTAATTATGAATGTGTGACTTTAACTGGTTGATCAAGAAATAGGCAAGGAGAAACTCATTTAATTGCTTTTTGAATACTGCCTGGTTTCTTAAGAGTACCATTTTTTCTAAACTTTATGTTGACAGGATCTTTTGGCTCAGTTAAAACTTTACTGCCTTTTCCTATTTATATGTCGTCGTGAGGGCCAAGAGATGAATGTAATAAAGGGGGATTGATATACTGGTAGTTCTTGGGGGAGACAAACACTGGGCAGTGGAACAGCTTCCCTTGGAAAAACTTACACTTCCAGTTTAGAACTTCATTTGGTTTTAACATCATATTAATGTTTGCTTGTTATTTAAGAGAAGGATTGATGCTCGGTGAGCTTGAATGCATCTTCGCATGCCTAAAATAGTCTGGTTTAGATCAGGAAACTTTTTTGGAGAGAGAGAGAAACTCGATTCCACAGTAAATTCATTCTTGAAATGTTATCAAACTAATGAGCATGGTGCCAGGGAAGCACATTTTGCTTGTACAGACAATGCCCATTACTCTTGTGATGCCTAACAAGGGGTATGTACCGCATTTGGACTGGGGACAACTAGCCAGTAGGCATGGCATTTCTGCAAATTTATTGTTGACCCCAGACGCCTGGTCCCTTGTGCTGGGACAACGGGCATTTAGTTATGAACTTCATTTTCAATACATAATAGCCATATATGGCCCATATAAATATGATTTCATTTGCAAGTCAATTATGTAAAGGATCATCCCTATGAAGCTTTCATTATTTACTATAATTTGAATAATGTAAGTGGAACTGACATTATCCTTTTTGTATATGTTTGCATTATGTTAAAGATGTGAAATTCATGTTGTTCTATGGTTCCTAGTTCTTAATATTTGTATTCTATCGTTCCATTGAATTGTGAAATGCTAATTCAAGATATACTTTTGAATTGCAGCAAAAGAAGAGAGAGATGGTTGCATCTGCATTTGGAGAGGATGAGACAGGTAGTCGTCAAACTCGCCTTACTACGGAGGACTTGAAATACCTGTTCATGGTTTAATTAGGAGGGGTGTCTGCTTAGTATATAGATTCTGTTCTAGCTGCAGCATTGTTACCTCCATAGTTGAAGCTATTCTAACAATAGATCTTTAGGATTAACAGGAAAAGAGGCCTCATTTTACAGAAGATCTTGTGAATTGTCTTAAAAAAAATTCACATGATCTATTCTTTTAACGATTGGATATTCTTGCTTTCTCGTTGTATAGGATGTAGATTTCAATAGCTTACACCAATTAAAGATAGGGAGTTAGTTGAGATTCTTTCAAGTATAGTTTAAACAGTAGTTTTTTTTTCTTATGAATGATAGTTTGATTGGTAAATTTGATCATCTTTTTCCCCGGCTATTACCTTCTTTATTATTATTATTATTTATTTAATAGTTAGACAAGACATTATGCCGTAGCCTTAATGGCTATTGTGATTAAATCTAAACAGTTGTGACACTACGACACGTGATATTGTGGCAACAAACAATTATCTGCTTTTTTCTTTCATTTTGTTAGCATTCTATTATGTTGAGGTTCATGTAAAAGCTATGAAACAACTATGGATAATAAGAGGTCAAGGCAGGGATGATGATAGAAGCCCACTGAAATGTTTGGAGCAAAATGTGTTGGGCTGATGTCAGTTCTGCATTGTTTTGTTATGTTTCACTACGGTTTACAGTGAGTGTAAGGATTACCGGGTCACATGGGTCAATATGCCCGGTGAATGTTCTTTATGCTCAAACTATTTTATGTGCCTTTTAGGTTTGCTACGTATATAATTCGCGAAGAGCTGCTTATTTTGATCCTGTATTTCTTGGCCAAGTGAAGAAACACCATACATATTGTCAGATCCATGCACAGATGAAGAGGGTGATTGCACTGTCTTTTGAATCAATTAGGCTGTGCTGCCTTTTTTTCTTTGGGATGAAGTAAAATTTTGGGGCCAAATGAAGGATTTGAAATGAATTGATTCCTATAACGTCTATCCATCCAAGAATTTTCAATAGAGATTTAGGTCCAATGTCATGACCATATAGGTTTTTCTTAAAATGATTTTATTTATTTTTTCGAAAATAATTGTTAACACTACTAAGGAAATTTTAATCTTATATTAAGGGCCACCATTATCCTGAATTGATATTAAAGGATATTTTTTTATCATTATAATATGTTGGTCCTTTTTTTATTATTTTTTATTTTTTAAGGTCGCTCTGTGCAAAAAATTGAAAGTAGGGGGGTGTGTGATGCAATTTGCCCTAGCATCTTAGTAATTAATGTGAAAACAAGACGCATAAATTGATTAAAGAGTTTGTTTGAGATTAATCCAAATAAGGATTTAATAGGAGGAACCTGAATTGTTCATTTATGACAAGTGATACGGGATTATTCCCAATTAAGTATAAATAAAATTATAAACGAATTCACTATTGGTTCCAATGTCTAGTGGTTAGGAACTCAGGAACCGATTTCAAATCTCGGTGGGACCTCTTTCCTGTTCTTGTTTTACTAACACGAATGGTTCGCTTTAAAACCTCCTCTCTTTTTTTTTTTTTTTTTTTTTGAAGGAAAATGATACGGAAAGCGAAATATAAAACTTGAAAAGTTTTGGAATCTGATATGGCTGGTCCATGTCAAATAATTAAAAAAAAAAAAAAAAAAAAGGGTTTCTGTATAACAGAAAGGAAAAAAATACAAATAAAAAAAAAAAAAAAAAAAATAGCTTTCATCCTCTTCCCTCACAAATTCGGTAACTCATAAAAAAAGAGAGAAAAAAGCGCTGGGTTTTGGAGGTAAGGCTATTGATTTTATAATTTCAAAACCCTAGGGACCTATACTATAGATCGAAGCCCTAATTTTATGTGCAAATCTCTAGTTATGTTCTTTAATCTTGTAAACTGTATGTTATTTGTTTTCCTCTCTTCTTCATTACCGAAATTTTAAATTAAAATACATAACAAATTATAGATTAGTGAATCATTACCTAAGTTCTAAATGCAAAATCCAACATTTTAGAAATATGATAAAGTTTTGGATTATTTTTCTGTAATAGAGCTCTCTCTCCCAGGTTAATTGTGAAGACCTTATAGTTTCCCCGTTTGTGAGAAAAGAGGAAGTAAGCAATTTTTTTTTTTTTTTTTTTTCTTTTAGTTATACTGTCGTGTAAGAGAAACACTTTCTATTTTTTAAAGTGAATGAATGATGTGGCCAGTCACATCAGATCCGGAGACTTTTCGTGTTTTAATCATTAGTGATTTTCAAATATTGTCCAATTATAAAACGGACCAAAACTACTCTAAGTCATGTTAATGGACTGAAGTAGCCTATACCGATACTTTAACAATTTGGATATAAAATTTAATATTTTTATTTATTACTATATTACAATATACATAAATATATATATGTTCTATGTGTTAATTTATAATATATATTCCATTAATTTATAATGTACTATATATTATATGTTATCTATATGTTCATTATTTACTATTAGGTTTATTTGGATGCCCTATTCCATATATTCATGACTCTATTCTGTCAGTCAATTGGTTTTTATCCAAATTCAAATTCAATCAATTCAATTAAATGTTGGGATTCAAATCTAATAATTCGTTAACTAAATAAATTAAATATGAAGTATGGTCGATTCGAATTGTATCCGCTTAGCTGCATAACCATACCTACACCATAGCATTCCGGCACTACATGAATTCAAACGTTACTTTCTATTATACAGATATTTTTCAATCCCATACAAGTTGGCTTCTATAAACCTTAACACTTCTGGGCTTCTTTGACAATGGACGTGACACAAAAACAGACCAATTTAACCCACAATTCTAAAGACCGTTTCAAGCCCACAGCCCCGTTTTCTCAAAGTCGAACGATCGGGCTTGGATCTCTTTCTAAAACTTCGGGCCAAGCTGGCCCGGCCCGTTATACATAACACCCCGCTCTTTTTTTTTCCCCCAAATTTGAACTCTATATTAAGTACGGATTCGAACATATATCACACAAGTTCAATTTCGAAAGGGCATTTCTCCGTTTGATTGAAAGTTTTTCTCCGTTTCCTTCAGAGTAATAAGTGCTGTTTCTCACCTCTCAAACCAAATCCAGGTAAAGTTCTCTCTCTGTAAATATAAATATATATCATATACATACACGAATATATCTTCTTATCATTTTAATCTTGAAGGCTATTTGAATTTTCATGTAATTTTGGAAACTTTGTAGAAATTACGTTATTGACTCGTATGACTCTGTTGCTTGAATTAAAGCTCCTCCGTGTTTCTATTGATTATCTAGACTTTATTTCTTGGATTTGTTCTGTATTAAATGATCTTTTCAATTAATATTTTAAAACCGATCTGTTTGTGTTCATTTGTAATTTGCAGTTCATTTTTGCTTTACTATATTCAATTACTTGCATAAAAACGTTTTGTGTCTATCATATTTGTGGATAAATCAATGGATTTCATATTTCTATTGCGTTTGGGAGCGGAGCACCGAATGGCGCCTTGAAATTTGAATTTGGAATAGAACTAAATTTTCTCCAATTCTAAATTCAAACCGCAAATTCGATGCTCCCAAATATAAGCATGTATCTTCGGACGTGAAGTTTGGATTTGACATTCTATTTGGTTTGGTACAAACTGCCTTGAGTTAAATTGGATGCCTGGTTAGTTTTCATTGAATATTTCTAAAAAATAGTTTAATTTTGCCACTAAGTTATCAAGGATTCAAGATGCTCAATTTTTCGAGTTCTTTTTCTGTTTCTTTTGTTGGAAAAACATAGCTATAGAGGTTAAATTTCATGATTTGTGTTTATGATAAACTAACAGGATCATAATTTAGGTAAAAGTAAGCTACTATGTTTGAAAATAAGAGAAATTATTGGAATTTCTGAGGTGATGTAATTGTTGGTTTTTTATTTTATTTATTTTTAAAAATTCATCTACAATACCAAAAGAAGAAGTTTGACCATTGTTGCCACATTTGTACTCTTGCTACCTTCAGTACCTTGACTGATTCAATTGACACTTGCATTTGCAGTTTCTACTTTCTAACTATGTACTGTTATCTACCATAATTGTAATTGCACTCCCCCAAAACATAGGACTTCTCTGCTCAGCTCAGCTCAGCTCATCTCACCTCCTAACTGGTACCTTAGAGTCAAGGGCGTAACTCAGCGGAGACTAATTTCTTGAGAATCCTAAAAATAGGTCCTTACATAGTGAGTTTTAATATGCTAGAAATATTTAAGATATGGCCCCTATGAATGTTTATAATCCCTACTTGAGTCATTTAGCTCGTGTTTTGGAAGTATGCTTTCGAAGGAAATTTCAAAATTTAATTACAGCCCCTATCCTATCACTTTTCTCATTTTATGCATTTAGAACTTTATGAAATACTTTTAATCTATATAAACAATCTTCTTAAATCTACTTTTTCAAAAATTAAGTTGTAATGAAAATTATACACTTTCTTAATACTAATTTGGTCCCACAACTAAAAATTTCTAGGACAGCCCTGCTCATAGTCCTGTCTAACCTCATGCAATTAAACGTTGTAAAAGAGGCACTCAATGATTGTAATTGTGCCATTACATGGTGATAAGATCTTCTATTCCTCTGGTGATGTTATGCTTTCTTTTTTTATAACGTAGGAACTTGTATTGTTTAAATAAAGTTATATGGCGATTGTTTTTGGAATCAAAAGATTTGTTATCCAGTGGCTCATTCAGCTGCAAAGTAATATTATGATGATGTGATTGAAGCGGATTTTGGCCATAAATATTAAATATTGTTATTTTTTCTTTTTTTCATTTCCTGGGAAGTAATCTACTGTACTTTATAGTCATTAACTATTGCACATTTGTTCTCACAACTACTTTTTTTAAAAAAAAAAAAAATTGCACTATCCAACTATTTTGCAACCTTCTTAAAGTACTGCAGGTTTCTCCTTTCCATACTAAACCTACACTTGACAGTTTCCTTAACAATTTCAGGACTAAAGTACTATTTCAATCTATATGGCAGAATCTCAGAAGGGAGCTTCTTCATCTGTCAATTCGAAAGAGAGAGATTCACTTCTGGGATCCTTGCTATCGAAATAATAGTTATTTTCATACGTGTGATCCTTGCTATCGAAATAATAGTTATTATCATACATGTGAAGCAGATATGGAAATTGGCAAGGACTTTCTTAGTAAATGGAAATCAATGTCTGTGGCAGAAAATGACATGATGGATTTTGACTTTGATACTGTTGTCAAAGGAAAGAAAAAGACATACGATTTTGACCACTTGTAAGTGCCATTCAAAACCTTTTGAGTTATTTTAGTGTGTAACTTACTA